TACTGCAGATATGGAAAAAAATCATCCATGCCTTTGTGTCATCACGCTTAGACTACGGTAACGCTCTTTTTACTGGTCTCAGCAAAACCTCCCTGTCACGCCTTCAAGCCATCCAAAATGCAGCAGCCAGACTCCTAACCAAATCCAGCAGACGAGCTCACATCACTCCAGTTTTACAGTCCCTCCACTGGCTCCCGATAGAATATAGAATTCAGTTTAAAGTTTTAGTCCTGACCTATAGAGCTCTTAACAATCAGGCTCCAAGCTACCTATCTGAGCTTTTATCCCCACACACCACCTCTCGGAACCTCAGATCCACATCTGAAAACCTCCTGGCTGTTCCTCGAACCAGACTGAAAACCAAAGGGGACAGGGCCTTTCAGACTATTGCACCCAGACTTTGGAACAGTCTACCTTCAAACCTCCGTCTCTCTAACACTGTAGAGGTCTTTAAAAATCATCTAAAAACTCACCTTTTCATCCAGGCGTTCCCTCCCTAAATGTTTCAAAAAGATGGCTTTGTTCGGGTTCACAACTTCACTTTGTTTATACTCCTGATTTAATTTTCTACGTTTATCACTGCTATTGTTTTTTCTGATGTTTTTATTGGTTAGAGGTATTTGCCCTGATCTTTATCATGTTGTACAGCGCTTTGATTTATATCTGTGCATAGGCGTCATTTTAACCGGGGACGCCGGGGACATGTCCCCGGCAAAATTTGTGATTGGCAGCTGTGTCCCCCCCCACTTTCAAAAAAGCCTGCTGATGAGGATTTTTGTTTTACCAGCTCAGATCTTATACCGGGGGTCGGCAACCTGTTCCCATCAAAGAGCCATTATTACCCGTTTCCCACAGTAAAGAAAACACTGGGAGCCACAGCAGCGCAGCGTTGTGGGCGGGGCCTACCCTCAGACAGCAGAGAGCTGCTCACAACAGGTGACAGCAGCCGGTACCATGGGCGTCGCACCCGTGGGGGATTCAACACCCACACTTTTCCAGCTGTTTTGCTCACCTCCACACCAGTCTGGTTTCTTTAGGTCGCACTCACTCTGTTTGCCTCGTCTCCTTCTTCACCTCCCCTATTCTGACAGCCGATGTCGGGTTCAAGGAGAGCAGGAGAGAGAGGGACGGAAGAGCTCAACTGAATTCATAATTTTACATCTTGACATTAGCTGTACAAAGTCTGAGTTTGATCAAGTGAAGAACAATAATTTGCAGAGGTTTATAACAGGCACAGCGCCAGGTTTTCATTTTTGGGTGGGCCACGGTAATTCTGGACGGACCTTAATAAGCAGAGACTTAAGTGAAGCAGGCAGGTCGCGCTAGAAAATCTCGTTTAAAAACACGTCATAAATGTGTTCCCCCGTCATTTTTATTTCTAAAATATGAAGTAAAAACTCACAATTTAATTTTCATTCATTTGTCATTAATATGTAGTATACACCCGTGCGTTAAGTGGACCATCTTCCAGCATCCAGCCCACCTCTCCAAATGCGTAAAATGTGCATCACAGCCACTAGGCGCACCGTGCGCACCGTCAGCTGATCAGCCCAGACAAGAGCAGAGCAACTAGAGAAAGAATAGAGGATAATTGTCTGGATGTGGATGGAGATTACATTTTACAGCAGCCTGATCATCATCTAAATACGTAAACCATCACCTGTCTTCTAGTCCACGCTATCAGCATTATGTTAATTGGTGTGTGTGTGTGTGTGTGTGTGTTTTCCACATCAAACACTGGTCTAACCAACCAGACCAGCGTGTCCAGTAACATATTAATGTTACAATTAAACAGTTTCACTTCATGTAGGCTAGGAACGTTTCATCTGCCGTGGCCCGACCGCTTCTGCTCCACATAAACTTTGTGCGTGATCAAATGTCTCTACAGGTGCTTTCTGAGCTGAAGAGGCGATTCTGCCTCAGACTGGATGCGTCATGCGTCTCCATATTAGAGACGGGAACAAGCGCTGTTCAGCCAAAGTTTAATAATTTCATAAAAATAAATTTTTTCCAAGTGACACATCCCTCAGAGAGACCGGGTTTCCAGACCGCTTCAGTGGGAGGAAATCAACCAACATCCTTGAGTTTATCCGTCAAAATAAACAGTCAAATGGAAATATCTGTAACCTGTCATTTAACTGTTTTGCCTTCTTGTGAAGATTGTTGCAAAGAGAAAAAACTAAACTTGATTAACCCCAGAGCCACGCGCACTGCGCTGTACTGACTGTAAGTGAGGGGAAACGATTTAATCGGATCCTTTTCTTTTCAACATGGTTTAATGTAAAGTTTCATTCAGTACAAACTTTAGTTGTACCAATATAACGAGACAGAGCCTGGATTTGTATTCTGAACAGTTTAAACATGTTTAAAACGGAGACATGCGTGACGCGTCTAAAATTCGTACCTGCTCCGCTCTTATGGAAATTAAACTAACAAGATGAATAACATGAACTTATTTTAGGCACAGACAACATCCCCCACACTATTGAAAAGCTTGCAACGCGCCTGGTCGCTCATGTACGTCAAAGTTATCTGTAAGAAGATAATCAATAAAACGATTAAATAAAGTGGATCCAGAAGCTGTAGCCCGTCTCTGCCTTCAATTTTTGGTATTTTTCACCCTGTTGATGGTTTTACTGAGCAGGTGCCACTTTTGTCATACGTTTCTTTTTAAAACGTGTTTAGACTGTTCAGAATACAAATCCAGGCTCTGTCACGTTTGATTGTTGTAATTAAACTTTGTAGGTGGGGAAGGCCAGAAAGCAGCTCAGAAGCGCCGATATGATTACGCACAAGCGTGACGCGTCAACCTGGTCTCACAGTACGACCGGGTTGGACCTGTTCAGGTTTACAGACAATCTTTACATTTAGAATTGGCATACAGATGTAAAATTAATGCAGTAAAATATAAAGCATTTTATTTAAATATCCATTCATTATTTTAAAAGTACAGAGAGCCACATCAGATGGATGGAAGAGCCGCGGGTTGCCGACCGCTGTGCTAGCCTACTTTATTGTCCCCAGCAATTTTTAAGCCCCACTCAAGTGTATGGTTATTGTCCCCAGCAATTCTGAAAATAAACTGACGCCCTTGTATCTGTGAAAGGCACTATATAAATAAACTTTTACTTTTACTTTTATATCAAATACAGGCCATTTTTACCATGGATCACTTAAATATGAAACCCTAATTTTAAGTCAAACATTTGGAGAAAATGCTATGAAGGTTTAGATATTCACACATCTAAACAGGCTGTTATGTGTGGAGCTGTGGGTAGAAGGGTTTTCACCTTGCTTTGGAACATCTGTAACAGACCTCAGGACAATGAGCCGCTTGTTCCAGAGTGTTTGACCCCAGCAGCGAGCAGCAGATCTGGTCAAATTTGGATCTAATTATGGAAACCGATGAAGGCATCTAATGACCTGAGCAACCTCATCTGGTTAAAGCCAAGGAGGTCCTCTGCCGCAGGGCCAGGTGCTTTAATAATGAGTACGATGTAGTTCTGAACACAAGTCAACAATGAAATCTGTAATGGTGTGTTTAAAATAATCCTGGAAATTATTTTAACTACTAGATCAGAATTATTTGACTATTGTTGTGGAGTCAAATCAACATCTAGAGTTCAAATTTTAAAGCAGTCCTGGTGATTACAGTAGGGTGGCTTTAAAAACAAGATTTTAACAGAGTTTGAGAAACTAGGAATTATGTGAGCAAATAATTCTCATATTTTAGGAATCATGACAAAATATAAGAAATGTAAAGCTAGAGGATAAAATCTGTCACTACCACTAAATTCAGGTTTTAATTTATTGAATGGATGTTAGATCTGCAAAAAGTGCCCAAGTTTTATTGTCAAACACAGTGAAATCCATGATTTGCTTACGTTGCTTCAAATATTTAACAAATAGCTGGGCAGTGAATGTATCATGTATACGTTTGTGACTTGATATTTTTAATGATACATGCCCAAGCAGGAGCGTGCAGATCCAATCAAAAATGGGCTGAGATTCCAGCCTTGAGGGATCCCAAGAGAGTTTTTTTTGCTAATATGAAGGTTGCAATATTAGATCTTAAGTACCACAAGACAAACTGTTTAAAATGGTAATCAGGCCGAGTTTCTCAGAGAATCACTCAATCTGGTCAGCTTTCTGGCTGCACGTAACACGCATGAAACCACGTTTCTGCAAATCATAGTTTTATAATCAATACCATGTTTAACCAGCTGTTAATATGTAATATTATAGGACTACTTTATACCAAAGTATAAAAATGGATATTAGTCTGTACCTATTTATTATACGTATTAGATTGTTTTGTTTTTAGCAACAGGGAGATAACAGCACATTTCTGAGAAAAAAAATGGAGATCTGAATAATTTTTTGAAGGGTTTCATTCTAGCTGCTCCTGTTGCATCAATATTTACACTGATATCTTTATAGTGCATGTCTCAGGCATGAAGTGTGTCACTCCGCACTGAAATATTCAATAAATGGATCTGTCAAACCTTCATACAGCATTAAATAGTTGTGTACAAAGTCAGGAAGTGATGGAGTAACTGATATTTCTGCTTCGTGGTAGTTGACCCTGCCTTTAGGTGTGTGTGTGTGTGTGTGTGTGTGTGTGTGTGTGTGTGTGCGTGTGTGCGTGTGCGTGTGCGTGTGTCTGTCATGCTGACCAGACTGAGTTGACTTCTTCTAATAATAATTTTTCTTAAAATCCTTTCGGAATGCCATCTTCAGCTGCCTGAAAGGCTCCAACTCTGTTTTTTTATTACTATTATTTACTTTTGCTTTGTGCTAAAGTTATTTTGCTCCAGTTTAAAACTGTGATCTCTGTGGAGCCTTTTAAAGCTTTTTTCCCACAACATGTACCTCAGCAGTTCAAGTCACAGATTTTGTTATTGTACACATATTTTGTTACTGAATTTGAATTTTGCGTATATACAGTTTGTCATAATGAGTATATATATTCTGCACATTTTGAAATTTTTTTCTTCCAGATTGAATGCTCCAGTATATCCGAGTACTCAGAGAAGATCATCAAATCCAATCATCTTGACAACGGTAAGAGCTACAGCTGCTCCTCTGCTTCGGTGACTCAGCACTTTATGAACACAAGAGAAGTTGTAGCCATGACGGCGAGTGAAGAAAGGCGAACAGAAAGAGATAAGTTTAGTGGAGGAAATCATGAATATAGTCACACCACCATGCATTTTCTTATGTCTTCTGTTACGGTTGCCAGTCTGGCCAGGGAAGAGCAGGAGCCAGAATCACCCAGCTATAGTGAATCAGCCTTCTTTTGCATCTTCTTTTGCAGAATTGCATCCAAGTGTTTGACTTCAAAGCATGTGACTTTTAAAAGCAAGGGCGTCAGTTTGTTTTCAGAATTGCTGGGGACAATAACCATACACTTGAGTGGGGTTTAAAAATTGCTGGGGACAATAAAGTAGGCTAGCACAGGGGTCGGCAATCCGCGGCTCTGGAGCCGCATGCGGCTCTTCCATCCATCTGATGCAACTCTCTGTGCTTGTAAAATAATAAATGGATATTTAAATAAAATGCTTTATATTTTACTGCATTAATTTTACACCTGTATGCCAATTCTAAATGTAAAGATTGTCTGCGTAAACCTGAACAGGTCCAACCCGGTCTGCGGTGGTTGACTGGTCACGCTTGTGCGTAATCATAGGTGCTTTATGAGCTGAAGAGGATGTGAGATTCTGGGATTCTCCTCAGACGGCTCCTGGATGTGTCGCCACATTGGAGCCAGGAACAAGCGCTATTCAGCCAAAGTTTCATCATCAGGGAACATTTTCTAAGTGACAAGTCTCTCTGAGAGACAGGGTTTGGAAAACACTCGCTTCAGTGGGAGGAACCTTCCCGCATGCGCTCTGGTTCTCTGCGTGGCTCTGGGGTTAATCAAGTTTAATTGTTTCTCTTTGCAACAATCTTCACAGGAAGGCAAAACAGTTAAACGGCAGGTTACATATATTTCCATTTGACTGTTTATTTTGACAGATGTACTCAAGGATGTTGCTTGGTTTGAAAAAAATACCCCGACGCACACGGATGCTCATGGATGAGCTGACATTTTAATCGTTAACGCACACGCGGAGGTAAAATATTCCCATCAGAACATCAGAGCTCTTTATACTGGACACTGTGTTCAGCGCGGCTCGGAGCGCCCCCGGTGGACAGTGAGCTGAAGATCTGGGGTTCGCAGTGCAGCGCAGTGCAGAACCACGCGCATGCGATGATTTCCTCCCACTGAAGCGTTCTGGAAACCCGGTCTCTCTGAGGGATGTGTCACTTGGAAAATGTTCTTTTTATGAAATTATGAAACTTTGGCTGAACAGCGCTTGTTCCCGTCTTCCGCATGAAGCGTAGAGACATTTGATCACGCACAAAGTTTATGTGGAGCAGAAGCGGTCGGGCCACGGCAGGTAAAATGTTCCTAGCCTACATGAAGTGAAACTGTTTAATTGTAACATTAATGTGTTACTGGACACGCTGGTCTGGTTGGTTAGACCAGTGTTTGAAGTGGAAAACACTCACACACACACACACACACACACACACACACACACACACACACACACACACACACACACACACACACACACACACACACACACACACACACACACACACACACACACACACACACACACACACACACACACACACACACACACACACACACACACACACACACACACACACACACACACACACACACACACACACACACACACACACACACACACACACACACACACACACACACACACACACACACACACACACACACACACACACACACACACACACACACACACACACACACACACACACACACACACACACACACACACACACACACACACACACACCAATTAAAATATAAAATAATGCTGATAGCGTGGACTAGAAGACAGGTGATGGTTTATGTATTTAAATGATGATCAGGCTGATGTAAAATGTAATCTCCATCCACATCCAGACACAATTATCCTCTAGTCTTTCTCTAGTCGCTCTGCTCTTGTCTGGGCTGATCAGCTGATGGTGCGCGCGCGCGCCTAACTAGCGGCTGATGCACATTTTATGCATTTGGAGAGGTGGACTGGATGCTGTGCGTTTACTGGAAGATGGTCCACTTAACGCACGGGTGTAGACTACATATTAATGACAAATGAATGAAAATTAAATTGTGAGTTTTTACTTCATATTTTAGTAATAAAAATGACGGGGGAACACATTTATGACATCTTTTTAAACGAAATTTTCTAGCGCGACCTGCCTGCTTCACTTAAGTCACTGCTTATTAAGGTCCGTCCAAAATTACCGTGGGAAACGGGTAATAATGGTTCTTTGATGGGAACAGGGTGCCGACCCCTGGATAAGATCTGAGCTGGTAAAACAAAAATCCTCATCAGCAGGCGTTTTTGAAAGTGGGGGGGACACAGCTGCCAATCACAAATTTTGCCGGGGACATGTCCCCGGCGTCCCCGGTTAAAATGACGCCTATGTTTAAAAGTCTTGTAAAAAAACACATTTCCCTCAGAGCGCTCTAAGCTACACACCTTTAAAAAGAAAAACTCCTCCATAAACTGTCTCGTCAGCAAACTGTCCAATCTGTAAATCCGTGAATACCAAATATGCTCCAGTAATTTAGAAATGTATTACCACTATTTGCTGTCAACAATGAATAAGCAGGAAGCAATCAGCACTCCCTGTATGAAAAAAGAGAATCATTTCACACGTCATTCTGACAGGCGCTCTGTATCGCCACAAAAACTCTTCAGTAACTTCTTCCCAAAATAAAACAAACAAAAGTAAAGTCAGTTCAGCTCCAGCAGAGCAAAGAACCAGACCTCTGTTGTGATGCCCGGCTGGGCCGGATTCCACCAGAACACAGTGGCTGTCATGGCAGCACATGATGTGTGAACTAAAGCATCACTCTAGGCTTCTTTTGCTCTGCTAATTTCTTATTTTAGAAACAAACTAACAAAATCTGAATATATTTGCATTTTTTTAAGATTACTGGAGACAAAAACTACTAAGTGTCAAATATTTTACTAAACGTAATTAAAAAAATTTAAGCTTTAATGATGCAGATTAATACGTTTGTTGCATGTTTCAGTCATCACCATTTTCAAAGGAAAGGTGGAGGAGGTGGAACTTCCTGTGGAGAAGGTCGACATCATCATATCCGAGTGGATGGGCTACTGCCTCTTCTACGAGTCCATGCTCAACACGGTCATCTTTGCCAGAGACAAGTGGCTGGTAGGACACACGGATCATGTTTGTGTGGAAGATTTAGGCCTAGTCCACACGTAGCCGGGTTTTTAAAAAAACGAATATCCGCCCCTCCAAAAACTTGCATCCACACCACCTCATTTAAAAAAAAAACTCTGTCCACACGTACCCGGATAAATACGTTGTTAAGGACATGCCAGACCTGTAGGCGGCAGTACTTCCTCCGTTCTTAACCTCGTCCTTCGTCTGTGGTCTTCCACAAGGAGCAGTGATTCCGCTTGCAAACACAAACAAGCAGAAAGCGCTTGGACAATTGATAAAGCGAGCGCAGCTCTGAGGGCATCCATGCTGTCGGCTAGTGTAAACACAGGTCGCACACGTGATGTCAGCATTTTTTTGTCGCGGAAAGTGACGTTGCGGACCTTAAAACTCCGGTTTTGTCTGTCCACACGCAGACACCCAAAACGGAGAAAACGCAGATCTTCACTTTGGCCGGAGTTTTTTAAAAGATCCGTTTTCGTGTGAAAAAACTCCGTTTTCGTGTGAAAAAACTCCGTTTTCGTGTGGATGACAGGCCAAAACGTAGAAAAATATCTACGTTTTGGCAGATCCCCGGCTACGTGTGGACAGGGCCTTAGTCTTGATACGTCATGCAGTAACAGACAAGCTCATTTAGATAAAATCACTCAAAAGAAAGTTTCTTTTTCCTTCCTCAGAAAAACGTTTAAGAGCACATTGTAAATTCTCCCCAGTTTAACTTTTATAAGTGATAAATTACTTTCTGTAATTTACTGTGAGTGATTTCATGGGTAGGAATAGAATGGAAAAAGTCAAGGAATTAAAAGCTTCAAACTGAAAGCCCTCATGAAGCACTTTCTGCTTTAAATGCATCGTTTCACATCCACTCTTCTCTGCAGAGACAGAGCTTTTAGGGAAGTAAAGATGAACATTCGCATCTTAAAACTCTAAAATAAACTCTAAAATTAAAAACATAACTTCCTGTTGCACAGCGAGTTACTTTTACTAATAAGCATGTCAACATGCCACATGGCACACACGTTATGCAGATTTTACGTGTACATGTGATTTTGTGAAGTGGTATTTTATGTCTCACTAAACACTCGTGTCCACACACACTTTGCTGAAACTTTGCAGCAGAGATTAAAAGTATATGCAACATTTTTTTTTATTTTTATAATTGTGACAAATGTAAACAGGGAAAACACTGAACTTTTAATCAAGTATTATTCAAATCTGAAGCAGTCATCAGTCATGAGTTTTGCTTCATTATCCTGTAATTGAAGCCTGGTTGAGGCGTGGGTCACACATTTTATTTTGTTATGATAGGGCACATATTTAAAAGATCCAAGGTTAGAGAAACACAGTTGATTTAATTAGATTCTTTGCGGGGGAATAATCTGTTGTTGGGATGTAAAATCTTGCTTTTAAGGTTATTCCAAATGATTTGTCTCATTATTCCTAACAGAAACCTGGTGGACTGATGTTTCCCGACCGGGCCTCTCTGTATGTGCTGGCCATAGAGGACAGGCAGTACAAAGACTTCAAAATACATTGTAAGCACATTTCTATTCTATAATGGCCACAGAGGAAAATATTCAACTCTATATGTTCAGAAAAAAAAACATTAAAACACTGGTAAAACTTTTGTCAAAAAAAAAATTTAAAAGTTGATGAATACATTAAATTTTTATTTTTGCCCCTTCTGTGTGTCCAGCTCACTTGTGCTGTATTGATTTTTCTCTTTGGTGGTTCAAACAAAAATAAAAATTGTCACACCCTGTCCTGTCTCCCCTTATGGGTTAGTCATGTGTCTCTTTTAACTGCTCCCACCTGCCTCTCATTTTCCAATCACCCAAGTTCCCAACCCTCTGGTATTTAAACCCCTTCAGTTCTTTGTCTCGTGTTGGATCATTGTTTCTATGTCCTGCCTGCTTCAGATTAAAGTTCTTGTTAAACGTTCCTACCTGTCTGCCTCACCCCGTTTGGATCCTCACCTCATCTCCGCTTTGCTCACTGGCACGTTAGTGACAAAACTACGGGATGACTAATGAATGGCTGCTAAAATGTGTCTACACCTCCGTATCACCCCAGGGCACATTCACACTCAAGCTCTCCAGCACGACTAATAATTCAGTTATTCTTCTGGCACGAGACCAAGGGGCGGTGCTTGACATCATGGTTCAACAAGCCTCCCCATCACTCATCCCACTCTAAACCTTTCTGGAGGACTGTGGGCGATGTTTCGCTTGTGGACATAAAGCGCAGATGACATTAGACTCACAAAAACAACAACAACAATAGCCGAAAGGGCTCCAACTCACACTCCCCCACACGTGGGAAATTATACAACCTGGGTGCACCAAGTAAATCAAAGAGAAAGTCAGAAAGTGCTAGTTTGATGCACTGCAGTTTTCTTATGAAGTCTGTAAAGTTCATTTTGGTCGCTCTGGGATGCACATTTTGACTGCAAACTTGTTTGTTGCCCCTGGCGAGAGCCCCAGAAGACCTTACAGCTGACTTAGAAGTGGCTCTCTGAAGGATCTCAGCATTCTGAGTACATCCAGTGATTGTTGCCGCTTCTCTCGGCTGCACACGCTCTTAGACAAGTGGGAGGCAAGAAATGCAAATACGCCATATAACGAAAGCCCCGGGGGGATTTGTGACCTGCTCATCATCGCCAGTTCTCCTAAGTGCTCAAGTTGTTCTCCCCTTTCAGGTCAGGACAGAGATGTTTGCTCACACATTATCCTAAGAAGCTGAATGAATAATGCATGTGATGATTTAGCCAAGGATGTGCGAGGCAAAAATCAAGTTTGACTTCAAGAGAACACATGATAACAAAGCAGTGCCAAAGCCAATGTGACTTTTCATCCGTCACAATAAAAGTCCTCCCAAACTGTTGGGAGGTGTATCTGCTGGGTGTAGATCAGACTATCCTCAGATGGTTTTTGGGTAATTCTCTGATTCAGAAACTGTCTCTTAAAGTAAAAACTGAATGGAAATGAGAACTTGGAACATGGGTGGCAAATTTCATGTATTCATTTGAAGAAAAACTAATTATGGTTTTTTTCTTACCAGGGTGGGAGAACGTGTATGGTTTTGACATGACATGCATTCGTAATGTTGCCATGAAGGAGCCCCTGGTGGATGTGGTGGACCCAAAACAGGTGGTGACCAACTCCTGCCTGGTCAAGGTCAGCACGGTCACAAACTACTCCGGTTTCCACGGATTATTTTTTTTTTACTTGGGTAACAACAAATCATAGCCAAGCTCAACTGTACAGCCATAGGAAAGCAAAAGAGTGTTTGTAGTAGTGTTTTCATTAAAATTACACAACATTTAGCTGCTAATCTTGCACTGTAAAGGGCATTAAAGGTTTTGCTAATATAATGTGCCGAGCCTCAGGCTAACATGCCTATGATAAGAAATTAGCTGATGGGAAACAACAGGCTTTAAAAAAGTTGGTCCTACACTGTGTTGGAATTCTTTCTTTCAATGTTTAGGCAACGCAGCTTTATTTATGTAGCAGATGTCACGCACAGAGGCAATTCAGTGTGCTTTCCAGTAGCATGAACAGCAATAACGTTAAAATCAACATGACAGAAAATACAATTTAAAAGTGAAAAAGAAACAGTTTGTGTAGCATAGTGGCCAAAAGCAGCTTAAGAATATAGAAAATACATTTACAGGGTTAATTTAGAAGCCATTCCAAAGTGTTTTTTTATTGTAAAATGGCATAACCTTTGGTGTATCAGCACAAACACCACGTCAAAAAAATGTGTCCAACTTTACCTAAATGCAATGGGTCTCTGTACTGCCCCTATAAATACTTCAAAAGTGAAAAAAAAACTCTTTTCTGTCAGTGTTTGGTTTTAGGAATGATGTGCCTAAAATAAGCTATTTAGAAAATCCCTGTTTGTGATGTCACAGACGGGGGAATTAGAATAGAAACACCTCTCACGTACAAAAGACCTGCTGCTAGAGCAGCGGCTCTACTCTGAGTGCCTCCCAGATATCGGAACATCTCGGCAGCCTAAGCGGGGATGGGTGGGCGTGGCCACCTCCTGCTCGTTTTCTTAAGGTCATGAAAAGCCCTCAGATGGTTCATTCTGGAAGGTGCTAAAATTGTCAATAATACAGCTGCTTAAACCACGTTGTGAGAGGGATTTTGTGCAAGAACTTCATGAACATGTTTTGTGAACCACTATAACTTTAGAAAAGAAATCATAAAGATGACCCATTTTGGAAAACTGACCTTCTGCACATCGTGCTTTCATGTGGGACTCTACGACCTAAAAGGAAAAAAAAACACTGTCCACCTGTTTCCTGTCCGTGATTGGTTTTAGGAATGAATTAGCCATTTTTAAAAAGGCCTCCATTTGTGATGTCACAAATGGAGAAAGTTAGCATTGAACCAACTTTTGTAACCAAGAGAGCTGCTGCTGAACGAGCAGCAGTTCTACTCCGAGCCCCTTCCAGGAGCATCTCAGCTTATAGCAGCCTGAGAAGAGAGGTGGGAGAGGCTAGCTACAACTTGCTGTCTTGCCCTGAAACGACTCATTCTGGAAGGCACTGAAACTTAAAGGGGGAAAAAACTGTCAGTCAATGGAGGGATTTTGACTATAACTGTTATAACATTTATGTCTCATCTTAGTAGAAAGCTAAACAGTTTGTTATTCATTATCATGTAAAATATTTTAGTGTTACATAAATGTTGCAGCCCTGATTTATTTGTAAAGTAAAGCAGATATTATGCAGAACATTTGGTCTAGCATAACTAAATCAGTGCAGTTATTGGAGGGCCCTGCAGGAGGCTGGAATGAGTATGACCTTGGTGTGTGCGGCGCGCTCTCGCTGTGTGAATTACACTCATCAGGGCCGGTGTGCCACGCATGACAATAGCAGCCCGTCTCGTCACCCTGATTGCGCAGCTTGTCATGGCGCCCTTCCTAATGACTGACATTGATAACAGGGCTCTGTCCCATTTTACCTCTGCCCCAGTGGAAGCACACCTGGGACATTGTACCTGATGTGTATTTCTGTAAAAATAAAAATAGAACTCTGCAGAAATATCAGTTATGAACATTGGAAAAAGGATGATTTCATAGAGAAAGAGACAGCAGAGTCTGAGCATCTGCTGAGGAAATTCTGACTGCAGTCTTCAAATGAATCTTTACATTCAAGTTACAGCTGAGCTGCTTTACACGCCAGACTTTGCTATTAAAGCTCTGCTTTAAACTTTAACAGCAGCACTGAGGGGGGATTATTACCAAATCTAATTGTGAATAAAACAACTTTAGCAGTTTTTGTTCGACTGTGACTGTAAATGAGCATTTATTGATCTTTTAAACTCGAAACAAGACTTTTACCAGAGCAAACATTTGATGTATCTGGCTCAAAGGAGGAGCATCTCTTCTAGAAGCAATGATATATAAAACAGGATCATGACAGCACTAACTGTGGGATCATTGCGCCTCAGAGGTTTGATATGCACTGTAAACTCTTTGTTATGCTCTCATATTTCAGTAAGATGGTTTGCACGAGTCTAAGATCTCTGTCCATTTCAAACAGACCCACGGGACTGCTCTTGCAGTCCTGCACTTTACTTTTGCAGATGGAGACTTTGCTGCACATCTCAGTGTTCCTTTGTTGACACGAGTGATGCAATGCAAGTGATTTCAACAGAAACCTGACTCGTAGCTTTTGTTTTTGTCTCTATCGTTTCAGGAGGTGGACATTTACACAGTGAAGCCTGAAGACCTCTCATTCTCCTCGGCCTTTTGCTTACAAATCCAGAGAAACGACTATATTCATGCACTAGTTACGTACTTCCACATTGAGTTCACAAAGTGTCACAAAAAGACTGGGTTCTCCACAGGTGAATGTGCTTTTCTTCACACTGCAGGGGCCTGTGATGCTCATGATTTATATCATCAATTAACAATCAGCTGACATCTAAAGGCCAGTTTCATCCAATTAGGAGGTTCTTTCTTGTAAATTTGCCACATGTTCAGACTTCACAGAATGTTTGCAAATTTAGGATTTAACAATCTCTGTGAACATTGACCTGTTTATAAACTTAAGAATTTTATCTTGAAACATCCAAGTTTTTCGCTTGCAGATTCATCATTTAACATTTAATCTTTATTCTCTTGCAAAGTTTTTCAATATGACACACCAGCCTTTTTAAGGGTTTTCTTAGAGTTTTACCCCTTCACCCGGCTCAGGTTTGATGCTTTTAATCCACAGTGACCCTAATTTGCCTTTGGAACGTTTAAAAAAATAGGAAATGTCCAATTTTTTTTAGAAAGCTGCCACATAGCTCATACTGGGGCTTCTTTTATGTTGATCCAAACACTCCACAGCAGCTGGTGAGAGGGCAAGACAAAACCAGAGTGTGACTGCCCTCTAGTGGTGTTACAGCAAACCATTTCCATTGGTAAATGCAAACTGGTGCAAAAGAAAAAAAAAAGAAATATGCAAACTAGAGTTTAGTTCATGAAGCGACTCACTTCAGGACTAGAGGTTTATGTTTGATGTGAATTTAGGTTTGTAATCATGTTATTTTGAAGTCTGCTACAACAGGCGGTCATCAGCATTTCTGAAGTGTTGCACAATTTCATCACAATAATAATAATAATAATGCATTGAACTTATATAGCGCTTTTCAAGACCCCCAAAGACACTTTCACACACTCTCACATTCACACACTGCTAGTGATGGTAAGCTACTTGTAGCCACAGCCGCCCTGGGGAGGTCTGACAGAGGCGAGGCTGCCATTTGGCGCCGTCGGCCCCTCTGACCACCACTAACACATTCAAGTTGGGTGAAGTGTCTTGCCCAAGGACACAACAGCAGGATACCCCTGGCAGGAGCTGGAATCGAACCCATGACCCTCCGATCATGAGGCAACCTGCTCTACCACCTGAGCTACTGCTGCCCCAAATGAGTTAATATTTTGGTTTTATTGACAGAAATAATATCAGCCTCTTCTTTTTATCAAGGACAACCTGAGGACCTTTCATTTTTGACACAAGGATGTAATTTTTTATGACTTTGGTTTTCCCCAAACTTCCCTCCTGCAAATTTATCAGTCAGGCACGTTTGCCAGTATCAGACCTGTGAATTCAGCTGACAAAAACTAAGATACAAATAACTACTTGCACACAAATGCAAGCACTTCTAACCCGAGGCAAAAATAAATAAAATAAAATAAAAAAGCCCAGAATAAGTCAAAGATTTCATTTCACAGCCATCAGTCGAAAAGCCATGTCATCTGCTGCATTAGCATGAGAAGCAGAGCTCGTTCGTCAGAGTCTTTGTTGAAGCGGGCCCAAAACCCAGAGCCAAGCCTATCCCACTGACAGGCCCATTTATCTAAGAACTCAAAGAGCTCGTCTACAAAAGCCTAAATTTGTCTTAAGAAAACTAGAAGCTGGATTTAGGAGACGGACTTTTCTGACCTCATCCAAGTCACACACATTTGTTTGGTGTCACAGCTTGCCTGACGCACAATATCACACAAACAGACCAGAAGATGTGGGGATGAAGGACGAAAACCATCAAACCTTTTAACTGTGTCTGTGTTGAATTGGCCTCAATGTTTTTTGTAAATGAAACCTGCGAGTTTTCAGGTCAGAAAAACGCAAAGATCCAGTCCGTCTTGAACTGCACGTCTTTATCCAGATTTTACCTGCATCAATAAATTATCTTTTAGACATATTTGGTGGAGTGTTCGAGTTGACAGAATTGCTGCTGTAAACGTTTCTTTGTGCATTCCAGCTCCCGACGCTCCGTACACCCACTGGAAGCAGACTGTGTTTTACATGGAAGACTATTTAACGGTACGAAGAGGAGAAGAAATCACTGGCACCGTCGCTATGAAGCCCAACGAGAAAAATATTGTGAGTTTTTCACCAAAAACAACTCATGCAGTTTGTGATTTGACTCATTCCCTTACCGATCTGCCCTAAGAAGACGGTTTTCTCCTCAGAGCTGTGCAGCAGCCAAGCAGCCGGCTGTACGGCTCTTGACTTGATTAAACAACTCATTTTGCAGTTGACCTTGACAGCGTCCTCCCCTCCCCTTAAAGTAACAGAGAAGCAGCGTTTGATTTTTCTTGTTGTCTGACACAAACATTGTTTATCAAGCGCCTTGTCCTGCTGACAGGTCATCTGATTGGTCTCGCTGGTCTTCATACACGCTGCTGTTTGATCAATTGTTGCCCTGATTTAACAGAAATATCTTCTTTCTTGACCCCCTCTGTTCACCCCCAGCGTGACTTGGACTTTACTTTTGAACTGGATTTCAAAGGGCAGCTGTGTGAAGCAGCAATATCTCACGACTACAAGATGCGTTGAATTGGAAGGTGGCGCGCCGCCTGAGTTCGAGACCAGAGCATCGAGGGGAGACGGATCCACGGCGGGATGTGAGAGGGTCAGACAGAGGTGGCCACATCGATTCTATCAATACTCTCATTTCGTTAAATACTGACAAGGGGATGTCACTTCTGCAGACTGTTAATAAATCTGAATGTACTATCCATAAAAACTGATCAAAAGCCTTTCTAATGGTGATGAATGTTGCCGTGTATTGATGTGTGTGTAAAAAGTTAAGCTGAGTAGTGTGGTCATGTTTTATTCAGCAACCGATAACCACAATAATTGACTGGACTTTAAGTATTTGCTCCATATTTCTTCTGTTTTTCCCATTTTTGGGTCTCACATTTAAAACTTTCAGAGCTTGATTTTATTTTTCTGCATGAACAGCCTGTTAAAGGTCAAAGTTCAGACATTTTCCTTCAGGATAATCAGGTAGAAGTGGCCCAGATCCACTAACAGCAAATCAGCCCCATACCAATACACTACCACCACCATGCTTGGCTGCTGGAAGGATGACTGAGATGTGCATCTTCTAAAAATCTTACTTTATGTCATCAGACCACACAGGTCTTTGTGTCTTAGCCTTGCAACTCACACATATTACCCATCTGCTGTCTCATTCTTATTGCGATCATGAACTCTGACCTTTAGAAGTAAACAAGTAAGGCCCACAGTGCTTTAGAATGTGCTCTTGGTTATTTTGTTACTGAATTTCATTTGAAGGGGAGTACGTAGCTTTTTGAGATCCTTTAGCCCACTTCATGTCGTCAAACTGGCTCTATTAAAACCATTTTGTCCACAGATCTGGCAGTAATCAGGCCCAGGTAGGAAACTGGACTCAACTTCCCAAATATTGAGTTTATCACAGTTAAAATGACTTTTTTTCCACACATTGCCAGATTGATAACAAATAAATTCATCTTTTGAAAATTACAATTTGTATTTTCTCAAGTTGTTTTTTGTGTTTGAATTAAAAATTTCTTCACAAGTTTAAAATATTTAAATGTGACAAAAAGTGAAAACAGAAATCTGTAAGAAAATAAATATTTCCCGCAGCGCTGCTGATCTTAGTGAATTATGAAATTAAATGTTTTGTGTATTTCTGATGACCAATTGTTTTTCGACATTCTGTATTGGGTGGACGACACAATCTGAATAATACAAATACACTCGGACATAGATAATGTACTGTAATGAATGACCGATTTAAAGTGTTTCATTAGCAACAGTGAAAACTAACAGTAAGTAAACACCACAGCCAAGGACAAACAAATGTATAATACAAAAAATAATGTTTCTGTTGTCTGTATGCTTATTTTTTGTGAGAAATATAAAGTGTGAAAACTGTCAGCTGGAGCTGTGATGTTTTCTGGTCAGTTACATCATGTTACTTCATCCTGAAGCCCATGACCTAGTCTTCATGTGTCTTCGTTATTTTGGGTCTAAACTCATTGAAGTTGTCGCTTTTGTACCATAAATACTTATTAGACCTTTATTCAAACAATGTGGAGCTTTATTTATTTATAAGAACAATTTTTAAATAATTTGTATCCTTGCAATAAGTCCCTCCATCTTTATTTTTCCTAAAAAAAAGATTTGGATGATAGGATTATTATTTCCATATATTCAACATTTTAATAAACTATTTTTAATCAAAACCTGAAAAAAATATCTGATTTTCAGCTAACAGAAGCGAGAGCCAACAGGATAATGGTTTCTAGCAGCGTGATGTCGAACACACACACTTTGATCATTTCTTTGATCTTGTGTATTTTACCCGCTCCAGGGTTGTTGACAAGACAGAAATTCTGTCCTTCAGCTATGCATGACTCATGTACCCTTAGGGCCTGCGTGCACCCCAGCTGGGGGAAAGTCTAGCAGCAAACTTCATTCCCCATTCATCAATAAATATCCTCAAGCTGCACATCTAGAAAAAAAACAGCAGATCCTTGGCTACAAGGCCACAAAACCCTTCTTTACATGCTCCAAACAACTAAAACTAGAATAAAATAAATCTTGAGAAGTCACTCTTCATACAGAACCACTGTGAGAAAGTTTTGGCTACATTTCTGTCTCCAGCACTGCTAGACTTTTCACCCAGTACTGCTGATTCTAAACATGTGCTCATAACCTTCTACACCCAAGTTTCACAGAGATGTGAGCCAAAGGAAAACAACAACAGAAATCTTCATTTCTGCAGAGCTCTAAAAATGTTCTTACCTTTGATGTTTTGCCTTGAAAAGTTTGTTGTACCCAGAGTGTCTCATCATTTTCTACTAGCCCTCCCTCTTTTGCCAAACTGAAAAATGTTTAGACTTAAAGCAAAGGCATTATGACCGAAAACAGAACTCAAACATTGCTGACAGCTGGTCTAAATCCTCGTTTGTGTTTGACGAACCTCATTGGCCGAAAGTGTTGCCAATTTCCTTTTGGTAAGTAAAACTTCATTCTATTGGCCCCAACAATCCAAAAGGGTGTCAATCATCCAAATTGACCCCAATCATGTCTACAGAAGGCTACTTCATGAAGCTTCTGGAATTTACAACTTCTAGATTTAGGGATAAAAATAGAAAATTTCTAAAGAACATTCAAAAAGCTGTTGAATTTGATTGTTTAGAATTTATTTAGACACATAAAAAATTATATACCTTAAATCCTCTAATACAGGCCCGGGCCTGTATTTGACTCAAGCTCATCAAGCTCCAGGCCTTTATTGGAAGGAGGGCCAGAATTAGAGGCAGGCCTCAATTTCTATTTGAGCAAAATGAACTAATGGTTTGCTTGAGTTTTTGACAATTAAAATTGCACCCACATTTTCAAAGTTAAACACATTTCTTTTAACAACGGTAGTTTCTGCTTCAGCCCTCTTCCCCCTCCCCCTGCGCAGCGGCCGCAAACTCACTGATGAAAAAGAAAAACTGCTACCTGCCTTCATATATATTCACCTTATGAGTTACCTTTGAACTGCAGTTCTAAAAGATCTACCGACCTCAAAAACGGGGGAGTGCTCGCTGCTTGGCGGCCGCATCAGTGATCGGTGCGTCACCGGAGGACGTGGTGATGCGCCTCGCTCCACAGCAGCGAAACGCGTCAGGCGCAAATATAAGACAGAAAACATTAAAGGAAATGAGCCGACATGAACGATCGCGTGTCAGTACCAACGCTCTGGCACAGGCCACAATAAGAAACCGGCCATTATTCCCCTCCGCCGACTCCGGCCAAAATATGAGACCCGGCCGTTAATTGAATACAGGCCTGTATTAGAGGATTTACGGTAGATTGCACTGCTACTTAAACTCATGAATCTGCTACTGCAGATTCTAGTCTTAATAAGTCTGCAACTGTGGACTTGGTTCTCAGACACTGGCAACAGTAGGTGTCAGCAAACCCTCAATATTAATAAGCCTGAAACAGGATCTTAAAGTACAAGTTCACTTATCATTAAATTAAAAATACTGCCGTTATCAGGTTTTTTTTGTCTTAATGTGGGTTTGCGGAACCCCAAATAGGAATTTACGAAGCCCAATTGAGCACGATGGACACACGCCGAGAGTTGATCACCTCGGCGGGCCTTGCCAGAATAAAGTGTTCATTAGTGATGGCCGAAACACTCGATTTCTGGGTCTACTGCTGATGATGTGTCCTAAAATTGTATAGAATTAATTTGAAGGAATGTAAAGTAGTAGCAGTAGTACATCTAAACCCTAACTAGGGACATGAGAACCATCTGTTTAGCTCAAATTGAGATTCATTAAAGGCACTTGGCCTCAATATCTCACCTCTACCATAACCTTGTTTTATTAAAGCCTCATCTGCAGGATCCACATTCCCAAGGGATCATAATTTGCTGGGAATTAAATAATAAAATCCTGGGGTCATGAGCTCTTGAAACCAAAACTGGTCATCTGTTAACGCTAACCAACGCTTTTTCCTCAGCAGACACTCTTGGGTGTCAAGGAGGGGCAGAATTGTAATTCCACCCAGCTTACTGCAGGAGTGCCCGTGCACCGGAGATCTGGGGGGCTCTGTCCTTCAGAGCTCTCTTTATACAACTCCTAACCCTAACACTATTCTCTGAGTACGGCCATGTCTGCAGCTCGCCGCTCCCCATGATGATGTGTCAAAAAGCAGAGGACAAATGTCACCACACACCAATATGTTTGACAAATGATGGGACTTTAACTTTCACTTATTAAACACTCAAAACAAAACAAAAAGTCATTTAAAGTCAGTTGGTTTATACATTTTATTTTTGATAAAATGCACGTTTCTGCTCAATAGTACCCAGGCTGAACAAAATGTAAACACTCTTGCAAGGAGTTTTAGGAAACAAATCTATTACGTTACATGGAATTTTATGAAACTGCATTTCAATAGCAACCAAACGTGTTTTACAAGATTAGGTATCTTGCAAAATTTATGTGATAAATTTAACATAATTGCAACTAACATTTTAAGGCCCTGTCCACACGTAGCCGGGGATCTGCCAAAACGTAGATATTTTTCTACGTTTTGGCCTGTCATCCACACGAAAACGGATCTTTTAAAAAACTCCGGCCAAAGTGAAGATCTGCGTTTTCTCCGTTTTGGGTGTCTGCGTGTGGACAGACAAAACCGGAGTTTTAAGGTCCGCAACGTCACTTTCTGCGACAAAAAAATGCTGACATCACGTGTGCGACCTGTGTTTACACTAGCCGACAGCATGGATGCCCTCAGAGCTGCGCTCGCTTTATCAATTGTCCAAGCGCTTTCTGCTTGTTTGTGTTTGCAAGCGGAATTACTGCTCCTTGCGGAAGACCACAGACGAAGGACGAGGTTAAGAACGGGGGAAGTACTGCCGCCTACAGGTCTGGCATGTCCTTAACAACGTATTTATCCGGGTACGTGTGGACAGAGTTTTGTTTTAAACCGAGGTGGTGTGGATGCAAGTTTTTGGAGGGGCGGATATTCGTTAAAAAAAAAAAAAAAACGGCTACGTGTGGACTAGGCCTAAGTCTGATCAAGGCATGATATTTTTCTTCAACCATGAATGCTCAATCTTTGTTTTTGTTTTATTGTGTAATATAACGCAGCATTTGTACTACAGCTCAAAGTTTTACTATAGCTTAGATGAGCTACATCTGTAAATGACACAAAAGGTCGGATTCTGAACAAAGTTTTCCACATCTCAGTTCCGTGTGAAGCCATGAAACATCCTACAATAAACAGGTGCTGTAAACCGTGACCTTGTGGCTGATTTCCTGCAACAGCTTCTTCACAGCTTCTTCCAACTCAACAAGCTGCTCTGCTTTCACCTCCAGAATCTGCTGATTGTCCTCATATGACTTCTCCAGATCTGAATCAGAAGATCAAGTTTATCTTACCGTTACTTGCTGTTCTCAGTAGCACGTGTTAACTATAACATGTTTCTTTGTTCCTTCTCCTCTTGTGTTAAGTGCTGTTTAAAATATTTTAATGCTAAACGAATTATCCTAAAAATAAAGATATTAAAAAATAAACTGTAGCAGGATGCCTAGCTGCTGAATTCTGATGCAGCTCTCAGCTACCAAAGTGATTCTGCTTTATTAAGTGATGTGATGTCACCTTTAAGTAGCTGCAGTTTGTCACTGGCCTGCAGCAGCATTTCCTTGGCTTGCTTCTGAAGTGTCTCTGCCCTCTTCTTAGCGTCTCCAGTGCCGCCGGCCTTTTTATTTATTAGCTGTTCCACTGTGCTGTACTGGTGCTTTACATCAGTCTCCAGGTCCTAAAAACACAGGAACACAATGACAACACAAGCACACAAATAAATGAAAAGGATCATATTGCAAAGCTCACCTTTTTGATCTCCTCTGCAATCTTCTCTATGTTTGAAGCATCCTGATTGGTCAAATCACTGCTCAGAGTAACATTCACAGCTTTTTCTTTCACTTGCACCAGATCTTGCTCAAGCCTTTGCATTCTCCGTGTGGCATTATGCAGCTGCCGTTCTGTATCTGCAGTTTCCAACTCCACCTGAACACAAGGTAGACATGTTACCTTCATGACTGCTTTAGGATAATAAATGTAAAGTTAGGAAACTTTGGATCATCATGTTGGAGACAGACAGTACTGACAGAGGAAAGGAGGTTTCTGGTAGTCTGTACGTCATCGGTGGCCTGCTGTAGTGCACTGCTAGCAGCAGTCTGAGCTCTCTGGGCTTCTTCCAGAGCTTGCTTTATGCTCTTTACGGACTCTTTTACATCACTGGCGTCCTCACTGATGAATAAAAGAAATGGGATTTTAATAACCATCAAATGTATGGTAACGTATAACTCTTATAACCAATAACAATCAGTCATAAAATATGTATTGAGCTTATGCTGTGTAAAGTTTATTCTTGTCAGCAACCTCTAAACCAGGGGTGTCAAACTCATTTTAGCTCAGGGGCCACATTGAGGGAAATCTAGTCCCAAGTGGGCCAGACCGGTCAAATAAAAAAAAAAACTTCAGATTGTTTTCTTTGTTTTAATACAATCAATATAAAACGAGGCTGGAGCCTGAGGACAGTGTAGTACAAGTACAACACCTGAAGTGTACTTGAAAATTTGAAGAAAAATAAATAAATAAAATCAACAAATAAAAAACACATTCCTTAGTGATTCAAAGAGCTTACAGATCACATGGCTAGATCAGTTTCATGCAGCACGTAAAGTAAATTTGACTCATTTTACTTTACATCTTTTAGCTTTCACCAGCACATCAACATCAGAAGTCACATCCTGAGTGGCGGCCAACTTCAGGATGTGATTCAAGTTCTTGTGTGAGCCTTGAGCGCAGCTTTGTTTTATTTATACTCATTACAGAGAAAACTTGCTCACAAAGATAAGTTTATTTTCACTCTACATTGTAAAGTATGAAAATAAAGTTTTCACAACCATCTCGCGGGCCGGATTTAACCCGCTTGCGGGCCGGATTCGGCCCACGGGCCGCATATTTGACACCCCTGCAAACAATGGGACCTTTCAGGGTTCTACTAAAACTTTTCCAATTTTTCAATCCGTACATATTCAAAGTAGAAAAAAGTGTTTATAGGAAGGCAAAACAGAGTTGGTGGTAACCCAAAACACACCTTGCTTGGCGAGCATGAACCAGCAGAGCCTCTGCTTTCTGGATGTCATCAGAACTTTGCTGAAGAATAGTCTCGACATGTCCCAGCTGTCCAACCTTGTGTCGAATCTCATCAGTAATGTTCTGCAACTGAGCGGGAGTTGTTGGCAGCTCCATGGCCAGAACCTCATTTGCCACAAGTTCAATGCTTTCTAGATCTGCAGCATCCTCTGAACAATCACAAATATAGTTAGAACAAATGGACCCCGCAACTACAAATGTAAAGATCCAAATGGTAATCTGTTCATTTTAGTTGTTCGTCGTTTTCTCTGATGTGGGTTCTCACGGACACATCTAAAAACCTGGTGTTCCAATATCAACAAGATGTATAGAAAACAAGCAGAGACGTACGTGTGAGAAAATCTTTGATCAGTTTTATCAGGTTTCTCAGCTCCTCGTTGCTCTGATCAACTCTCTGTTTGGTTTTATTCGTCTTCATCAGGACATTCTGAGCACTAAGTTTCGCTTCATCAGCCTGCACCTTCACCTCTGCCACCTGAAGACAAATTACAGCTAAGAACATTTTGTACAGTTCTGCTACAAAATAATTTCAGACCAGGACACAGCAGACTCACCATATTTGAGAGTTTCTCTACTTCTGCCATGGCACTGGTGATTTCCCTTTCAGAATCTTGAGTCTTTACCAAGACAACGTTGGCTGTAGTCGCTACTCCACATCCATCTCCACTACACCTAGCCTTAGCTTCTGAGTCTGGACAGCCCAGACCCCCACAGGATGAATTCCAGCAGGTATCATGACTTGTTGGTGAATTACCACAAAGCTGCAAGAACCATGGCAGAAATTTAGATGAACAAAGATTAAAGGTATAAAGGCTGTTAGACTATACAGTTCAAGTGAAGATTCAAAACTTGATTGAAAAATAATTATTGAACACAAATAAACAAAACAACCTTTTGAATGATTAATGTGAGATCCAGAGTCTGCAGTTCTCCAGCTAGGGTGTCCAGTTTTTGAGCGTGCTCAGTGTGGTTCCTCAAAAACGGCTCTCTGTTCTGGTTCAACTTGTCCTCTGTGAGTTGCCGTAGAGCAGCGGAGGTTTCCACTGGGCTGCCTGCAATGATGGTTGAGGCATTGGCTCTAACTTCAGCTGTCTGGGACTGCAGGAAGTATTTAATAACACTGTCTGTTGCTCCTGTGGATATGCAAACACAACATAGTTAAAACGTTCCAACACTGGTGCTTTAAAGGCTTAACACTTCTAATAATCCAAACCCAACAACGATCTGCAAAGTAATGTCCACTAATTATAAAATGTGCACATTCTCAGAACTTTAAATTTGAGCATTGGATTGAATTGATGCTTTACAAAATGGAGGTCGAGCAGCTGGTGTCCAGGTGCAGCCACAACAACCTGGTGCTAAATACTCAAAAGACAGCAGAGGTTATTGTGAACTTTAGGAAGCACACAGCCCCACCTCCCCCATAACCCTGTCTGACACTTCCATCACGATAGTCATGTCACTTCCTAGATACCCCCATGACTTCAAGTGGGAGCCCACTATCACCTCTCTCATAAAACAGGTCCAGCAGAGAATGCACTTCCTGAAGCAGCTGAGGACATTCTACCTGCCAATACAGTCAGTGAGGCAGTCCTACGCCGCAATCATCAAGTTCATCCTCGTCTCTTCCATCGCCGTGTGGTATGCTGGAGCTACCATCTGGGATATGAAGAGACTGCAAAGTGTTATGACCTCTGCTGAGAAGGTCATTGGCTGCAAACTCCACTCAGAAACTGTACACCTCCCAAGAAATTGTGGTGTGCAGGTTGGATCACAGCTGACCCATCTCACTCTGGACAGTCTTTCCAAATTGCTCCCTTCTGGCGGGTGGCTTTGATCCATTCAGACCAGAAACTCTCACCACAACAACAGTTTATTCCCCTCTGCAGTTTGACTCGTGAATGACAATTCCACTACTGCCCCCTCCAGTTGCCTTATTTCAGTCACTTGACCCTGCACTGAATTTGGGCTCTAATCAGTAACTACAATGTCTTGTATATACTGATGATTTCTCTAATGACTGTTCCTTTATAATATTATTTTAGTGTGCTTATCTTTTATTTTTGCACCAAGTCTCGCAGCAATTTCCTAATGTTCTGAACCCGCTCATACATATGACAAGAAAACCTTTCTGATTCAGATTCTTAGGTTGAGGCTGAGGCCTCCTCTGGAGCAAGCCGGGGGCAAGCTGCTAGTGCTGACTGATCATCTTCTATCTGTCAATCCAAAGGACACACCACTAATAATTCATGCTTTCTAGCTTTAATTATATATAACCAGATGAATAATCAAAAATTGCCCAATTGTGGCCCTTGTTTGTGGTATAGCCTGCCAGACGACCGCAGGGCAGTAGAGACTGATGTATTTTAAAAGAGGCTCAAGACCTTTGCCATATCTGATCATTGGCCCTGAGAGCATTCCCCTGATTGGTCAAAAAACTTGGACATTTATTCTCTGCCATCAAGACAAACTTGAGGAGTTTGGGTGTTTTTGACCAATCAATGTCTCTTGAAGGCCACTCAACAACATTGGTCCAAAACTGTTTTTATCACTTAAGACATATACAGTATCTTAAGAAAGGTTGGTGTCAAAACATGAACTCGAAACGGTTCTCCATGCCTTTATTTCCTCCCGTCTAGATTACTGTAACACACTCTTCATGTTTTAACAAAAAAGCTCTTGACCGCCTTCAGTTGGTCCAGAACTCTGCAGCGAGGCTCCTAACTGGAGCAAACAGAAGAGCACACATCACTCCTATTCTGATGTCTCTGCACTGGTTACCCGTTAACTTTAGAGCTCATTTTAGAATCCTGACTATTACTTTCAATGCTCAACATCAGGGCTATTCAAGTTCGGGCCTCGAGGGCTGGTATTCAGCACATTTTAGTGGTTTCTCTGGTCCAGCACACTAGATTCAGTGGTTGAGTCACCTGTGCAGTAGCTCATCAGGCTCTGCAGAAGTCTGTTAATCACCTGCTGATTGAAATCAGGTGCGTTGAAGCAGGGTTAAAAGCTGGGACGTAATTTTGGGGGGGGACGGGTGGGACATGTCCCCCCCACTTTTTCAAAAGGCAGTTTCGGTCCCCTGCACTTTTTTCCGTCCAAAAACAATGTTACGCTCCATTAAATGGATTTGATTGAGCACTAGGACCGAAACGGAAACCGGTTTCCTATTAGACCCACCCAAAAGCTAATCTATTGGCTCTGCTGATACTTGCTAACGTATTATTGGCTGTTGCTGCTGTCACTCCAAGTTGTAAACAGAACGTGCTCACGTTGTTTTGCTAGTTTGGAGCCGCTAGGGAACACCGGTACTGAGTCACATCGTCAACTAGACGCTGTGTAATATCAGAGCTCAGCTCAGCTTCCATTACATAACATTTGAATAAGTGTTCATTTGTGAGTCTTTGGTAGTTAGGCACAGCCAGGAGGCAGCATGTCAAGAAACGAAAGTGGATATAAGAGACTTCTTTCAAAGTCAAAACGTAAGTTGGAACATGTGACACCCCTGCATTAAGCTCAGACTCACCTCCTCCTTCACACACATACTCAAAACTAACTTTTACAAACTAATCTCCTCCACATAACTGACTCCTCAGACACAATTTATTCGTATTATTATAATTATTATTATTATTACTATTATCATCATGATTATTATTACTAGTAGTAGTAGAAGTGTAACTTCAAAACTTTTATCATTTAACTTTATTGTAAACTTATCTATTGCAATGTATATGTTCACATTAAAAAGCTCTGAAAAATGAACAGTATCATCGTCAACAGATTTTTTAAGCTTAATGTCAAAGATGTACTCTTTTCATTAGATTTATCTTATTTTTTCCATTTATTTTTTGTGTGTTGAAATGCAACAACTGTTTAAACACTTTTAAGGGAAAAAACATATTTAATATGTTTTTATACACTCAAATTGGTAATGAATAATTTACACATTATATTAATAATAATTGTGAATCATACTAGAACCATCCTGTAAATATTTCTGTTTGTTCCATTCCAAAATCTCCCACTGTTTATAGTTCATGCATCTTTTTTTCAGGTGAGTGACAGAGATGCAGGAGGAGAGACCGGTGAAGGTACAGCAGGAGAGGCTGTAGGAGATGGAGGATGAGAGCCTGGAGGAGATGGAGCAGAGGCTGGAGGCTCACAGGTGAGGTTGAAATAATGAAGATACGATAGACATAAAATTGATCATTGTGACAAATGTTAGGGTGATGATCATGTGTAAAACATTAGTTCAGCATGTCCTCTAACACAGCAAATGAAATAACGGCCAGATCTCAGGAGGGACCGTTTATGTATAAATACTTTTTATACTTTTGACTAGGCCTGGGAAAGTAACAAATTTTGCTGGACGATATTTTGTCCAACAAATTGTTGATGATAAACGATTTCATTGTCAACATTATCTAGACCAAAATAACCACTAATATAATGTTAATATATCATAATAATGCAAGTACACCCTTTAAAATGCAACAAGTAAACCTTCATTTAACATTGAAATGTCCAGAACCAGAACTTCTAAATGAATAAAAATAACAAACAAAAATTAAATAAAAAAAAGAATCTCACTCCCTGTTAGAAAATGTTGCACCAAAAACAATAAAAAAAGACCCAAAACAATAAATACAATGGCCTATCCATTGTCAACAGCCAAAACTGCACTTCAATAATGATAATAAATATTAATGATAATAGAGTTGTACATTTTTTAACTTTGATATATATATATATACATATTGAGGATGGAAAAATTATTGAGATGGGCATGTGACGTGTCAAAGGGTCTTTACATAACACCCCCACCCCAAATCCGCACAAGCCTGCTGTGTCCCCCCCACTTCTGAAATCAAAATTTCGTCCCTGGTTAAAAGTAAAGCATGCTGGATACTGGCCCTCTTGGTCAAGCTCCTCTCTCTGTTACTGAACTGTTAAAGCTCTAACCCGAGCCCTGCGGTCCACACACCAGAACCTTCTAGAAGTTCCAAAGACCAGGTATAAAAGTCGAGGTGATCGCTCCTTCCAGACAGTTGTACCCCGACTTTGGAATGATTTTCCTTTATCCTTATGTATTATTGACAGTCTGGGCATCATTTTTAAAAAGCTAAAGACCCTTTAATTTAAAGCTGCTTTTACTAGAATCTTTTGACTTTCTGATTTTGACTAACTAATTTTAATGTGGATCGTTATGCTGATCTTGGCCCTCTTTCTCCATACTCAAAACCAATTGTTACCAGTTTGGGGGTGAAACTTGATGCAGGACTTAAATTTGATGCTCACATCAACTCTGTGATCCGGTCCAGTTTCTTTCACCTGAGATGCCTTGCTAAAATCAAGCATATGCTATCGAGAGCCCACCTGGAGCGGGTACTGCATGCCTTTGTAATTTCTAGGCTTGATTACTGCAACTCTCTCTACGCAGGGTTGTGTCAGTCATCACTGCGTTGCCTACAGGTTGTGCAGAACAGCGCTGCCAGGTTCCTGACTGGGACCAGGAAACGGGACCACATCAGTCCGGTTCTGGTCTCCCAGCACTGGCTTCCAATTTGCTATCGCTCACAATTCAAAATCCTCGTCTTTGTTTATCATTTCTTCCAGGGTGGTGGTCCCCCCATCTGGCCACTCTCCTGAACAGACATTCCCCATCACGTGCTCTGCGCTCCTCTGACCAAGGCCTGCTCGCTGTCCCTCGGTCTAGGTGTCGTACCCATGGGGACCGGGCTTTCTCAGTCCTAGCACCGTTACTCTGGAACCAGTTGCCACCCTCAGTTAGGCTGTCCCCATCTCTGCCAGTCTTTAAGAGTCGCCTTAAAACACACCTCCTCCGCTTGGCGTTTCCAGAACATGTTTGATTTTGGCTCTCTTTTATGTTGAATTTATTTCACAGTTTTCATTGGTTCACTCAATCCAATTGTGTTTCACACATTTGTCCTGTAACAGAATGTTTCATCTATCTTGTAATTTGTATTTTGTAATTTGAATTGCTTTTATTGTTGATTTATTCAATATATTTACCTACAACTGAACCATGTTCAGCGCTTTGGGCTTCCTGACAGGGTTGCGGAAGGCGCTTTATAAATAAAGCTTTGATTGATTGATTGATTGATTGATTGATTGATTGATTGATAACTCAAATTTGAAATCATCTTTCATCTGTTTATGAAATGTAATAATTTTATAACTTTATTTGTTTCTGATGTTAGTCTTTTTCATTATGATTTTATGACTATTTTATTCAGTTTTGATCTTTGTGAAGCACTTTGTGATTCTATGTCTGTGATAAGTGCTTTATAAATAAAATGTACTTACGTACTTACTCTAAATACGAAACACTGAAGATGGTCAGGGTTCATAGCTGATCCCTATTAAATGCTCACATGTATGGTTTTTTTGTTTTATTAATGAGAAACAGCCAATTACAAACAAGATTTGGATTTCTTACCTCTGATATTAGAGTTTTTGATAAGCTCTACTTGATCCAGAAGCTCCTGTACTGTTTGCTCTAGTTTCTGAGCATCAGATGTCACTAATTGTAATTTGTTTTTTATGTCGGAATTTTGTTTGTCCGCCAGAAACAGGGTCTCTTCAGTGTTGTCCAAAGTCTGATTCAGAGATGCCATCAAGTCACTAAAAAACAGTGGTCAAAGATTAAAGTGTGAATTTACCAGGGCTGTTATCTTACCAGTTTTTAATCTCACCTGGCTTGTTGCAACAGATGCTGGATCTCAGTTTGAGGTTCTGAGGCTGGGTTTTGGTCGAGAATAACCTGGATGTCTGCAGCACTCTTTTCCATACTCTCAACAGCCTTCCTGAATGGTCCGTTAATTCCACTGGATTTAATGGCCCCGATTTTATTGACCAATCGATGTGTCTGATTGGTCAACTGACCAATGATACTATCCCATTCTGCAAAACACTGGTGGCAGAGGTGACAGTCTGGAAATGTTCCAAAATATCCACGAGCACAGCTGTCACACCGAGGTCCAGACACTCCCCCCACGCAGACACAGTGACCATTGGCTTTGTTACACTGTTGCTCAGAGATCCCACGAGGGTCACAGTCACATGCTGAGGGGACACACCAGAGTTCAGTTAATTCTGCTTTCTCATCTTTAAACTTGGAAAAAAAACTATTAACCAGCCTCAGTTTCCACATGTTGCTCCTTTTGCCAGAAATAAAGGACCATTTGATCAAATTATGTAGCTTTCAATAATAATCAGAACCCAGTAAATTAACCCCGGCAAATACTTTATTGTGTGTTAATGCATTTTTCTATTTTATTTTTTTGAAAGTCTTTTGCTCTTGAAATATTTCAAAACTTGCAAAAAATAAATGCGTGCACACACTCAACTGAGCATAGTAATATGACACACTTGGAGGAAGTTATAAACTTCAGTGGAAACATAGTAAGAAAGCATTTTTAAGCAATATAGAATTTGAATGTACAGAAAATTATGTACTTGGAATGTACATTACATTATCTACCTTCAATAATTCATTGCAATCAATAGTTTTTGATCAATGTGCCTGCTTTTGAAACCTTATGACTGTTTTAAGTCTGTTTTGATTGCTTGTACATATTGTAAATGAGAGCAGTCCTTTGTATTCATGTCTAACTGTTTTATATTATTTTTATCTTGTATGTTTTTATCTTATCTGTTGTTCCTTGGTGTAAAGCTAACTATGTGTCTGCTGCTGTGGCCTCTTGGCCAGATTGTCGTCGTAAATGAGAATGAGTCCTCAATCGACTCATCTGGATAAGAACGGTTAAATAAGCATCTGCATGAGTGACTGTAAACCAAACTGTGCATGCAGCTGTGGGCACAACAGTGTCAATATTTGAGAAACCATAGAGAACCAAACCTGTCACCATTAGAAATAAACACAAATGGCCTGGTACAGTAATTCAGTTAAGTCACAGAATTACATTTTGCCAAGAGATCATAAAAAATTCACAAGGTTTTTTTTTTATCAATTTTGTTGTTTTACTTATTTGCCTCATTTCATTGTTCATCCCTCACTTGATGAGGGAGGTTCTGTGATTGTGTTTGACTTGAAGTCTAGCATACTTTGCAGATGTGCCTTTGCAGCTTTAAAGAAATTTAGAAATATGAATAAAATAATGTTGCATTACATTTATAATCTGTAATCGATTTTTATTTGCTATTAATTTCTAGTTCACTGTGAAAGTCATAATAATTCTTAACAGCCCTACATTTTTACATCCTTGTTCTATTTTATGATTCGCGTTTTACAATATTCTAGGGATGCTCCAATTTGATCACGGGATTTTCAGAAAATGTAAATCTGGTGGGAAAAATCGTATTAAACCATTTAAAACAACAAACATCAATTTTTAATTCATCCTGAGAAAGACGTTGTCAAAGGGAATAACAATAGCTTAGTTATGAATATTACAAGTTCTTCTACATCTATATTTTCTGTTTCTCTGACGACAACGCTGTTAAGTCCCACAATTTACACACCATAACTTGTAGCAGTTAGCTAACAAAGAGCATACTTGTTGCCACAAGAGAAAGGTAAAATCTGTCATTTTGACATATTTTAAATGGATGTATTTGCTGCAGTTCACTGCAGATAAGCCAGTTGACATGAACAGAAGATGTGTTCAGAAAGAAGAAATATTCTACAGACAGCAAAAATGCAGAGATTGAAGTGTATTTATCATGCTAGATGAGTGTCTGTGGTTGCAAATGTCAGCTTTTGCAGTCTCTCTGAGTTGTGGTATGATGTTTTTTCTTACTACCTTCAAAGAAGCAGCAGAACTACAAGTGTTTTGTACAAAAGACTGACCCTGTTGCTGATTGTCATGTGCCGTGCCATCCTTGTCGCTCAAAACAATTGCAAATTGAGTAACGGGTTTAATTTTATACATATTATTAATATTAACACATTTCTTCATAATGTAAATGGAAAATTAACATTTAATTTTACATTTATTCCTATTAATACTAGTTTCTTGTTAATGTAATGGGTAAATGACTATTTACTTTTAACTATATTCCTAATTTTAACATGTTTCTTATTAATGTAAATGGTAAATGGCAATGACTTTTACTTTTTTTTAATAACAACAAGTTTCTTATTAATACTTCCAAAACAAATGTGTTGTGGCAAAAAAAGAAAGAAATTACATTAATACAGAAATAAAGAAATGTATTAATATTTGAAAAATAAAAACTTAAAAGTCAATTCTAGAGTGTTCTCCTTTTTTTAACTCATTCACCGCCAGCGTTTCTTATCATTTTTACTGATTTTTTTAAGAGTCACAGAACGTTGAGCGCTAGGATGACGTCGACGCCAAAACAACCAAAACAAAGCGGAGACTCACCTCTTGCATCAGGAAGAATCCGCGTGTTTCGAGCGTTATCCGTTCTTTCATAATCCGTTGTTGAATTGTGATCGGCGGAAGCTTTTCCGGTTCGCGCCTCACTTTTTTTAACAGCAGCGACCCAAAACAATCTCCTAACACACTGATTTTCTGCTTCCTGATCACGTGACGTGTGACGTACGTGGATGAAGATCGGCTTTAGAGCTGTGATGTTTGTTCACTTGGTGCGGGGGCTCGTCTGACGCTCACACAGTGAAAAAAATGCAAATGACGACTTTAGTCGTCATTGGCAGTGAGTGAGTTAAATGCATTACTAAAGTATTGGATCAGAACTCATTATTTGAATATTCTTAAAATCAAATGACGCAGAATCGGATTGGGAGCAAAAAATATGTGATCGCAACATCCCTACGTTACTTTTCCTATTCAATTCTTTATGTAAAATGTTTCCTTCTGACTTCTTCACTTTAGTATCTTACTCTCTACCCCCTAGAAGGTCCAATCAGAACCACCTCCAAAACAAGCGTCCTACCAACAGAGCTCATTTTTATGCATACATGTGGAGGTTCAGATCAACTCTGATCTCATTTCCATGAAGACAAAATAACTTGAATTGAATCCGATGGCACCAGAAGAGCTTGGCTAGCTGAAATGTATTAACAGGCTTAAACAATTCCACAACATTTAACATGCATCCCAGTTCTGGATTAGAAGCAAGCCTTTTCAAGAGTAATACAGTAGCAACTACTGCTCCAGTGTGATTTTAATTTTTAAACCGATATCTGATTTACCATGGCATTTGACTTCAGGGTCTCCCCAGAACAGCTCTCTACACTCGCTGCACGTTTTTCCTCCAAAGCCAGGGTGACAGGAACACTGACCACTAATCTGTGGAGCAAAAAGACATGGATTACTTGTTTATTATTTTATTGAACAAGGATCAGAGAAGATTGTTGTAATGAGACCATATCCTTCCCCACATTATTTTCATGTCAGCAGTGCTCAGAGTTGTTGCATTCAGCAAAGCTCCTCACCTCATTACAAGATGTCTCATACGAGTGTTTAGTGTCACAGTTGCAACTCTGGCAGCCGAGTCCACTGGCCAGATTCCAGGTGTCAGGAGCACAGTGATCACAGCGTTGACCAATCACGTTGGGCCTGCAGTAACACTGGCCGCTGTCTTGGTCACAGTTACAATTGCTGGAAGACGGACAGCTGGATGGTTCACTCCCCAGCTGATTGCACACACATGCTGATAAAAAAAGTCTGTTTTTCAGGTTTTATCTTAACATATACACATGCACAATGCACAACAAATGTAATGTAATATTTTGTTGTCAATCATCTTGATTGTGATCTTATTGTTTCAATGACACCAAAAATATACTTTGTTTTCAGTCTATTGATCCCAGTGTCCTTACATATGTTATGGCTCATTTATGTCTAGCTGAGGGTCTATTAATGGTTAGAATGCTGTCATCCACCCACTCTCAATAAACAGAAGACTGACCCTCTATTTTAATGTTAAAAAACAATCTCAACAGTGCTGTTTACTGCCAAGTTTCAGGGAAAGGATGTTGGTCAGAAGCTTAAAGCTGGTCAAAACAAACTTTAGGATATTGTATAATCAGGCTGTAGAAATTATTCAACAGAAAAAAGTGCTTCTTTTTCCTCCTTCTCTCATATAAAGCTTTTAATAATCAAGCTCCATCATACATCAGTGATCTGATTGTTCCACATGTCCCTAACAGAGCATTTCGCTCTCAGACTGCAGGTTTACTGGTGGTTCCCAGATTATCTAAAAATAGGGTCGAAAGCAGATCTTTTAGCTATCAGGCTCCTCTCTTGTGGAACCAGCTCCCAGCTTTAGTCCATAAGGCAGACACATAGGAGTTGTCTTTTTCCACACAAATTAAGTTGGACCTGTGGATAGAGGAGCATCCGAGGGGTTGAATAAAGTTTGGAGACAATCTGCTGGTGTGGAGTGTTTGTGTGTGTGACTCCAAAGTAGCTGCATGGCTACAGCTTCCTAATGCACAAAATATTACCCTCTAAGGGAGAGGCGGGACAGTGCGGGGGGGGGGGGGGGGGGGGGGGGGGGGCTGTAGATGGCTAGTGTTTACTTGGAGATGGGCAGATGGTTTTTCAGAAATCTCTGCGATTTTGACTAAAAAATGACCAGAAAAACTAATGGTAGTCATCATACCCTGGAGAAAAGTCCCAGGAATAAAGCACTGAACATCACAAAAGAAGCAAAAAAATGTTTCCCCGCAAGGAAAAAAGTTCAATCACCAGAGAGAGGAACATCAAAAGCAGAGGGTGGGGGAATCCACCAACACCAAATCACACCCTGATTAGGATAAACAAGAACTTGTGTTCCTGTAAGTGAACTAAAAGCAATGACAAAGGTGGCAGGGAAGTTAAACATTGGTATACTCACCTCTGCAGTCCTGAACCAAGGCATTGCCATAGTAACCCAGTTTGCATTTCTCGCAGCTGTTGCCTTCGCTGTGGTATAGGCATCTGAGACACTTGCCATTTAAGGTGTCACAGGACCCTGGGTCCATCGTGTCAATGTTGTTGTTGCACTGACATGGATGACACTGCCCACCTGCCTCAGCAGGGTTTCCATAGTACCCAGGTAAACATTCCTCACAGCGAGTACCTGGACAAAGCAGGTGACAAGAAAATGTAAATGTTCTGTTAAAGCTGGGAGAAATATGTTTATCTGACATCAACACTTTTGGTTTTGATTCCAGACTTTACTATCAGAGCTCTAAACCATTTCTTGCTACTTCTCAGTTTAATCTTTGTTTAAAGAGACAATGTGTAGTTTTTACCATGAATCTCTGGAAATATCCATTGAAATGTTGTTGAAATTAAATTAACTAATGCCCAGTTGTTGAAAACTACTGGCGGCTTTGTGACATATAACCATAAAAATCAGGTTTAAAATACATGGGAGTGGGTCCATGTATTCGTGTGCTGTCCGCTCCTCCTCTGTTCACATCAGGTGAGACTTTTCAATGAGCGCTTCTGCTGCCTACTGTTGTCCCACCCTGCCCCACTCCCGTGCCCTTGCTATGCACGTGTGTGTGTTTGTGTGTGTGTGTTTGTTCATTTTCATCTCTCTAGACGGTTTACACACACAAAAATGATCACATTTATCAATCGCTGTGTTTTATTTTGAAAATTTTCTTTTATTTTGTTAAATTTACCGGCCTGCCTCTTCTGCTTGGGTTTGATTTCATGCCAGAATTGATACGGCTCACAAAAAAATTAGAGCTCATGCCAAAACGATCGCTGCATGGCGCGAGCCTTTGTGGCATGTCGCAGCTGGTGTGACCAAGAGTGTAGGTTAACAAGGGTGCCGATAAGAAGCACTCATCGTTCCATGGCGCTTTGCAGCGCATCTTCGCGCTTCCGCATCTGATGTGTTCCAGGCGTTAGTCTCTGGGCGATGCCATATTAGACGCCATGTTTCCTTCTAAGGGAGCACGTGAGGACAAAATGCATTTACTGATTTGTAACAAGTGGTTACAAAACTTTTCCCATTAATAAACGTTGTTTTACACATTTACCTCTTCACTCGTTTCCAGTAATGAAAGGGTGTCTGATGTGCTCGTCATTTTGCTGGAGATTTAACAATCTGACAAAGTACTCATTCAAAAATTGCGCTCCAAGAGATTTTTGACCCTAATGGCCAACCGTTGGTAAGGTCTTTCTCGAACACAAAATTACCACGTGCTTACCACGACTCCAAAAAAAAAGACACATCGTCACTTTCAGCGTTCTAGCTTGTCGAAGCTTATTTTTATAAAGCACAAGACTCTATCCAGGATAAGTAGGATTCCTCCTGGTGTGTGGAGTGCCATGTTCTCTCCAATTTTCTAGAGTTTTGTTTTAAAGTTTATAGATCAGAATGAAACCAGGGAGCCAACTTCCTGGGCAACATCTTCTAATGCCACACTAAAGAAGAAGTAACATTATGAACTAGATCATCAGTTTGTGAAGGGTTAAAAATGAAAATATTGCCCTCTGCTACGTTCCTCTGAGATGCTGAGGACAGTAAAGATGGAACTGTTGACTTAAAAAATGCAACTGCGTTGTCAGAGACAGACCGACTATAATGAAATTTACTTTCATGTCTCGAGAACTCAGTTATAAAAAACTCAAAGGTTATCAAAAAGTGGTCCAAGAGGACTGTATTATGCAGAAATATTGTTATTTCCTCACACTCTATGCCATAAGTCAGCACAAGGTCCAATGTATGATGGCAGGAGTGGGTGGTGCTATGTATCCTTTGGGTAAAACCAATTGAGTCTAAGATATTACTAAAGGCTACATTGAGGCTATGACCTTATCAGTATTTAGCACCAAATCAGATAAAAAAAATCAGAGATCTGATCCAAAAACTCAGAGTAAGGGCCTGGTGGATGATAAAAAACTACAAACAAGAGTGGTTTTACAGTTTTGCAATCTGGATTAGGAAAATTAAGAATAAGATGTTCAAAAGAACTGTAACTATTAATCGGTAAGGGACTGATTAATAGATCTGGATGAAAAATGGTTGCTGCTACTCCTCCTCGCCCTGTACTCTGAGCAATATGATGATTTAAATGATTAGAAGGAGTTGACTCCTTTAAACTAACACAGTCCTTATGTATTCACTACTTATTATGGACTCAAGCAAAGTGGAAGTTCATATTAAAGTTTTAGGCCAGCAAATGAGAAAGCTTTATGAAAGTCCAATTTCAGAGCCTTCCCTCATGTGGATTAATCAGTCTTTAGATTATCAGGATAAGTTTAACCCTTTGATGCATGAATTATGAAATCTTCAACCATGATTTTTTTTAACATTTTTTTTCATTCATCTTTAGATGTGAATGAAACAAATTTCATATTTACATATTTTTTGTAAAATTTAATTTACAAATAATTTATTACATGTCCACCTCAGTGGACAGTGTGCAATCTGAACATGAAATATGTTGGCTTGACTTACTGAAGTCCAAATGGAGGGGTTCAAATGCAATAAAGTCTTCAACAGCTGTGCTTAATAGCAAAAATAAATAAATAACAATTTTGAGTACCTGTCCACTGTAGTGACCATTATGCATCAAAGGGTTAAACTCATGAAAAGACACAAAATGACCCATCTTGATCTCTTTAACCAAGACCTCTAGTTTTCTTGGTTCAGTTGTAGAAAACTTTTTTACTGGAAATTAATGCTGATTTGGGCCATGAAGGTTACTGGTATGGCTGATATGGCTGTTTGACTTTGTACACAACTCTAAATCTGGGGTTTTCAGAATGAATCAAGTCGTGCAGGTTTAAGGAGGAGATGCACACAAAAATTGTTCCAAATGTGAGATTTGTCTTGCAGAAAGATTATGCAAATTAATTATACAAATAAAAATTGAAGTTTTTTGGGTTTTTTTTTTCTCAACCTCATTGTCAGTAAAATTCTTACCTTTGTATCCCGTGTTGCAGACACAAACAACCGATTCAGAATCGTCACTACGATAGCAGCGTCCTGCAAACTGCCGCAAACTTCCAGGTCCATCAGGACACATACAGGGACGACAGTAGTCCACTGACCCCAACACTGGATCACCATAGAAACCATCCAGACATCTAAACACAAGGGAGAAAATATCTGCTGAGAACACAATTCATCCTTGCACATTAAGTCTCCCATTTTCTCTGGGTCGTCCTGTTTTTGATTTACAGTGCACCTGTCACAGTTGTGTCCAGTGGTGTGATCCCTGCAGGCGATGCAGCGGCCTGTGTCGGCATCGCAGGCATCAGCATGTCCATTGCAAGAGCAGGGTCGACATGATGGAAATCCCCAGTAGCCTGGCAGGCAACGATCACACTGCCGTCCATATGCACCGGTGACACAGACACACTGACCAGTCAGTGTATTACAGAAGGGGCTCTGTGATCCCTGAAGGTCACATGCACATTCTGAAAGATTCACAAATAAACAGAGAGAAAAAAATGTGATCAACAATACTGCTGGATGGGAAGCTTGTAGATACTCTCTTGTGGAATGTATCCGTTTCATAAACATTTTTAAAGCTAGCATGGTAGCAAGTAGAACTTATGTATGCAGCCCTTGATCAACATGTTACATTTTACTTCTGGGCATACTTTTATTTTGGTGACTTTTTTTTATTGTTCTGGGTAACTCACGACACACTTCCTAGTCACATGGTTGCTGTAGTGTATTTCTCTGCTAAAGAGCTTGGGTGAATTACACAGATGCTAATTCAGTCGTCAACTGCACCCACCGTCTACATAGCTGTGCCAGGTTCTCTGAATTCTCTTAAGCTGTATATCCTTGAACTCACCTCAACTCCAGGTGTTAAAACCAATGCTATGATAGTGTGAGCCTGTACTGAAGTAAGTACATTTGATTAATTTTATAGGTTATCAGAGTTATAATGTGTACTGTTTTCTGTTATTGTTTTTATTGACAATCGAATTGTTTTGATGATACCCATGAAGTGATATGAAGTGAACATCATGACTTGCTTTGAGATTGTAGCTTATTTTGTATATTTAAGATTTAATTAAGTTAAAGCATAAAGCTTGTGCAATGTTATATGCCTTTTAAACTGAAGTGCCTCATGATTTTTATCTTGAGAGGAGCTACATAAAATATTTCCATTTTTTTTCTTTTCCTCTAACTATATCAGTTTAATAATGTATAGTTCAGACATTGTTTTAGATGAATTATTTTTCCTTCTTTCCAAATATCAGACCCCTGAGTAACTGGAAATGGCAAGCCACCCAACCACCGCCACTCTGCAGTAGGAAGTCTTATTAACTGTTTTTTCCAAACTTTGCTTGTTGGATCGAATTAATGGACCTTTGAACTGAAGCAAAGAAAACACAGTTCCATAGTTTGTTTTTGGTGGTTTTGGTTTGTTTATACTTCATTTGTTTGTGTTATTTTTTTTAATACTTTAAGAGCTTTATTGGTGCCATCGTTTGTTATAATACATTTCATAGGCACTTGTGTACTATTCACCCTTAAGCTCCACAGCTGAGCCTATTGGAACTGAATATTGTTTTTAACCAACATTAAATGTACAGTACATGTTTGTCTAACTTCAGCAACTGCTGCATCACATGGGGCAGTGATTGCCAATCAGAGGTACACATGCCCCTAATGGTACATGAGCGCATTACAGGAGGTACGCGGAAAAATTATTGCGTCATCACCCATATGATGACAGCATTTGCTTTGCCCCTGGTAAAAAAAAAAAAAAAAAAAAAGAAGAATAAAAAGAAACACATTGGGCTGGGATGTGTTGTGCTTAATGAGTACCCAAATATAGTAGTGCAGTGATTTATGGGTTATGCCATATTATCAATTTTAAATTTAGGCCAACTGCGACTGTGCATGAATTTTGTCAAGCTGTGTCAGCTATGGAGGGTGTTGCACAGGCCAGCCGTGCGCGCGCACACACACACGCACGCATGCACGCACACACACACACACACACAATTAAATGTCTACTTTGTGTGCATAATTTTATTGTTATAAGCAGTAGAGTTGTTTGCTATAGTATGTTACAATGGTGGTTTAATTTGATTAATATGTGTGGTTTATAACTTATCACTGAGTCATAGTCATAGAACATCATATTAATAGTGTGACAACTTCCAAAGGAACATTTTATATTCTCCCGACTCTCTCTGCGTGCTCTAGCAGCCTCAATGTGATACCAGTGATTTCATCGCTCATCAAAAGTATTCTCGTAAAGCATAAACAAGTTTTGAATAGTCTACATAAATTAATGGAGAAAAGGACCTAATAAAACACCAAAGCAGTTGGCGATCAAAGACAAAGATACTTTATATAAGGAACTAGCTGAAATAGTGACTATTCTCAATAACCATTTTGTCAACTCTGCTAGACTGACTGATGACCAATTGATGCATCACAGCCAGTCTTTGTCCTGACTGAAATATCTGAATTCAAGGTTAAATCTATAATCACATCTATTAAGAACTCCAAATCAAAAGATATATTTGGACTGGACTCCATGTATTTAAAGAAACATGCTGATTCTCTTACAGGGCCCATTACTACGATCATAAACACCTCTTCTACGGAGAGTAAATTTCCAAATGACTGGAAGTCCGCTGCTGTTGTACCAGCCTATAAATCAGGAGATGTAACTGGCATGAATAACTATAGACCGATTAGTATCTTACCTATTATGTCCAAGATCTCTGAAAAATGTGTAGCTGAGCAATTAACTAACCATCTTAACAGCAGTCCTTTTAAACTACATCCTATGCAATTTGGCTTTAGAGCCAATCACTCTACAGAGACAGCTAACTGTTTCGTTGTGGAAAACATCAAGTCCAAATTGGAAAAAGGAGGTATAGTTGGAGCAGTTTTTTAGATTTGAAAAGAGCTTTCGACGCTGTCAACCATGACATACTTATCCAGAAATTGTCTTGTTTTAACTTCTCAACCAGTGCAACTGACTGAATGAGGTCTTACCTAGTGTGTGAGAGTTAATGGTGAGACATCGACACCACTGAGGAACACATTGGGTGTACCCCAGGGATCTGTCCAGGGCCCTATTCTATTCAGCATTTACATAAATGACCTGCCATCAGTGTGCACTGGATGTGAGGTGCTGATGTATGCTGATGATACAGTCATATATGTCCATGCAGAAACTAAAGCCCAAGCTGCTACTAAGCTTAGCGATGCAATGATGCGTGTACATAAATGGCTTACATGCTCGCAGCTGTATCTCAATGTTGAGAAGACAGTTTGTATGTTCTTTAGCAAAAGGAACACTTTATCTCACCGTGACCCCACTGTCGGTGTGTCTGGGGCGGGCATTCAAACAGTTACACAGTTTAAAAACCTGGGCATTATTCTTGACTCTACTTTATCATTTAAACATCAAGTGGAAAAGGTGGTGCAAATTACTAAATACAATTTAACAAATTTTAGGCATGAAAGAAACTGTTTAACAACACCTGTAGCAAAGTTATATATACTATAATTTTCCCTCACCTAACATATTGTGTTACAAGCTCGACCCAGGTGTGTAGTACAACATTAAGGCCTATCTTATCACTTCACACACAGGTACTTAAAGTCTTGGACAAAAAATCCCAGCCCTATCATCACTGTAATGTCCTTACCAAATATAACCTACTTAGTTGGGAAAATATCCTAAGATATAGTGATGCATGGCTAATTTTTTAGATTATGAATGGGAAGGCTCCCCCATCGCTTAGCACTTTTACACAGCAGAAGCTATCTAGCAGCAGAACCACACGGTCGGGACTGTGCTGTCCCTCATAGGTCTAGTTCCTTTGGTCAGTTGTGCTTTTCTGTGAGAGCCCCTAACGGAGTCAATTACCAGTGGACATTAGAAACTCTACTTCATATCATACATTTGCACTCCATCTTAAGAACTGGCTTTTAAGCACACAAAAATGTGAACACCTCATAATAATCATTGTATGTTTGTCTAAGACTTTATTGTGTAATCTATTAGATGTATGGGAGACTGATGGATATTTGGCTACTTTGGATTATTTAATGAGATGTATGGTTATATGAATATTTGTTTTTATGTTCTTATGTTTTCAAGAAGAATGTGCAATGGCATTGTGTTTTATTGATGTATATACATTCTTGTGCCATTTATTATGCTCATTTAATATGTTCTTTCTTTTTAGCCACCGTGTGCTTAGTAGAACATCTTGCCAATGGACTACAGTTGAAAATTAGCCTGCTGGCTAACATTGGCACATTAACAGAAATGTTGATTAATGTGCACTGTCCTTAAATAAATGAACAAATGGAAATGAAGGTAATGAGCACTGTTGCCTCCTGAATCTCCCATTAAATTAGCTTTGTGTTGTTGAAGCGTCACACTGTTGCAGTCGGCTTTGTCGTACCTGCTTCTAATAGTTCCCTGAGCGCTTTAGAAACATCATATGAAAATGTTCCTATGGGAAGGGTGGTTCTAGGAACTAAATTCTAAGAGGATTACGCAGTCCGAATGTGCCTATTGACTGAGTATTTGTGTTATGAGAAAACGGCTCATGGGGTCCACAAGTCAAAAATGGTTGGGAAATACTGACATAAGGCATTGATAGAACAACCTGTGTTGTGATTTATTAACCAGTTTACTGACCTCTGCAGCCACTTGCTCCAAACTGGAATGTGGCTGGAGCACATGTGTCACAGCTCCTGCCAATTACGTTGGGTCGACACTGACACTGACCCCCACTGGGATCACACACGGTGCTGAGGGAACCCTGACGGTCACATTGGCATTCTGGCAAATCGAGTCAAACATAGGACACGTTTAGATCAACAAGTTCCAGCACTCTGCAGATGTAATGAGGAATGGTGACAAATTTAGAAGCTGGGAAGGTTTCCTGAAAGAACAAACAAGTTCAGACTTGTTAAGGCAGTCAGGCTTAAAAGGGAAAATTGATGAGCAGCATTTAGAGTTCAAAAACTCTACAGGTTACCAGAGTTAATCCCCTGACATCTGCTGATATTAACACATTAGACTTTAGAATGAATGATTAAAACACAAGACTCTCCAACTTCACTCAACATTATCTCATGTATTTTGGGCAAAGCTTCTGTTGCATACAGTAAGTTATGAAGGTTCCTATTCAAACCAATCCACCTTTGTTTATATAGCACTTTATACACAACTCTGTTGACCAAAGCGCTGTACAGATAAAAAACAAACCAGCAAAGGTAAAACACTGTAAACAAACATAAAACACCAAAACTATACTAAAAATATTAAAAAATTAAACACAACACAGCTTAAAACAAACAAGAGTGGATAAGAACAATCAGGCAGTGTGTTAAACGCCAGCGAATAAAAGTGTGTCTTGCGTACTTAAAAACCGCAAGTGAATAGGTCCGTCTAGTACCGAGAGGTAGCTGGTTCCATAGTCTAGGTGCAGCAACAGTAAAGGCCCCATCACCCCTCAGCTTCAACCTTGCCTTTAGTACCACCAACTGCTGCTGGTCAGCCGACGTCAGCTGGCCTGTTGGCTCATATGGCAAAAGCATGTCCAATAGGATAGAAAGTGTCAGCCCATTTCAAGATTTGTATGCCTACACCAGGATCTTAAAACAAATTCTAAAAACAGCTGTGAAAATTGTAAATTGAAGCCAGCACTGGGTGCCCATTAGCAAACAAGCCACAGCATTCTGTACCAATTGTAGTTTAGAAAGACAACCCTGATTCACCGGAATATATAGACCATTGCAATAGTCAATTCTTGAGGTGATAAAAGCATGAATGAGTCTTTCCAGTTCGTTTTTCCCCAACACTAACTTGACTTGAGCCAGCTTCCTTAATAGGAAGAAGCAGGGAAGAAGCAGTTTAATGCTTCAGTAGCACTTTCCCATTTATTAAGGATTTAGTATAAAAATAACAAATGCAGATTGAATAGGCAAAGGTGGGAAACTGATATATTGCACCTTAATATGAATTATTTATTAGCCCATCTAAATGTACAAGGTTAGTGGTGGGGAGAAAAACAGCAACATTCCTCAGATGACAGGAACAACCACTCTTCCATTAGGTTTGGGATTATTGAGTTCTGAATTATAACGTTTTACAGACTGAGGTAATTAAGAAGGAAATGTTGACTTAAGGTGGACTGGTATACCTTTGGCTCCCTGATGCAACAGGGCAGAAATACTAAAGATGAAGTTCCTGCATATGTCAGTCATTGGTGTCTTGACAACACTTTGGCTGTTCTCTAGACACCGATAACGCTCAAATGTTTCCCAAGCATTATTTCCAGAGTCCCCTCCAACTGAAGTTATGAACATTTCCAGGTTCTTACAGTGAGGCATCAAGACAATCTGTAGAAGACAATAAAAAGCACAGAAAACACTGGTTTAAGAAACACGCAATAAAAATCAAGAACAGCCACTTGGGTTCCTTTAGACGTTTTAGTCTTCTTGTAGGTATAAAGGTCTCAGAATATGTTAGACCACATTAGATCCTGCAGATTCTACATAGTGTACTCATTCTTGATAACTGAACTTAAAGATTATTTTTCCCAATGGGTGAATCTTGAATTCTGTTGATTGGGTTCAATGTAGGGAGGTTCAGGGGGCCTGGGGGTTGGAACTAATTTGCTGTAAAACCATCCATCCATCCATTTTCGGCTGCTTATTCGGGGTCAGGTCACGGGACAGTAGCCTAAGCAGGAAGGCCCAGACTTCCCTCTCCCCAGTCACTTGGACCAGCTCCTCCGGGGAATCTTAAAGAGTTCCCTGACCAGCTGTGAGACATAGAACCTCCAGCGTGCCCTGGGTCTTCCTTTAGGCCTTATCCCGGTTGGACGTGCCCGGAAAACCTCACCAGGAAGGCATCCATATCAGATGCCCGAGTCACTTCAACTGGCTCCTCTCAATGTGGAGGAGCAGCGGGTCTACTCCGAGCCCCTCCCGGATGACCAAGCTTATCACCCTATCTCTAACGGAGAGCCTAGCCATCCTGCAGAGAAAACTGATTTTGGTTATGCTGTAAAACCACCATAATACATCTATTTTTACTGTGTCCAACTAAAATTCCTCACCGAGTCGATGAGCATGTATGGAGAATGGACATCGCTGAGGGCTGAGTACAGGGGCAAGCTCAGATGAATTGTGTAGTTCAGTCCAGATTCAAAACAAACTGGCCTTGGAAGAACGGCATATCTGTGGAACAAAGCTATTATCAAGTGTAAAATAATATTCTTTAATTATAGAACAGTCTTGTACCTTTTCTCATCACAAAAAATGTTAGACACAATCCCAACACCCAATTATTTGCACAAAATCTTTAGATTCTCTAAAATTCAACCCAGTAAATTAATCTGAATCATGTATTTATGAATTTTTATTAAGTGTGTTCTGCTAAGACCAAGTTTTGTTACAGTTAGGTATTCCAGCAACGCCACTGGTCTCAACTGTAGGGGCCTTCCTGGTCCATTGGATCAACCAGCATTATGGAGAGGGAAGAACTGCTACCTGGGCAACTACTGGACCTTCATATTACTCTGTCTTGGTTTCTGTCTATACTGTTGTCACAACGTGCTGGAGTTCTGTGACTTCAACCTCCCCTGTAAAGTTGTTCAGACTGTGGAGATCAGTTGACTGAGCAGCTTAAAAAGCAGCTCTAAACATCTTTGTAAGGGCTAACTTTGAAATGAAATCCTGGTCATTCAACATTTGCTCACTAGCTTCTTTTCATGCTGGTGTTTCTGTCATCTCTTGCCTCTTGCAAAAATTAATGGTACCAATTTGCAGAAATCTGCCATTGTGTTTATAATACTGTCAAGCTTGGCGGCATGAAAGCCGCAATATTCTTGCCTTGCCATCACAGTACTTTCAAATAACCCACCGGTGCAGCAGTATTACCCTGATTTGCCACCATGTTGTGTATTTTGATAGCCGCTAATAAAAAAATCTCACCTAATCATTTTTTGAGCACCTGAAATAGGAACTGCATTAAAAAAGTTTGATAAGAAATTTCTATTGCCACTGACCGTGAGCTGGGGTGTAGTGAAATCATTTGGTTGTCGTCATCAGGTACTGTGTTGACACAGCGGCTGTCTGCACTGATTGGTCCCGGCCTCATCACCATCATTATTACCTCCTCCCATTGGTCAGGCAGCTGTAGAACAAACAAACAGATCATGGCTTTTAATTGGGCACCAACATAGCTGCACATTTCATTATTTTTCCTTTTTTTTTCCCATAGCACCACTACAGCCAGTACCAATAATGGATGTGGCTGTCTGTTGCTTCACTTAACTTATCTTCTTTTCAGTTTCTTTAGAATTTTTCTGATGGTGCAAATCCCAGCTGAGTTATGGTACACAACTGAGTATTCTAAATTTTCCAGCTTCACATAATTGCGTGTTTTTAGTAGCATTTCTGTTGCTGGTAATCTAGTAACGGTTAAATTAATAAAAAAAATACTTAAAAACGACACTAGAAGAGGCACAAACCTGATGGAGGAATTAAATGTACTAACTTGGGTCAGACCCAAACACAAAAGAGCAGAAGCTGGGTGGTAAAGACACACAGGTAGTTCTAATAACACCTGAGCTCCATGACGTCTAAGACTGATGCAACAGTGTTACAGCGGGACCAAAGACATGATCAGAAACAGGTTACAGCTGGATGATCTAGGAAGGTAGAAGATCGTGATGTTTGAGCGGTGAACAGGTGAGCGGACCTTCGGGACGTCACGCTGTCACGCCAAAAAAGGCACGGCTGCAGATTCACACCTGCAGCAGCGAATCTGCGGGTCTGCAGCTGTAGACTGACTATTCATCACGTCTTCCTCGTTCTTCACGGCCGTGATGCACTTGGATGAAAACATCCACCTCTTTAGCTCCCAATCAGCTGGTGACATCTTCAACACACTGCGCTGCTGAATTAGTAACGCACGCATTTCCTTATCAGTAACAAAAACGGCGTTATGATAAAAGAAGACGGTAATTCATTAGATTACTCGTTACTGAAAAAACTATTTTTTGTCACGCTGTTATTTTAAAGGGCATTATTCCCATCGCTGCTCAAGGGGGACGGAAAGCGCTTAATACAGCACAAATAAAACAGAAAACAAGACACCAGCAAAAATAGGATTAGAAAAAAAATCTATCAAAGCAAATAAAAATATAAACTATTTAAATCAGATAAAAACCAGTCACTGAACAGATTAGGTGACGAGCCTAATGATAATGTGACTCTTGATGCGACTTAAAAGCAGCCAAAGATAGAGACAGCTGAATGTTAAGAGGTAACTTATTCCAGAGGAATGGGGCTAAAACAGAAAACGCCGTATCCCTGCATGTCCTTGTCCTGGAGAGGAACAGTAAGCAGGAACTGATCTGCAGAGTGCAATGACCTTGAGGGAACATGTCTTTTTAACAGATCACAAAAGTATGGAGGGGTACTGCCCTGACGAAACTGAAAGACAAATAAAAGGAGTTTATAACAGGCCTGATAAGAGACCGGAAGCCTATGGAGCGTTGCCAGCACAGGACTAACATGGTACCCTTTGTTGGACCCCATTAGACATGATCATTATATGTGTAGCTGAAACCAGTTGTGGCTCAGAATATTTTTGATTGCTGCATCAAATAGAAAATTCGTCGTCGTCATCTTCCTCCGTTTATCCGGGTCCGGGTCGCGGGGGCAGCATCCCAACTTGGGAGCTCCAGACCGTCTTCTCCCCTGCCACCTCCACCAGCTCCTCCTGCAGGATCCCAAGACGTTCCCGGACCAGATAGGAGATGTAACCTCTCCAACGTGTCCTGGGTCAACCCGGGGGTATCCTGCCGGCAGGACGTGCCCGAAACACCTCCCCAGGGAGGAGTCCAGGAGGCATCCTGACCAGATGCCCAAACCACCTCAACTGATTCCTTTCGATCCGGAGGAGCAGCGGTTCTAATCCGAGTCCCTCCTGAATGTCCGAGCTCCTCACCCTATCTCTAAGGCTGAGCCCGGCCACCCTACGGAGGAAACTCATTCCAGCTGCTTGTATCCGCAATCTCGTTCTTTCGGTCATTACCCAAAGCTCATGACCATAGGTGAGGATTGGGACGTAGATCGACCGGTAAATCGAGAGCCTGGCTTTCTGGCTCAGCTCCCTCTTCACCACGACAGATCGGCTCAGCGTCCGCATCACTGCAGACGCCGAACCAATCCGCCTGTCGATCTCCCGATCCCTCCTACCCTCACTCGTGGACAAAACCCTGAGATACTTAAACTCCTCCACTTGAGGTAGGACCTCTCTCCCGACCCGGAGTTGGCAAGCCACCCTCTCCCGGTCGAGAACCATGGTCTCAGATTTGGAGGTGCTGATCCTCATCCCAGCCGCTTCCCACTTTCAAATTCAATTCAGAAAACAGAATAAACAAAAATAAAACACATCCCCTCACAGTCTGCTTCCATAAACTGACTGGTGTCAGGTTCTCCAAACATTAAATGAGCACATGTTGGGTTTTAATGGCTCTGACATTGCACATATACATTGCAATGCTGATGCTCAAACGTAACAAACTCTAATTTGCATGTTCATTTGCAATGCCTAAACATTTCCTGAAATGGAACTGAGAAACTTTAAGACCAGACTTCTTATCCAGTCTACTTTATTTTGGGTTGGACAGCAAATGTCCCAAAACATATTTACCTGAGGCTCATAGCGAATTAGGATATCATACTCCATGGATTCAGGGATGTTGTCGACAGAAAACTCCAGAAACGCCCCCTCTGGGATGTTGACTAGGCCAATACCTGTCCAGGTGGGGCTACGATCATAATGATGAGGTCTTGGGACCACTGCCACTCCCTATGAACACACAAAACCTAATGAGTTTTACATCCAATATAGTTTTGCATCTTAAAAACATTTGTCAAAGAAAATAAATGTTTAAGTGGTATTTACTCATATTTTTAATACATTTGCAGTGGTCTCTTGCAGGACTGACTGCCTTGTGAGTCGTACTGGGGCGGGGAGCTCTGGTGCTAGGGTGACCAGATCCCAAATCGCTAAACAGAAACTACTCACTGTGGGACAATGTGAAATTTCAACACAAGACAAACTTAAACAGTAAAAAATTAAAAATTAAAAATCTATTCTGCCTTTTAGCTCTAACATCACTGAGAAATATACACAAAATCCTTACTATCATCATATATTTCATGTACGATTAAATTCAAATTGTACTTTAGCAAGTAAACATCAAAAGCTTTCATACTATTTCACCGTTCAATCTCCTACCATCTTTATGCAGATGACATCCAACTGTACATCTCCTTTAAGCCCCATGAGATGTCTAAGCTGCAGCTGTTACACACCTGCTTAGACTCTATCAAAACCTGGATGGTGGGAGCTTTCTTCAGCTGAATGAAGATAAGACTGAGATCCTCATCTGTGCCCCAGACAAGCTGGTTCCCAAAGTCAGACTCTCTTGGTCAGCTTGCTTCTCACACCAAACCTTCCATCAGGAATCTTGGTGTGACCTTTGACCCAGCTCTCACCCTGGATTCTCATGTCAGTTCTCTTGTTCGCTCTTCCTTCTTCCATCTCAGGAACATTGCTAAGCTGAGTCCCATTCTGTCCCGCTCTGAACTTGAGACAGTTCTCCACACCTTCATCTCCTCACGCTTAGACTACTGCAACTCTCTTTTCACGTGTCTGAGCAGAACCTCCCTGAACCATCTACAGGGGTTCAGAAGACCTGTGCTCGGCTTCTGACCAAGTCCTCCAAACACACCCACATCACCCCGCTTCTCCTCCAGCTTCACTGGCTGCCAGTCAACTTCAGGGATCATTTCAAGATCCTGGTTCTGGTTTTAAGGCGCCATTTTACATTGGTCCCTACACCCCTAGTAGGTCACTGAGGACCAGTGATCAAAGCCTACTGGTTGTGCAGTGCATCAGGCTAAAGACCAAAGGTGACAGATCATTTGCTGCTGTGTGTTCAAAAAGCAACTGGAGACTCACCTGTTCAGGCTTTTCTGTGACCTTTATCACCACTCTCTCCTAATTCTGCTCTTTCTACCTATTCTGGCTTTACTGAAATCCACTGATTTCCCCCTTTCTTACTCACTTTCTCTCTCCCTTTCCTTACATTTTTAAGCACTATTGTTTTTCTCATTTTAATCATGTTTTTAAACACTTCAAAAATTTTATTTACATTTTTTAGTTTTTGTGAAGTGCCTTATGACTTTTATCTTGAGAGGCACTAGATAAAACATTGTTTTCTTTCTTTCTTTAAAAGGGTTTAAATCAATTCAATTTAAGTTTATTTCTATAACACCAAATCACGACAAGTCATTTCAAGGACCTTCACACAGTAAACATTCCAGTACAGGTCAGTTCATTAAGCCAATCAGTAAAAAGTTTCCTATATAAGGAACCCAGCAGGTCAAATCTTTTAAAATATTTCTGTGGTATTGCAATAGGAAGACATTGAAGCAAGTAATTCAGCTTTGGAATACAGTTCATCTTCAGGACATTGACCTTTCTCCATAATGACAAAAACATTGAAGCCCATCTGTTGGTATCCAGGGATATTTTGTTGAGAATCAGGTCCAGATTTTTTTCAATAATCTTGTCTATTTGCTGAGGAAGGAGAATACCGAGATATTTTATACCTTCAGTGGAATATTGAAATAGACCTGCCCGAAATAAGGTTTTTGGGCATTATGAAGTCAATGGGAGGGACTCTGACTTGGACCAATTGGCTTTGTATCCGGATATTTTTGAGAATGAATTAACAACTTCTAGTAGTGCTGGGAAAGATTTGACTGGGTCTGAAGCAAGCTACAGAATATCATCTGCGTACATCAAAAGTTTATGTGTGGACTCATTTTAACTCCCTGTATACGCTTATCCATCCAAATGGCTGCTGCAAGAGGCTTTAGGGCCAAACAAAAAAGCCCTGGTGACGGTGCAGAGCCCTGGCGAGTGCCTCTGCCGAGAGTGAAATATGAAGAGATCAGACCATTTGTTTTCACTGCAGCCTGTGGGTCTTTATAGAGAATCTCAATCCATCTAAGAAATGTTTGACCAAATCCAAAGGTTTTTAACGTATGAAACATGGAAACATCCCAACCGATCAAATGCTTTCTCCGCATCGAGTGAGATTGCAGTCGTTGGTTGATTAAAATTCTGTATCAGCCACATAATATTTATAAGACGTCTGATATTATGAGAAGAGTTTCTTTGTCTAATAAAACCTACTTGATCTGGATAGATACATGAGCTGAGTATTTTATCCAATCTATTTCCCTCTGGGATTAATAAAATATCTTTGGATTTGCAAGTATTTTAGATAAAATTCTACAATCCACCGATATTAGACTTATTGGACAATAGTTTTTACAATCAGTTGGCTCCTTCCCTTTTCTGAGTATAAATGTAATAATTGCCTGATTTAGGGAGGTAGGTAAGTTCCCAGTTTTAAATGATTCTGAAAGCATACTTTCCATTAGCGGTTATAAGTCGTTTGCATAGCATTTAAAAAATTCTGTCGCAAAACCATCTTGGCCTGGGGATTTGCCCGATGGTAGTCTTAATCACATCCAGAATCTCCTGTGAGCTAATAGGTAAGGCCAAATCTTTCTGTTGTGAACTACTCCATTTGGGGAGGTAGAGATTGTCAAGAAATGGCATGATCTCTATCTGTAGCAGAACTTTCTGCTGTATAAAGATTTATATAGAACTCCTTAAATGTGTCATTTATTTCCCTACACTTAGTTACCAGGCTTCCCTTCTCTGACATCACTGCTGCTATATTTGATTTGGTCTCTTTTTGTTCAATATATGTAACCAGGTGAAAAATGGGTACCGGTATATGCGTTGTAAATCCTGTTTATTTCAGTGTTCTGGTTGCAATACTTGTTTTGTTCATAGAGTGGCGCTAGTCCCATGTTTAGAGGTAGAAAATTCTAAGAGGTGGGGAAAAAAAGCCTCACTAGTGTGGCGCGGTTTTGCCTGAGGAAGATGATGAAGGAAGACATATTGAGCTGAGCCTGGTTGGGAAAAGACGATGCATTAAGCCACCTGAACAAATATTCGAGTGTCTTGAAGTGCCACTGCCGTTTTGTAACCCGTTTACACCGCGTTGTGTGCCGACTAGTACTCTGTTAGCTTTCTGTGCAGGGAGCACATGGCTCAGATTTTATTTTAGATGTGCACAAGAATGTGTTTTTGCCCTTTTTTTGAAGCTGAACTCTGTGACGGAGAAGTCAAAACCAGTGTCATTTTTATTTTGCACAAACCTCAACAGAGACTACTATTTATTTTAATTTTTTATGTGCATTTCCAACTGTTTGAAAACGAGGAAAACTACTTTTTTGAGAATAAAGAACCCCTTTTTGAAGTATTTTGTGGTTCATTAAAACCCGGCTTCAAATACCTAGCTAAAAATTTTCCCGCCTTATCTCCTGATTCAAAAATATTCTGTCTGGCCCTAAACAACAGATATTCAGTTTTTGGGGATATTATAGTGTTATATTCATATTCAAGGTGGATCAGTTCATCTAGAATAGTATTTGATATATTCCTTTTAATTTTAGCTTCCTTATTCTTAATCCTCTTTTCCAGCTCAGTCAATTTAACAGCATTTGCCTTTTTCTTGTATGAAGAAAACTGAATAATAAATCCCCTTATAAATGCTTTCATGGCCCCCCAGGCCACTAGGGCTGATGGAGCTGTGGGGACATTGGTCTCCATATACAGCTTAATCTGTTCTCGGAGGTCTTCCTTGAATGTCAAATCTTGTAGTAATGATGAATTAAAATGCTACATTTGTGATCTTTCAGTTTCCCAATATGAAGTCATTTTTAGCCTGACCATAGCATGGTTCGTTAACAGAATACTATCAATTATTTCCTTACATTGGCTGCCTGTTAAATTCAGAATAGATTTTAATTTCTCCCCCAGAGAGAGCAGCCGACTTCAGAAGCGCTCATACACTTGAATCGCAGGTGGGAGGGAGATTGAGGGAGAGTGAAGAGTACATTCACTCCTTCAGTTGATGACCTTGCCAGGCTCAGTTCACCAATCCGAAGGCAAGGGGGGTACGCCAGGTTTTCACAGCATCTGTCTGCATTGCTTCGTGGAGATTTGACTTCTTGCAGCACAAGGCTACCAGGGCGCCAGATTCAAATAGGAAGAATTGTTTGGGTCAGAGCAGAGATAATTTCCTTTCTGACTTTCAGTCTTTGATTATTCCAGTCCCTCAGTGAATCCAACTTTGGGTTTAAACTTCCAAACAGAAGGAATCCAGTAATCATCAGCCCAAAAATTCCTCCTCCACGGACAGCTGGGAGAGGCATATAATATTCCACTCCTTCTAGGAATCCAATATGTACCCCACCGGATGCGTCCCCTGTGGACAGGCAGGAGCCCCCTGCTCCATTCTCATTGTTGAAAGAAATCTTGTTGATCGCGTTGAATGACCATTTAATCAAATCCATGATTAATAAAAACAGAGTTTTAGGAGGAATGCAGAGAAGTGCTCTGTGGGCAGACAGGTCAAGAGCCGTGGGGGAAAAAAAAGACAAGGGAGAGAAAAGAGAAGCGTCTGTACTCTCCGGGTGCCAGGAGAAGAAGTCAGTGACTCGATGCAACCTGCTGGGTTCTTGTATAGGAAACTTTTTACTGATTGGCTTAATGACCTGACCTGTGTTGGAATGTTTGCTGTGCGAAGGTCCTTGAGACGACTCTGGTCGTGATTTGGCGCTATATAAATAAACTTGAACTGAAAATTGAATTGAACATGTAACCTCATTACATTCATAACAAAAGTCTTAGTAAAAAGTAGACACCTTCAGCATTTTTACAAGGTAATTTTTTTATTAAAGAAATATATTGCTACCTTATAGAAATATGCTGAATTCAAATTTCTATATTTTGTAAATGTTATTTTTAAGGGACAAAATCTACTTTTTTTTTTTTTTTTTTTTTACCAACATCACAACCATTTTTTGACAGGAGATGAAAATAGAATTTAAAACCCTTCTCTTTAGTAAAATGTCAAAGGTTTAAGATCAGGTAACACTCACTGGTCCAAGTTTGGCATTTTCGGCTTCATATGTGTAGTGATCCAGGGCAACAAAGAAGAATCCAGACTCAACTTGATCACAGCGACGACCAAACATGTGATCTTTACAGATACACTGACCAGTCATGTGATCACACCTGCAGCAAAAGAAGAAGTAGAATGACCCAACACCCACAGTCTATAACAGATCCAGAAATTATTATTTGTCTGGAAGATCAGTAGAAGCTAATGATTTGTGATCTTTCCATCAACAAAATTAGATTTTTCCCTAACCTTTTGATTTTTCAACTTTCTTACGAGTTTCATTAGCTTCATGGGACCTTGTGGAATATTTAATACTTAACATTTGTCTGTTCACAACATCTCAAGATTTGAAAGACTTTTTATGTCCTGTAGATTAGGGCTGAACGATTGAATAATTTTGGACCGAAATTGTGATTTCTAACAATGCAATCATGTGATCGTCAAAGCTGCGGTTTTTGTAGCGCTCCTGGCTGAATCAGGATGTGTTGTCATCTATTTTAGACATCTGGGGTTTTCCCGTGTGTCACGGCGGCAGCAGAGAGTGTGGGTGGGAGGGGTTAATGACAAATGACCTGCCTTTCAGAGTCAGAGAACGCCAATGCGCTTTACACTACAGTGTATCATTCATCCATTCACACACATTCACACACTGATGGTGATGAGCTCCATCGTAGCCACAGCTGCCATGGGGCACAGGCGCCACCGGCCCCTCGGACCACCACCAGCAGGCAAGGTTGGTTAGGTGTCTTGCCCAAGGACACAACAACAGAATTGTCTGTGTGGAGCCGGGATCAAACCTGCAACCTTCCGATTACTGGACAAATCGCCCTACCTCCTCAGCTACTGCTGCCCCCCCGGTATTGGTTCTGGAACTGAACCCAGCTGACAGAGCTAAACATTTTGGTTATTTTGCTGTTTTTATTCCATTACATGGCTCTGCTACCACAGCTGATATTAAAAGTGAGCATCTGCGAAACATTTGTGCAGAACTACAACACCAGACAGAAGGACATTTGCCCTTAACAGTGGTTTATGAGATAAATAAACAGCTGAAAAAAGTCCTCATCTCACTGCAGCTCCATGTTCACTTTCACCATTGATCAACCTTCTCTTAAAGCAACAGTAGCATTAGTCTACACTCACAATAATCCATAAAGATCGTTACAAAATTTAGCATTATATTCATATGTTTTCTGCTGTTTCATAATCATTTCTAATAATTCTATAATTAACTGACAATTTTCTGAACAATTCTGTTTGAGCTGAGGGACTGTGTAAACCTCACATTAGAAACAGTTTAGCAAAAAGTCACATTGGCAGTTCTTTTTTAAAGTTATTGCAACAGATTGTCACAATAAAAATGTGTACATATAAAGGTCATAGGTCGCTAAAAACTAAACTAAATAGATGCTAATATGAAGCCCACAAGGACAAGAACAGCATATTTTTAAAGCGCCTGTCTAGATAAAAGTCACAAGTTGCTTCAAAAGTACATACATTTTTTAAAAAAAAGGTCAAAAAAAGATAATGGGAGAAAATGATTAGCATTCAATGTTTTGATGGTATGATTTATGACTATTTTGTAAATAATGTGTTGAACCTTGATTTGAAAAAAATTGTGAATCAAACTGAAATCGCAATTTCTCCTTGAAAAACTGCAACTCAATCTTTCCTTAAAATCGTTCTGCCCTACTGTAGATGTGCATAGTTTTATTTTAAAGGTACAACAAATAACAATTTTACAGTGAAATGATCACAAACAGTCTGATGTTTCAATCGTGCTGAAACAGATTTTCTTCTCAACCAGATGGGTGGATGCCGGTTTACAATCTGTGCGCTTGCAGGGTTACCAAGTTTGCACCAGCAAATGCTGCTGTACCAACATTTGTAATTCAACAACCACCAGCAAACATCCCCAGAGTTGTGGAAATATATGAACAAGTAAAGGAGAGGCCCAGAAGTTGTTTCTTGAATTCTTAAGAATCCACAGCATGTTTTTGTTTTACTTTATTATAAAAACTGCACAAGTCCAGTCAATGCCAGGTTTAGATTAAAAATCAGCTGTGTTCTAACACCAAGCATTATTAAACGTAGGAGTATTTTGTTGAGGATGGGTCCTCTAACTGGTTTGCTTTCAGCATTTCAGCTGAACGTCTAACCCAGTTGAGGGAAACTCTGGGTAGGTAAATGAACATATGACTATTACCCCTCACCTCCTCGATCAGACACGGCACACACACACACACACACACACACACACACACACACACACACGCACGCACGCACGCACGCACACACACACACACACACACACATTAAAATAGATGCGGCAGATAAGAAATGAGTTAATGATGCTCTCTCACTGGTTGTTGACGGCACCTCCCAGATCACAGTCACATGGCCTGCAACCATCCATGTCGTTACTGAGACCCCAGTGTTCAGGCTGTAAACACAAACAGAACCCAAGTTATTTGTGTAACATCAGTGTAATTTGTATGAATACACTTTTTAAACTGTAAGAGGAATTCATTTAAACATCCACACTCCAATCAACACCACAAGAAACAATCACACTCATTATTTAGAAACACAAATCTGCAGGTTTAACTTGCTGAAGTTTAGTTTTAAAACAAAATGTCTCCTTATGGCTAAATAAACTGCACATTTCTTGACAAAGTTTTTGCCTAAACAGCAGAGGTCTGTAGACTGCTAGTAAATTTTTATGAATTGTGAGGTTACTAGGAAGAGTAACGTGGGGATTTTGCTATTATACAATGTATAGAAAAACTGATTTTCATCAAACAATGAAGGATATTAATGGAGAGTTTGATCTCAAGGGGGGTTATGGTAGCTGGGTGAGTTTCTGTCCAGCTTTTAAGCTCCATGGGAGTTAGACACTTTCAGCTTATTTTTAAAACCCTAACCAGTTAATTACTACTTAAATTCATTTCTGTGATACAATAAAAATATGTTAATAGAAAAGATATTAAAATAAGTTATTTTTTCTAAACACTTTAAAGTTATATGACTGAAGCCTGACATGCCATGTCCAGGACACCTCAAGAAAGTTGAACTGTTCAATTAAATTAAAACACTTAAAGAGCAAGTCACCCCCCACCAGAGTCTTACTCCACTCCCAAGACTAGAAGAGACTCCCTTTTCTGTGACGCTTAGAAAGCTTATTTCACTTAATATATGGGGTAAGTCTGTTAAACATTCATTTGTTAATATACTGATATTAATATGTGAAAGCAAATGATAATTAACTGATTATAAAATCACTGTAGATAGAATATTCATTGTAGATAACAGAGTATGATTGTAAACCTGTAGATTGAAAGTGAAGATGAAAAAAATACCATAACTCGAAAAGTTGTTAATCAGACACGAGGAAAGAAATACCTAGATGTGGGCTTTTTTTTTGGGTTATTTACTTTCTTATTGTTATTCTTATTCTTAATCTTATTCTTATTATTACCCATTCAGCCGTCCATTTTCTTCCACCTATCCAGAGTCAGGTTGCGGGGGCAGTAGCCTAAGTCGAGAGGCCCAGACTTCCCTCTCACTAGCCACTTGGGCCAGCTCTTCCGGGGGAATCCCAAGGGGTTCCCTGGCCAGGTGAGAGACATAGTCCCTCCAGCGTGTCCTGGGTCTACCTTTAGGCCTCCACAAGATTGGACGTGCCCGGAAAACCTCACCAGGGATGTGTCCAGGAGGCATCCTGACCAGATGCCCAAGCCACCTCAACTGGATCCTTTTGATGTGGAGGAAAGGCGAATCTACTCCGAGCCCCTCCTGGATGACTGAGCTTCTCAGCCTATCTCTAAAGGAGAGCCCAGCCACTCTCCGGAGAAAACTCATTTTGGCCGCTTGTATTCGCAATCTCGTTCTTTTGGTCACTACCCTAAGCTCATGATCGTAGGTGAGAGTAGGAAGGTAGATCGATCGGTCAATCGAGAGCTTCACCTTCTGACTCAGCTCTCTTCACCACGACAGAGCGGTACAACGCCCGCATCACTGCAGACGCAGCACCAATCCGCCTATCGATCTCGTGCTCCAGCTTTCCCTCACTCGTGAACAAGACCCTAAGATACTTAAACTCCACTTGGGGCAGGACCTCATCCCTGACCCGAAGAAGGCATTCTACCCTTTTCCGAAACAAGACCATGGTCTCAGGTTTAGAGGAGCTGATTCTCATCCCAGCTGCTTCACACTCGGCTGCAAATCGCTCCAGCGAAAGCTGAAGATCATGTTCTGATGAAGCCAACAGGACCACTTAACCTCAGGAGTGTAATCCTCCTGTAGTTGGAACACATCCTGCGGTCCCCCTTTTTAAAATGGGGAACCACCAACCCGGTCTGCCAGTCCAGTGGAACTGCCCCCGATGTCCACGCGATATTGCAGAGCCGCGTCAGCCAACACTGCCCCACAACAGCCAGAGCCTTAAAGAACTTTGGGCAGATCTCATCCACCCCTGGAGCCTTGCCACAGAGGAGCTTTTTAAGCACCTCAGTGACCTCGATTTGAAAGGCCAACTCAAAGTCCCCAGACTTTGCTTCCTTACTGGAAGACGTGTCATGTGACATGGAGGAGGTCTTCGAAGTATTCTGCCCACCGATCCACAACGTCCTGAGTACAGGTCAGCAGCACACTGTCCCTAATATAAATAGTGTTGGTAGCGCACTGCTTTCCCCTTCCTTCCTCGAAGCCGTAAGGAAGTCTTGCTCCATGGTCTCACCGAACTCCTCCCACATCCAGGTTTTTGCCTCCACGGCCACCTGAGCCACATTCCGCTTTGACTGCCGGTACCTATCAGCTGCCTCTGGAGTCCCACAGACCAAAAAGACCTGATAAGACTTTTTCTTCAGCTTGACAGCATTCCTAACTGACGGTGTCCACCAGTGGGTTCAGGGGTTGCCACCAAAACAGGCACCGACAACCTTGCAACCACAGCTGCGGTTGGCCGCCTCAACAATGGAGGCATGGAACAGGGACCATTCGGACTCAATGTCCCCCGCCTCCCTCGGAACATTTTGGAAGTTCTGTCGGAGGTGGGAATTGAAGCTTATTTTGACAGGAGACTGCCAGACATTCCTAGAAGACCCTCACATTATGTTTGGGCCTGCCTGGTCTGACAGCCATCCTCCCCCACCATCGGAGCCAACTCACCACCAGGTGGTGGTCAGTTGACATCTCCACCCTTCTCTTCACCTGAGTGTCCAAGACATGCGGCCGCAGGTCAGAGGAAACAACAACAAAGTCGATCATCTAGCTGCGGCCACGGTATCCTGGTGCCGAGAGCACATGTGGACACCACTATGTCTGAACATCAAACAATCAAAGCTTTATTTATAAAGCGCCTTTCGCGATCCCGTCGGGAAGCCCAAGGTGCTGAACATGGTATTCATTATGGACAATCCATGACTAGCACAGAATTCCAATAGCAAAACACCACTCTAATTCAGATCAGGGGACCGTTCCTCCCAAACATACCTCTCCGCGTCTCACTGTTGTTGCCCACATGAGCGTTAAAGTTTCCCAGCAGAATGAGGGAGTCACTGGAAGGAGCACTCTCCCCGCACCCTCTCCAAGGTCTCCAAAAAGGGTGGGTAGTCTGAACTGTAGTTTGGTGCATAAGCACAGACCACAGTCAGGACCCGTCCCCCCACACGTAGGCAGATGGAGGCTACCCTCTGGTTCACCGGGGTAAACCCAAATGTACAGGCACCAAGATGTGGGGCAACTAGTATGCCCACCCCTGCTCAGTGCCTCTCAGTGGGAGCAACTCCAGAGTGGTAGAAAGTCCAACCCCTCTCAAGGAAACTGGTTCCAGAGCCAGAGCCATGCATTAAGGTGATTCTGACTATATCTAGTCAGAACCTTTCAAACTCAAACAGCAACTCAGGCTCCTTCCCCACCAGAGAGGTGACATTCCACGTGCCAAGAGCCAGCTTCTGTAGCCGAGGATCAGACCGCCAAGGTCCTCGCCCTCGACTACCACCCATCAAACATTGCACCCGACCCCTTTCGCCCCTCCCACGAATGGTGAGCCCACGGGAAGGTGGACCCATGCTTCCTTTTCGGGCTATGCCCTGCCGGGCTCCATGGGTGAAAGCCCAGCCACCAGGCGCTTGCCAACGTGCCCCACCTCCACGTATTATTATTATTATTGTTATTATTATTATTATTATTATTATTATTATTATTATATAATTAATCTGTAGAGCTTGCTTTCACCCCAAAAGGAGGCAGCGCTGCGAAACAAGGAAATTATGTCATACAGTTTGACTCTATGAAACAGATTGTGTTTTCTCACCACACAATGGTCACAGTCCCGACCCGTCACCAGACGCTTACAGAAACAGCTTCCTGATTTGTTGTCACAAGGGTTTCCTCCAGGAGCAGTTCCCAGAGCACTACAGGTACATTCTGCAGCAGCATCATCATCATCATCATCATCATCATCATCAATCTCATGTGAGTTACTCATGCATTTAATGAATGTTGAATGTTAGTTTTGTGTTCTGTTCTGTTGTATTTGAAGCATGGACAAATTTTTCCAAAGTCAAGTTTTGACCCCTGCACTTTTTACCATCCGAAAACAATATTACGCTATATTAAATTGACACTGGTTGAGCTCTAGGACCAAATGGAAAACAACCGTTTGTGTTGAAGCCTGCTTCCCATTAGAACATACTGAGTTTGAGTGCCCTAATGATCCTAGGAGCTATGTGACCCTGGTAGGGTCTCCCATGACAAATTGGTCTTAGATGAAGGGTGAGACAAAGAACGGTTCACAGGATCTTTTATGGAGGTAAAGTCAAAGAGTCGAAGTACCCAGCCCGGAGGGTTACCGAGGTCCCACCCTGGAGCCAGGCCTGGGGTTGGGGCCCGTGGGCGAGCACCTGGTGGCCGGGCTTTCGCCCATGGGGCCCGGCCGGACCCAGCCCAAACTGGATATATGGGCTCATCCAACTGTGGACCCACCACCCACAGGAGGAACATGAAGGGTCAGGTGCAATGTGGATCGGGTGGCAGACCAAGGCGGGAGAATTGGCGGTCCGATCCCCGGACAAGAAAACTGGTTTTTGGGACATGGAACGTCACCTCACTGGCGGGGAAGGAGCAGGAGCTTGTGGCAGAGGTTGAGCGGTACCGGCTAGATATAGTCGGAATCACCTCGACACATAGCATTGGCTCTGGAACCCAAGTCCTTGAGAGGGGTTGGACACTGTCCTTTGCTGGAGTTGCTCCGGGTGAGAGGCGGAGGGCTGGGGTTGGCTTTTTGTTAGTCCCAAGACTTTCTGCCTGTGTGTTGGGGTTTACCCCGGGGGACAAGAGGGTAGCTTCCCTGCGCCTTCGGGTCGGGGAACGGGTCCTGACTGTTGTTTGTGCTTATGGGCCAAATATCAGTTCAGAGTACCCACCCTTTTTGGAGTCCCTGGGACGAGGGCTAGATAGTACTCCATCAGAGGACTCCATCGTCCTGCTGGGGGACTTCAATGCTCACATAGGCAATGAAAGCTTGACCTGGAGGTGTGTGATTGGGAGGAACGGCCCGCCTGATCTGAACTCGAGTGGTGTTTCGTTATTGGACTTCTGTGCAAGCCGCAGTTTGGCCATAACGAACACCATGTTCGAACATAAGGATGCCCATCGGTACACTTGGTACCAGGGCAGCCTAGGTCGCAGGTCGATGATAAACTTTGTAGTCGTATCATCTGACCTGCAGCCATATGTTTTGGACACCTGAGTGACGAGAGGAGCGGAGCTGTCAACTGATCACCACCTGGTGGTGAGTTGGATCAGATGGCAGGGGAAGAGGCCGCGTAGACCTGGCAGACCCAAACGCATAGTAAGGGTCTGCTGGGAAGGTCTGACAGAAGAGCCTGTTAAGACGGTCTTCAACTCCCACCTCCGGCAGAGCTTTGACCGTGTCCCGAGAGCAGTGGGGGACATTGACTCCGAGTGGGCCTTGTTCCACTCTGCGATTGTTGAGGGGGCTGTTGCTAGCTGTGGTCGCAAGGTGGCCGGTGCCAGTCGTGATGGCAACCCCCGTACCCGCTGGTGGACACCAGAGGTGCGGGGAGCCGTCAGGCTGAAAAAGGAGGCCTACAGGGCGTGGCTGGTCTGTGGGTCTCCGAAGGCAGCAGACAGGTACCGGATAGCCAAGCGGGGTGCAGCAGTGGCAGTTGCCGAGGCAAAATCTCGGGCATGGGAGGAGTTTGATGAGGCCATGGAGAAAGACTGTTGATCGGCTCCAAAGAGGTTCTGGCAAACTGTCCGGCGCCTCAGGAGAGTAAGACAGCAACTCGCTCAAACTGTTTACAGTGGGGATGGGGAGCTGCTGACGTCAACTGAGGCTATAGTCAGACGGTGGAAGGAATACTTTGAGGAGCTCCTCAATCCCACCTATGCGCATTCCAAGGAGGAACCAGAGCTGGGAGACCTGGGGATGGACTGTCCAATCTCGGGGGCAGACGTTGCTGAGGTAGTCAAACAACTACACAGCGGAGGAGCCCCGGGGGCAGATGAGGTTCGTCCTGGGTATCTCAAGGCTATGGATGGTGTAGGGCTGTCATGGTTGACACGTCTCTGCAACATTGCGTGGTCATCGGGGGCAGTTCCCGTGGAGTAGCAGACCGGGGTGGTGGTCCCCATCTTTAAGAAGGGTGACCTGAGGGTGTGTTCCAACTATAGGGGGATCACACTCCTCAGCCTCCCTGGAAAGGTCTACTCCAAGGTACTGGAGAGGAGGGTCCGATCAATAGTTGAATCTCAGATTGAGGAGGAGCAATGTGGTTTTCATCCTGGCGTGGAACTTTGGACCAGCTCTATACCCTTGCAAGGGTGATGGAAGGGGCATGGGAGTTTGCCCAACCAATCCACATGTGTTTTGTGGATTTGGAGAAGGCTTATGACCGTGTACCCAGGGGCACCCTGTGGGGGGGGGGGGGGGGGGGGGGGGGCTCCAGGAGTATGGGGTGGGTGGCTTTCTGTTAAGGGCCATTCAGTCCCTTTACCAGAGGAGCGTGAGTTTGGTCCGCATAGCCGGTAGTAAGTCTGACCTGTTCCCGGTGAGGGTTGGACTCCACCAGGGCTGCCCTTTGTCACCGGTTCTGTTCATTACCTTATTGGACAGAATTTCTAGGCGCAGCCGTGGTGTGGAGTGTGTCGAGTTTGGTGGCAGGAGAATCTCGTCTCTGCTTTTTGCAGATGATGTGGTCCTCCTAGCTTCATCCAGCTCTGACTTTCAGCTCTTGCTGGGTAGGTTCGCGGCCGAGTGTGAAACAGCTGGGATGAGGATCAGCACCTCCAAATCTGAGACCATGGTTCTCGACCGGAAAAGGGTGGCTTGCCAACTCCGGGTCGGGGGAGAGGTCCTACCTCAAGTGGAGGAGTTTAAGTATCTCGGGGTCTTGTTCACGAGTGAGGGTAGGTGGGATCGGGACATCGACAGGCGGATTGGTTCGGCGTCTGCAGTGATGCGGACGCTGAGCCGATCTGTCGTGGTGAAGAGGGAGCTGAGCCAGAAAGCCAGGCTCTCGATTTACCGGTCGATCTACGTCCCAATCCTCACCTATGGTCATGAGCTTTGGGTAATGACCGAAAGAACGAGATTGCGGATACAAGCGGCCGAAATGAGTTTCCTCCGTAGGGTGGCCGGGCTCAGCCTTAGAGATAGGGTGAGGAGCTCGGACATTCGTAAGGGACTCGGAGTAGAACCACTGCTCCTCCGGATCGAAAGGAGCCAGTTGAGGTGGTTTGGGCATCTGGTCAGGATGCCTCCTGGACGCCTCCCCGGGGAGGTGTTAAAGGCATGTCCTGCCGGAGGCCCCCGGGTCGACCCAGGACACGTTGTGAGGTTACATCTCCAATCTGGTCCGGGAACGCCTTGGGGTCCTGCCGGAGGAGCTGGTGGAGAGGACGGTCTGGAGCTCCCTAGTTGGGATGCTGCACCCGCGACCCCGACCCGGATAAGCGGAGGAAGACGACGACAACGACGGATTCCCTGCCAGGTTTAGATGCTCCCACATTGCAAGCTGTTTAAAACAAGTTACTAGCAACTCCTACAGAATCCAAAGAAGGCAAGGAAGATAATTCAGCAGTTGGAATCAGGTGTGTATGAGTAGGAACATATTCAAAACATTACTTGTCTCTCAGTGCTACAATGCTATTTGTGTGCACGACATGGAGAATGGATTTCAGCTCCTTATAGAAGGCAAAGAAGAGTGAAGACAAAAGCTATAAGCTCTTCCTCTCCAAGATGCTATGGGGCAGCATTAGCTCAGGAAGTAGAGCGGGTTGCCTCATGAGTGGCAGAATCGGTTCCAGCTCCTGCAAGGGGTATTCTGCTGTTGTGTTTTTGGATTAGACTCTTGACCTGACTTGCTGATATTGGTGGTGATCAGAGGGGCTGATGGCGGAAAATGGCAATGTAAGAGTGTGTGAATAATGGAAACGCTATGAGTGCTTAGAAAAGCGCTATATAAAATCAATCCATTATTATAATAATAATTATTAGGCTACAGACCACCGCTTCAAGTTTTATGGCTTTTTTTGTGTCCATGTAATGCGGATGTGTTGTGTTGTTTCATACCTTTACAACCTTTAGGTTCATCACTGAGACCATAATAACCCATCTTGCAAAGGTCACAGCGTTCTCCATCTACATTGATTTTACAGCGACATTGACCAGCAATTAAACCATTTTGGACATCTGTCATCCGGTCACAGATTCCTCCATTCAAAGAGCCCAGAGGGTCACAGTTACAGGCTATAAAGACAAGTATCAAGGATAAAAATCAGCAATGGCAATAGTTTAAATTTTAATTAATTAAAGAAACCAGTTGTGGCTGCAAACAAACTGTGAAACTGGATAGCAGGATGAGTCTTAGATGAGTCTTAGATGAAGTCAAATGTTTTCATTATTTATTTTCTGGGCTGAGACTCCAACCCAGTCCCTCTTTGCTCTAATTTTGCAAGTGTAAAGCCTAATGTATACTTCTCCATCTGCATCGGTGCAGAAACACACAACGCCATTTTGCGTCGATGCAATGTCACAGAGGCTGACGGAGTCATGCCCCAATTTTTAACAATCCGTCAAAAGTGATGGAGACCACAAGTTTGCGATTGGTCAGGATGCTGCTTCCTGTAAATTTGTCAACAGCACCCCCATAGGGAGCCTAAAGCCTGGTTCATGCTTCTAAGTCAGCTCCGCAAGGGACAGACACGCACGGATTGAGGGAAGCGTTTTGCCCTCATACTTCTCCGTCTCCTGGGGAGTGTTGCAAAGCAATTGCCTGGCAGGACAACAGAGGGCGTAGCGCTGTTCTGTGATATCCTGGCATGTATCCGGTCCAAAATAGTGTGTTTATATTATGTTTTTTGTATATAAGAGACTTTTTAACAGACAAATTTGTCTCTAATTCTCCTCCACCTCTCTATGCGCTCGCCACCTCCAAACCCACATTTCCTGTCATTTCCATCCACAAATAAAACGCTTGCTGCACATCTTTTCACTCCTCCAGTCACGGGGAATTAAACGTTCATGTTTTCAGAGTTTTTTACGAGGTATTCTTCAAGCTTCTCCGTGTCTGCCGCTAGTTATCCTGGGCTCCCTTTATGTTTTTGAGGGCGCAATGGCGGCGCTGTAAACAACAGCGGCGTCCTGACCATTCACAAGCTGCATAATCTGTCTCATTTGACGGATGTTTGAAAAAGTGGGCTTGACTCCGTACGTACTTGCGTGCCTGCCGGAGCCCTACGCAAGGACGGATAATGGCGTTGCGTGTCTCCTCACTGACACAGACGGAGAAGCATGAATCAGCCTTAAGTCTGGCCTGTCTACTTCCGGACCATGGGACCCCAGAAGAACAAAAAAATGAATACAAGTCATTGGGGCTTATTTTGTACTTTGGGTTTCACTTGTGGCGTTCGTGGATTTTAAAGAAGCAATTTGATACCAAGAATGTGCTTTTTTTTTCGCATGGAGGGAAACGCTATTTTAGGTTTTGTGTGAGAGTAAGTCCAGCACCACAAATGTGCTTCACAAAAGTGACGTCATCGAACCAGAAAGGGAGAAAAACAGAGGGATAATGGCTGTAAGTTCAGCAAACTTCAAATCCTTCCTTCAGGAGGAAAGAACCACCATAAATCTGGCCATGTAGTAAGTAGCTATGCTTAGGGGGAGGAGATTCGGTGGTGGTGTCATATATGCGACACATCGATGTCTTGTTTGTAGTCGTGCTAATTACGAACTTTTACAAGCTGATAAATCTCTAAGTACGTGACCGGCATGGTGGAAATACCCATCATTAGTTTTCATTGAAACTGCAGTACAACATGTGTGCGATCCAGGGCGTAAGGCAAAGCGAATTAGAAAATAACTCTTTAAGCTCCACTGACTTACATTAATTTTTTCGTTCTTCCGGGAATCCATGAACTGACCGGGAAGAGAGGAAACGTAGGCTCCCTATTGCTCCCTCAAAAAATAAAAAGACTTATAGGTGCCAGACACGGAACAGACTGAAGAATGCATCGCAGAAAAAGTCCTAAAATTTAAATGTTTATTCACCCGTGACTGAAGGAGTAAATAGATATGCAGCAAGCCTTTTATTCGTGGACAGAAATGACAAGAAACATGGATTTAGAGGTGCTGATTGCATGAGAAGGTGAAGGATAATGAAGGACAAATTTATCCATGTTAAAAAGTGTCTGAAATACATTAAAACAATGTAAATACAATAGTAAGTACACTATCATGGACCGGATGACTGTAAGGGTAGCAGGATACCTCCGAGTAACGCTATGCCCTCTATATTTTTTAATTTTAAGAGAGGATAAAAAAGGTACCTAAAGGTATTGTTCTTATTGTTTATATTATTTTATTATTTTTTATTATACTTTATGTTCTAAGCAAAAGCAGAGCAAAGCTACAGTGCAAAAAGTAAAGCCAAAACCTGGAGATATCTGTACAAAATTAGCCTTCATTAATGCTTAATTTCATGTCAGTAATAGCAGTAATAACAACCATGTGCAACTGCATGTTATAATGCTGGTAAAGAGCAGGTAAGTTGGTTTTATGTCCTATTTTTGCTTTTCTCAGCCTCCATCCTCAGACTCCTCCAGTGATTTGGAAGGTGATGGACTTGGGTTTACTTTTTGCAGTCAAAGACTTTCCATGTTTCAGCTCTCAAGATGATTTCCTGCAAAAGGAGGTGCTAATTTTTACTAATTTTTGTGGCACAAATCTTCACGCTGGTGTTGCATTTAGCTGCTGATTACTTTAGCAAAATGCACCAAAACATTTGAGTATTTTAGCATTTTCATCTGCGAACTGCATAGAAGTGTTGTTAAAAGGAGACACATCTCCTCCACTCATAACGTGACTCGGGATCAGTCGTGTGACCCGTCGTGGCACATTGGGACAGTTAATCATGTTTTTCTGATATCAGTACCTACCGAATGTTTTCACTCAGTCCCAAAGAGGTCCAGAGTTCTGGCACCCAGCCCCTAGGCGCGTAAGTCAACTTTCTCATGGTCTGCCGAGATTGTCCGCGTTCCTCCTCTGCTGGGGGGCTGTGTTTTGTTTACTGTTTGGTACCGCTGCTGTGGCGCAGGAGCTGAATATGTCACGTGTTCGGAGTATTTTGACCCGAGGCTGCACTGTGTTCTCAATTATTGGTCCCGTCACTCTTTATTTATGCTATGTTATTTAATTAAAATGGTTGTGGTTGACAAACAAAACTTTAGAGAGCAAATACAGAATGGAGAATTTACACACACCACAAATTTTTAGACCCAGTTATGAAAATTCAAGACTTTTTAAGGTATTGTTTCCAGATTCTTTTTAAGACCCCACGGGAAACCTGTATTTAGCACTGGAACTGGTTTAATGGGCATACACCTGCATAGATTACAGTACTTAGAATGTGCCATTTGATTTGCTACTCTTTGTCCATCATATTTTAATTGTTTACCTGCATCAGCACACTTGATCAAATGGTTGAATCACCTTTTCAACCAGTTAACCACCTGCAGATGAAAACCAGATGTATTGAAATAGGAAAACAACTAAAACATGCTGGGTAGTGGACCTTGAGGACTGGAGTTCAAGCCCCTGGTCTAGAAAGCTGCGTTTAATTGCTTCTTGAAATGGCATTAGACTACTTTTTAGTACAGTGTTAAAGCTGTTCAAATTAAACAAGCAAACTTACGATGGCAGATATTTGGATCTCTGATGTCTCGTTGCGGATGTTGGTAGAAGAAAGGTTTACACTGCTCACAGTTGTGCCCAGTTGTGTTGTGCTGACAGTCATCGCAAATGCCTCCACTGACATTTCCTGAAGCCACGAACACGGCCATATTGAAATGGCAGGAGTCAGAGTGCTGGTTGCAGTTACACTCTGGGGATTGGTGTTGGGAGAATTAGGAGTTAGCTCAGGTGAGTAAGGTAACTTATTTATGTGCAAACAGTTCAATCAGTTGAAATTCTTCTGGGCCCTGTGAACATACTCTTATGTCTCTGGCTGCCTAATGCTAGTAATAAACCACACACCCCAAAACCACTTCTCAGAGGACCAAATGAAGGTCACATGAAATTGACCAGTACAACCAGTTCATTGTGATATTGATACTGGAATTACAGTATTTTGGATCAGCTCCTGTGGAGCAGTTTGGACCAGATTGAACTTGTCTGGGCTCTGCGGACTCACTCTTGCAAGCATTGGTGTTGTGGCCCTCTGCTGGTCTCCAGGGATGGTCATGGTAGAAATCCTGACACTGTTCACAGTTCAGTCCCTTGGTGTTGTGATTGCACATACAGTGACCATGAACCTGAAACACATTAATATAGAACACTGGCCAATAATACCTCAACACCAACTTACAGTTTCAATTTGACATATTTATAAAAAGAAACATTGACAAAGCAATTATAAAACAAAAACAACTTTCGACTCAAGGATTAAATCACGTTTGTTCTGACCACACTTAGAGACAGTTAGGCATGCTTTTATTACATCAAGGCTGGTTTTTGCAATTCTCTGTATGCACTTCAAGAATAAAATTGACTGACTGACTGATTGATGATTGATTGATTGATTGATTGATTGATTGATTGATTGATTGATTGATTTCTTATGTTCTTTTCAATCAATCAATGTAAATGGAACCAAGTAACTCACAAATGTTTTTTTTCATCCAACAGAATAAATAAGGTTAGCCTTATTATGTGAAGAGCTAATAGTTTCTGCTTTAAGTTGACTTGTTGTAGAAACAAAATGCAAATACAAACAATTGACTTTTGAACAATTAATATCAAAACAACATTAAAAAACTGTTACTTTCAATTAGGGCTGCCACGATTAGTCGACACGTCACGAAGATGTTGAGAAATAAAATAGGCGACAATTAATGTAATCATCGACACGTCATTTATTTTATACAAATATTTTTTATCTCGCCTGCTGTGGCACATTCTGCGGTTGCCTCCTGCTCAAACGCGGCTTAAGCTCCAAGGCGCATGCGCAGTAAAGACAATGCCGATCAGCATTCGTCACCGGAGTAAGAAAACATGACCCCCTACCCCTGAGCCAGAGATCAGTGGACTCGGTGGTCTCCATTAAATAGCAGCTGAAAGCTCACCTGTTCAGGCTGGTTTTTGCGTCACCTTCAACTCCACCCTCTCCTTATTCTGCTCTTTCTATCTATTCCACATTCCCCAGGAACCACTGATTTCCCTCTTTCCTATTCACTCTGTCTCTCCATGAACATGTTTTTGAACAGAGACAACGGTGTTTACACGTTCGATCACACATGGGGCTGTGTTATCTAGCCTGGCCTGCCAGACTCCTCTGTTTAATTCTGCACAGAGAAAGGGTGTGGGAACTCTCCTATTCAAATAACCCCGCCCCGTGAGAATTCTAACCGTAGCCAATCAGTGCTGAGTAGCGTACGTCACACACGATAACGCCGAGTTTGTCATAAACATGGCGACTGAAGCTGAGTTTGCTGTGGCTCTTTCCTCTGGTCTAAATGACTTGAATGTCTTTTAAACCACAACAAATAGAAGCGCTAAAATCCTTTCTTCTAAAAAAAAATGTTTGCGCCGTTGCCGGATGCCTTTTTTCACTACAGCTAAAAAACTTCACCGTCGCTCGGTACGACCGGCATTTCCTTCTTTTTTCTGATTGGTTATTTTTGAGCTGCCTAGTCCCGCCCCTCATGTGCCTCTCTGCCTGTGAGTTAACAGACTCTTTCTCTGTGTAGCATCAAACAGAGGACGAGTCTGGCAGGCCAGGCTAACAGATGCATGTCCCTACACGCTCCCTTTGCTCAGCTGATCAGGATTTGTTCATCGTCACACGAACAATGTTCAAAACAAGAGGTGATAGGGCATTTTTGGTCCTAACTTTAATATCTTTTAATGACGTGCTGCTGACATGTGGACCAGCCGTGCTACAGAGGTGTACCTTGGTGTGTCCTGCCATTTACCGAGTTAAGATTGGAAGATGAAGCGCTTCAACCTTGTCACCATGCCTCTTGTGAACACAAGTCATTTTTGTGTGAAATTTATTTTTGGTTTTAGGTGTCTACCTCCATCAGACTGTAACAGGTTACAAAGTTAATGAAAAGTTATTTTAAAAGCCATCATCTTGTCTTTATTATTAGATGGACCATAGCTGATCACACTTTAGACTAGAAGCTAATGATGGGTATATTAAAGCATCCTGGTACAATAAGCTAAACTTTTATGGATGACACGATTAGTCAACTACTAAAATTGTTGTTTGTGGCAGCCCTACTTTCAATCAAGACCCTCTGGAATGGTTTATGTCTCACCTTCCCCTCCCTGGAATGGCTACCACCATTGACTGGAGCGCACTCAGAGGCGTGTCCATAGCAGAAGCAGTTTCCTCTTACCACCATGTCATAGATGGCGTAGTAATATTTCTCTTTGATCTCTACACGAGAATCTAACAGGTTATCACCAAGTGTGTGCAGTTTTGTGAATTTCACCCGTAGATTGGTAATCTTCAACAAGTCTAAATGAAGAGAAAACAGATCTATAATCAATGATCAGTTATTCTAGACTGATTGAACTTGAGTTAAGTGAGCTGATTTTGGGAGTCATACTTTGGATTTGTGGGCTATATGGGTCTTCAATCCAAAAAGCTGGGTCCAGAACTCTGTAAATGACCTGTAAAAGAACCTTTAATCAAATTATGTTTGCATTCAAATGTTGCAATAGCAAAAATAACATCCTGTGATATCACAGTGGCATCTACAGTCAGGTCCATAAATATTGAGATATCTACACAATTGTAACTTTTTGGCTCTATACATCACCACGATGGATTTGTAATAAAACAAACATGATGTGCTATAACTGCTGACTGTCAGCTTTACTATGACGGTATTTTCATCCAAATCAGGTGAATGGTGTAACAAATACAACAGTTTGCATATAATTGGACCCTCCCTGGTGTAGCATTGGAAATGTCCAACAAAGTTATTTGCGATAACTTTTTAAATTACAAACAGCACAATTTATTTTATAGTCCCAGACATCACACCTTTCTGAGTCACTTAGTGAAGGTCTTGAAATATACAAGGTCGTGTTTCATCAGAGTTCATTCATTGTCTCATATTATATCACTGTAGATCACTATTTATAATCATTTGCCTTTCATCGTCATTAATATAGTAATAAATCGATTTTTATAAACTATATTTTTGTCTCTGTGTCAAATTATTATAAAGTGTTGTTTCCCTGGCGTTACCCAAAGTACCCAGTTTCATCATCAATCAAATATTAAAGGCTCAATAATATTGATAATCTATATTTTTATGGAATATTATATTTTATTGATTGCCTTTATATTCTATTGACAATTGATTAAAAGTAACCACTTATAAAACATTACACTGGGCTGCCACCTCTTCGTGGAGGAGGGGTTTGAGTGTCCCAATGACCCTTGAACAGATCCGTGTCCAGGACATTTAAAATGGGGTGGCCCATGTGGGGCACTTGTTTATTCGTGGGTGCCACCAATGGTTATGCTTATTTATTTATTTACACAAATCGTTTATTTATTTACTCTCTAGTGAATTTTTGAGTTTCACATTGCACAATCACCATTTTTTTCCCCTCTTCATCTTCTACTTTTGTGGTGGTTAGCAAGTCCCTTTCTGTTGCATTACTGCCACAAACTGTAGTTGAGTGGGACTCTAAATACTATGTATGTGAATATTAAAAAATATTAAATAATATTAATACTACATGCCTGGGCTAGAAAACAAGCTGAAAGGTGCATGCAACCACACACTATTTCGGAGTTTACAACCCAAACCTTTTGTCGACAATGTAAAGTCAATTTAAACTGGAACTTAGTGGGGTGGCACCCGGGGTGGCCAATCAGATTCTAAGGGTGGCATGTGCTACCCCAGGCCACTCCCTGGACACGCCCCTGCCCTTGAAGCAAAGTTGTCTGAGGCTTTATGCATCTGGTAGGGTCACCTGTGGCAAATAGGTCCTAGGTGAGGGATCAGACAAAGTGCAGCCCACAAACCCCTTATGAAGAAAAATATAAATGGCCACAATGTTCTCTTGCCCAGATGCAGGTCAGCTAGGCCCACTCTGGAGCCAGGCTTGGAGGTGGGGCACGCTAGCAAGCGCCTGGTGGCCGGGCTTTGACTCCTGGAGCCCGAAGAGGAGACATGGGCCCCCCCCCCCCCCCCCCCCCCCCCATGGGCTCACCACTCGTGGGAGGGGCCAAAGGAGTTGGATGCATTGTGTGATTTTAATACTTTGTTGCAAATCCTTTGCAGTCAATTACAGCCTGAAGTCTGGAATGCATAGGCATAACTAGATGTTGGGTTTCATCCATGTGATTCTCTGCCAGGCCTTTACTGCAGCTGTCTTCAGTTCCTGCTTGTTGTTGGGGCATTTTCCCTTCAGTTTTGTCTTCAACAAGTGAAATGTATGATTAATCGCTGAGCTCACTGACGCGTTCCTTATTTTTGGCCACTTTGATGATTTTGTTTGGTTTTTATAGCCTAATGATGGCTTGCTTCACTGATGGAGATAGTTCTTTGGATCTTATCTAGAGAGTTGACAGCAAAAGATTCCAAATTCAAATAACACAACTGAAATTAACTCTGGAGCTTTTATCAGCACATTGTAATTGGGATGATGAGGGAATATCACACACCTGGCCATGAAACAGCCGAGAAGCCAATTGACCCCATTACGTTTGGCCCCTAACGAGTGGGAGGCACATATGCAAACATGTCATTCCTACGCCGCTCACCTGATCTGGATGTAAATACCATCAAATTAAAGCTGACAGTCTGCAATTATAGCACATCATGTTTGTTTCATTTAAAATCCTTTGTGGTGGTGGATAGCCCCAAAAATGTTAGAATTGTGTTAATGTCCTAATATTTATTAACTTGACTGTACATAACAACCCTACCACCTTCCAATGTGTAAAAGTCTTTGACAAGCAGTTGTACCTCTCCCTCAGTGGACGGCTCAATGTCGGAGTAACGCGAGTCACAGATGACATCATCAACCTTTTGCATTGGACCATGGGGGACTGAAGGGAAGGATGACTCACAGTCATAAGCAAAGTAACGGTAAACCTGCCACGTTTTCCCAAAGTCTGCAGATCGCTCAATCACCATGGCAGCTGGTCGAAATGTCTGAAGAAAAAAGTCAAATTCAAAAGGTTGAAGATCACACAATAGTACCACTGAAATTCAAGAACTGTGCTCCGTTTTGAATCAAGCATGAATGGCCTTTGGATGAAGTTAGCGTTGACACTCCACTCCAACATCAGCAATTAAAGCAAAACAAAGTTTAGAAACAAAGATCTGAATAACTTTACTCTATTTAGTGGCGGATTATATTTTGATCTAGTAGCACAAACACGTAAAGTTGCCACATTGTTTTTGATAACCAACAAGTTCAGGTGAAACCTCACCTTTAGCCCTGTGACGTTTGAACAGTGAATTATGTGGTATAAACAAGACTTGATTTCTGTTTATCTGTGAGTGACTCACTTTAAAGGTCATAATAAGATGTGTGAAGTGAAATTCAGCCTCAAGATTCAGCTGGATGGTGACGTTCTCCAGTCCTGTGTACAACAGAATGTGGACATGTTAGATATTGACTGTTGAACAACGAGCCCAGCTGAAGCCTTGGGCCCGGCTCGGATGAACAGAATACAGCAGTTGAGCTCATGGAACACTGACCGATGCTGGCATCCTCATTCACCTCAAAACCAGGCACTCGCTCACACATATGCGCAGCTCAGACTTTGATGTTGTGAAAGAAAAGAAAACAATTTGATGTACTGCTGCTTCAAAAATGAGAACTGAAACGACAAATCTTGCTTTTTTCATGCTTTACTCACTTGTATTTAACCTTTGTAAACGTATGAGTAAGTAGGAAGTAAGTAAGGCCGACGGTGGCATAGGAGTTAAAGGAGACATAACATGAAAAACCCACTTTTTTATCCATTAACACGGTGTGTTTCACATTTTAAGTGTCTAAGTGAGCAAAAAGGCTTATATTATTCACTGGAGTTGCTATTTAGATATTTAATAATTAAGTTTTGGGCATATTTGTCCACCCGTTCAGTTTTTACATTATCTATTACATCAGTAATTAATTTAGTGAGGATAACTACCAAATATGGTAATGGCCCTCGGCTAAACACAGAGCCAATCCGCCATTTTTTCTTCTCGCTAAGATTTTTTGTAGTCCTATTGGAAAAATGCAGAATGTCTGGTTATTTTAGCCACACACAGCTCAAAACTGTTCCTCGTTTTAAGGAAGGGTGGTGTGGCAGTATTTAAACCCAGGAGCTGATGACACTACTGCTAAAAAAACACAGAAGAAAAAGTAGTGTGTTTGTGTTTGTGTGTGTGTGTGCGCGCGTGCGCGTGGTTCGTTCGTTCGTGTCTCCAGGCTAGTAAGTACTGAGGGCTTCATCTATCTAAAAGGAGTCATTTTTATCTGAATGTGGCAGCACCGGGACACAGCAGCAGAGCGGTAAGCTTCATATCACTCTAAAATGTCGACAAACTTTACTTTAGATTTACGGGCATTAGCAGCACTAAAGCGTTAGCATCCGGCTTGCTATCGCTAGCACAGTATGCTAGTAAAGTTAGCACCCAGATTAATGTGGATTTGGCTGATTTTCGTGGAATAAAACGTGATTTCTGATCAACGCCTTCTTTTACACCAGATGATAACCTCCCACTGATTGTAACAGCAGAGAGCCTGTGTGTTATTCTACGTGAGTGTGATGTAATCTTAGCATCCAGTAAATAAAGTCCCATATCAGCTAAAATGCAGCGTGACAAAGTCATTAAAGTGCGTCAACACAGTGGATTTAATAGAGTAGTAAGTCTGTCTGCACTGCTCTCTAATGAGCTTCCTTTCATAAGGAATCATTTGTATAATTTTAGTGTCACTATTTTATTACATTTGTAAGAATATGAAGTCACTGCAGCAAAGTGAACTTGTGAACAAACACAAACGTGACTATAAACATGAAAGCTAAAGAAACAACTTTCCTAAAGCTGCTTGTAAACAAAATATGTCATTAAAGTTATTGTCTATCATTGCAGAATATGACGATGACATCATGGAACTGGTCTTTGGAAAAGTTTTCCCTGAACCAACTCCGTTTCTAGATGAGGTAGAGAAGATCTGCATCTCACCAACTCTCTGGTCTCAGTATTCAGACAACGGAGGTCTCCCACTGTTATCCAGGACCAGTTTGAAGCCCACATACTGCCCCTCCCTCATCATCAGGAAACATCAATCCGTATCCTGAGGACAACAGAAGACGGCAGGAGGACAGGAACTCTGAGACCTAGACACCACCAGCACCGAGACACAAAGCACCTGTGTGCACAACGCCTGTTTAACTACTAAAGCCTGTTTATTATATTGTTCTACTTATTTGCTGTGAGGTTAATACTTAGAAAATTTGTATTTTAATGTAAACAATAAAAAAATCACTGATTGTATGTTTTCTTTTAGATGTAATGGTCCAAACTCAGCCTTGTAGACATTTATTGCATCCTGTAGGTAAATACACAGAACAGGCTCAGGTCCAGGATGACCCAGCATGCTCTTCTTCCATTCTGGCTGTTAGGGATTGTATCAATAACTCAATGCCTACTGATGTTTCCACCTAACGGTATTTATTTAGAATGCAGGTCAGATTTAACTATATTTGTTAGCAAAGCAGACTGATCTTGGGAATTTCACTGCAGCACTGATGTCCACCTCTCTGTACACATTAGAGAGAATTACCACTTTACAGCTAAACACATTTAATAAAGATATAGGCTACGCATTGCAGACAATAAAAACAAAGTTGTAAGCATTAGAATTATAATGATCACATTAAAGAACATTTGGAGGAATGTTCTTTATTTTTGACTCGAATCTCAAATCTTTAAATTAAAATGTAACTGCTTTTTATCCATTTTCAGCCATTAAGACACCCAATATAAAATAAGACTACTTATAAAATTATTTATAATTATATGTATGTATATATAGATAGAGATCTTAATAAAATGTATTCTTTTAATGGTGTTTTAATGAGCTGTATCATTTTTTTAAACATTTTTTATAGAAATAAATAAGCAAGCAGCATTCCTTGTATGTGTGTGTGTGTGTGTGCGCGCGCACGTGCCTGCTAGCTTGTCCCTCCGTCGGCCGTGACGGGTGTGTGTGAGTGACTACAGACAAATGCATGAGAGAGTTAGCAGCCTTGAAACAGCTTGATGAACTACCCTCCCCACATGTTTTAAAAATGCTAATATGCTATGCTAAATCTGCTATGCTAAATAATGATTTCTCTATAGAACTACAAAGTCCGACTGGGGGAGGAGAGTACAGGTCTGCACTATGGAGGGGGGCGGAGTTTACAGCTCCTCCTCCAGTTTAAAGAGACAGTACCCAAAAACGGCTCGTTCTCAAGACTCTCCTCAGAACAGGGGTAGATGAGGGTCTGTAGAGCAACAATAATGAGGAAATCAGACCAAAGAACTGCAGTTCCACTGTATTTAGACCCCAACTGAAGGATTTAGATGTAAAAAGGAATAACTTAAAAGCATGTTATGTCTCCTTTAAGTGCTCGCCCCATAATCGCAATCGGTTGCAGGTTCGAGCTCCGCTCAGTTTGTCGCTGTCGTTGTGTCCTTGGGCAGGACACTTAACCCACCTTGCCCACAGTGCTGGCCAGAGGGACTGGTGGCGCCAGTGCTCAGCAGCCTCGCCTCTGTCAGTGCGCCCCAGGGCAGCTGTGGCTGCATTGTAGCTCATCCCCACCAGTGTGTGAATGTGTGTGTGAACAGGTGAATGACTGATTGTGTTGTAAAGCACCTTGGGGGGGTTCCAGTACTCTAGAAGGTGCTATATCAAACACAGGCCATTTACCATATGGGTAAATGGCTCAACTAGGTCAAAAGCTACATCCAGTCAAAATCCTCTCTGCAACATTGTGAGTGATACAGACACAAAACGGCTCTTCCAACACCGAACAACAGCCTTAGATGCAAACAAGCATTCCAGCTTCCAGATGGTACCTGGAGATAACTCAAGACTAGACAGGTCGTGTCGGAGCAAATCTACGGGTTCCTGATACCTTGAGGTCCATGTCCGTCCCGACCTTGTGACCCCCTGGATCTGAATGGGGATCTTCACATAAGGGTGCGTAGATTCAACAGATTGCGTTGGATGGTTTATATAAACAAATGTGTAGTTCAACAAACAGCCAAATTCTTTTAAAGCCCAGTCATCATATCTTGTCATGTATAATGATTAGTGGGGGGGGGGGGGGTTATTTCTTTTCTTTTTTTTTCCTCCCATGTCCTGTCACGCTGTGAAGCAAACAGAATGGATGTCTGAATGCTGGTGACAAGCTTTACAGATTTACTCTCAGGTGGAGCATCAAAGCGTCTGCTTTTAATGTCACGCCTGATACTTCAAACTTTATTGTTATTGTTTTTTGAATGCTTTATAATTCGGACCAGACATGGAGACAGAGGTGAAAGTGAAAGGAAGAGACAAAAGAGGGGGGGGGGGGGGGGGTCCACAAAAATACACAATCAATGATGAACAAGAGTCTGCTTCTAGACCTGCAGAAGGAGAAAAAAAACAACACACAACAATACAACAGGAGCAAACAATCATGAAAGAAAAAAAAGTGCATCAGTCGAGGCTCTCTCGTCGTTTTTCCCTTCCTTCAATCCTGGGACTGCTGAGTGGATAAGTGGAATGAATGAATGAATGAATGAATGAATGAACGACTGAATGAATGAATGAATGAATGAACGACTGAATGAATGAATGAATGAATGAATGAATGAATGAATGAATGAATGAATGAATGAATGAATGAACGAACGAAGGAAGGAAGGAATGAATGGATGGATGGTCATTTTTCCCTTCCTTCAATCCTGGGACTGCTAAGTGGATAAGTGGAATGAATGAATGAATTAATGAATGAATGAATGAATGAATGAATGAATGAATGAACGAACGAACGAAGGAAGGAAGGAATGAATGGATGGATGGTCATTTTTCCCTTCCTTCAATCCTGGGACTGCTAAGTGGATAAGTGGGATGGATGAATGGATGAATGGATGGATGGATGGATGGATGGATGGATGAATGGATGGATGGATATGCATTGTCACTTTCAAATGAATAAATACATCTACAGGCTCTAATAGTTGAAAGTGAATCAATATTTTGCTTAAAGTTTCTTTATGTTGTTTAAAATGTGTTTTTGTAATTGTTTAAATAAGTAACATTTGATAGAATGTATATTTGTGGATTAGTAATTCAGTTTACACACAATTTAGCATAATTTCTGGTGACAAACTAATTTAAGAAACAAAAACCATGTGAGGAGCTGTTTGAGAATGGGATGCCTTTTTATTCAGGTCCAGCACAATGGTTTTAGGACCGGGGTATTGTTGGTGTTCAAGTAGAAGGAGGTAGGGTGGGGGGGTCGGGATTTTCTTTTTCATGGTGAAGTCACCCTTTTAAAACAATATACAACGAGTGAATGCTTACCATTTTCAGACTGCCACCAAGTCTTCAGTCTGTTTGGACCGAAAGTGGTGACAACGTTCTCAATGCGATGGCTGTTTGTGTAATCATTCAGCTCAGCATGAGGTGCTGTAGAGTCACAAACAAAGCACTTCTTCTCCTCCTGGTTAAAGACCAAAGGAAGGGTTAACAGAGGTAAATTCCTCACATTCCTGCTATTGGTCAGTCCAGATAAACAGATTAACAATTAAGTCTTCAACAACCAGTTTTAAAGGTTTCAGTTTTTACTTACTTTTACATTTAAAAATGGAGTGCATTCCCCTTTCAGCAGTAAACAACATAACATCACAATCAACATACATCTGTATCTTTATCAAAAACAGATTGAGCCAGCACTCTTCCAGCTCCACAGGCTGTCGTCTTTATTCAGCTTTTAGATGCTTTGGTGCTGGAGGTCAAAGCACCACATGAGACTGAGAAAATATCTCAAACAAATTCAGAACCAGTGAAAGAAAAAATGCAGAAGTTAAAACTGTTGAGCATTTGACCTATGAAGTTGTTAGTGTTCTGTCTGCAGAAACATCTGGATAAACATCTGTCAGCGTCAGGGCTTAGAGTTTCCTTATAGGGGATCATTTTACACAGGAAACCTCACAGACTGGAATTCACTTTCATGTTTAACAAAACACTGTAAAACACTCAGTTGTTTAAAGGCTGAAACAGAGAACACTTGAAAAAGAAAGGTGAGCTCTGTTTTTCATGTATTCATTCTTTCAATATGTCACTCATTCTATTTAGCTGCAAAAATAGTTTTTTTTATTTTGAAACAATCAAATTCCCCATTTTAGTTCAGTGGTTAGGTATCTTAAAGGCTTCAAAAACCTGTCACCAACTGGCAAATGAATTACATAAACCCGGATCATCACCGTCCAGAAATTACACATTAAGTCGCATTTGGAGTTAGAAAATTTTGCTTTATTTTTATTTATTTATTTTGTGTTTCTAACTCATTGAGTAACCAATTTTGAAATAATCAGAATTACTTTACCAAGCATCTGTTACATGTTTTAGATAATACCAACCAAGGAGAACATGGATTGTTTGGTGTTTTACTTGTTTCCTGTGTTTTTTTTTTTACCTGAAGGTGGCTGACAATGCAGAATGGTTCAGGGTGGTTTATTCCACAGGTGGAGGTGGAGAACAGCTGGTGGACACGACCAATCAGAAGGTCTCCTGTCGCTGGGTAACAGCTGCCTTTAGTGCACACATCACTGAGCTCTGGGAGGTTGACCTCATCCAAGGACCCTGCCCCTGAGGCCCCATCCTCCTGAGTATAGGTGAACACCTGAAGAACTGAGAGACAGATCAAACAGAGTCTCCATTATGGGCTGAAGAACATTTCTGATGAGAAGTCACCGTCTTACCCAGGGGTGTCAAATATGCGGCCCGCGGGCCGGATCAGGCCCGCACACAGTTTAAATCCGGCCCGCGAGATGATTGTGTAAACCTTATTTTCAGACTTTACAATGTAAAGTCTGAAAATAAGCTTTCATTTTTCAATTCAACTGCTGGTGAAATCTAAAAGATGTCAGGTATCAGGAGTCAAAGACATGCATGAAACTGATATAGCCATGTGATCTGTGAATCAGTTATTTGAATTACTGAGGAATAGTCTGGGTTTTATGTTTTGTATTTCACATTTTCAAAAACACTTCAGGTGTTTTATTATTAATAGTGATGTTGTGCTTAAACTATTTTGGATACACTGTCCTCAGGCTCCAGCTTTGTTTTGTGTTGATCGTATTAAAACAAAGAAAACAATCTGAAGCAGTTTTTAATTCATACATACTTTAATTTTACTGGCCTGGCCCACTTGGGACTAGATTTTCCTCAATGTGGCCCCTGAGCAAAACTGAGTTTGACACCCCTGGTCTTACCCAGCTAAAGCAAGGCGTACACTACAAGAGCACAAGTTCTGTGTTGTGTATTGTGTAGTATAAAGTGTGCAACAAGAAGCATTTGATGACTCATGACTGATTAATGACCCACACTTGTATAGCTTTTCTTTTTTTTTGAGTCAGAGTTCTTTGGTATAAAACTATGTGTGTCTGATGCTGCTGCCTCTGGGCCAGATCGTCGTAAATGAGAATGAGTTCTCAATCAATTCATCTGGTTAAATAAAAGTTAAATAAAATATTTTAAATATCTGCCTTGTCTCTGAGCACCAAGGGGCCATTATGGCCTACATTTTTTGAAGCCAAGAAGTGGCTAAAATTGCAGTTCCACCCTCATCCACTAGGGGCCGGCAGCAGAAGTGAGCAGATCCTCATTGACTCCCATGATAAAAAAGCCGTTTTCACAGCAGAAATAAACATGTTTGCAGCCTGATTTGGAAACCCATTTTAGGTTTAATAGATCTAGTTTACACTCATGACAACTCTGGAGGGGAGTGAATTGTTTGTAACTCTTCTATTTAAGTGTATTAAATGCTTAAAATTCTGAATAATTAATGAGCATCAGAGCCACGTGACTTCAGAGCTAGCTTTGCAGAAAGGCTTCAACCTGGGTCTCAGCCTCACGTTAATAGATGTTCGACCATTTCGGCTCTCTGAACTTTAGTTTTGTCTGTGTTTTTGTGTTTGGGTGTTAATCAGGGAATTATTTGGACAGGGTCGGATGCCCGAATTCTGTCTCCTGCCCGAGACGAGTTGCTAGAGCAGGCGACTGGCTGTTCCCGTTCCCCAGGACAGCCGACGCGTTGACCGGTGTCGGTACAGGATCTGCTCGGGTGCAGGATCGGCTCGGGGTCCTTCGACTGCCGATGACGTCACATTACTGCAAATCTACTCGGCTTTCACACACACGTTTTGGAAAGACATCAGCAGTTTTGTTAATAAATTCTTGTTTGTTGACACCTAAATGTTTTCTTTATAATTGTAATTTGTTAATAAAACTCCATATTATCTTTGTTTAGTAAAGAATGTGAAACTGCATAAAACCAACATCGGACTGACAACAAATAGAACAGTTCTTATATGTGAAGCCACATCTGTTTGTATTAATGTGGAGTTCGTCTGTATATTTCCTTAGTTGTTATCTAAATACATTCTTTGACTCAAAATATTGCTTGGTGTCTTTCAATAAAGTTCTTATAATTTATTTTTGCCCTATTTCATCAACATCAAGAGCTTTTGAGGGTCACCGTTTATCATTTGCTTATATTTTACATTTCCTTTAGAAATTCAAACACATTTTCTCCAAAAAGTGTTGATTTTTGGACTAGAACCGCCAAGACTATGACCGCAAATTTGTTCTGACCAATCAAAATCGTAACGTAATAACGTAACTTCCGTAAGCTTCATGTTCAGCCAATCACCTACTTTGACGTCATCGGCAGTCAAAGGACCCCGAGCCGATCCTGCACCGACACTGTCTCCCATGTAGGAGGTATCATTTGGAATCGTAGGATGTCCAAGGAAGGTCCTGTCTTTTTCGGCACAGAAAGGCTCTATGATTGGCTATTTGATTTAGCAGCAAACTGTCTTCCCATGCTAAGTGCCAACTGTTCTCCTGCCATCGCCACCAACAGAAAGCTGTTTTGGGGAGTTTTGTACCAAAATTGTGAACTTAGCGCTATAATAATCAGAGGTCCATTTTTGGCTTTAAATTAACCGCGGTGGAGCAATGGGCAGGCTACGTCCATATTTTATATGTTTTATCTCGATGGTTGGCACTCAGCACCTCTGCATGTCATGTGGATGAACAACTCTAACCACATCCATATCAACTCCAACCGCATGTCGCCTCTGTCAATGCACCCCAGGGCAGCTGTGGCTACATCATAGCTCATCACCATCAGCGTGTGAATGGATGGATGATACACTGTAGTCACTTTGGAGTCCTCTGACTCTGAAAGGCGCTATACAAGTGCGGGTCATTTATCATTATCATGAATGCTGACATCAACCGAAAAAACCACATTGCCTTGTATTCAAGGCCAGATAAACCATATGGGCAACTGGGCAACTGGGCAATTGCCCGGGGCCCACGAACTCCAAAGGGCCCAGGCCCAGGGCAACAAGAGCATGAGCAAAGTACTGTATCTGTAATCTCCCGCTATATATTAAACTAGGGTGACCATACATCCTCTTTTCCCCGGACATGTCCACTTTTCACTCTCTGTCCGGGCGTCCGGGGGGTTCTTGTAGCCTATTGATGAAAATGTCCGGTTTTTCATCCAGGAGCAGGGATCGAATTATGGGGGAGCTGGATATCCTACACATCCAGTGGAGCCGGAAAAACGTTTTCTACCTATATTACATCATTCATGGACTCTTTTGAGCAGAGAGCACGTATAGCGATGATCGTTGTTGTTCAGCGCTCAGACAGCTGCATCCAGCGCACGGTCCATTCTCAAAGTGGCGCAACCAAAAAACTATAATTAGCACACGATCGTTCATGTCCGCACATGTTTTCTACTTTCTGTCTTATTTGTGCCTGAAGCACTCTGCTACTGAGGAGCTCATCGTGTGCTGCGGTGATTTCACCTCACTGACGCAGCATCGAAACGCGCTCTCCGCTTTGCGGTCAGGAGATCCCTTTGATCTGCTCAAAAGTAACTGATGAGGTGAAAAAGTAAGAATCCAGGCAGCAGTTTTTCTGGAGAGTTTAGAGGAGATGCAGGAAGATGAGATACACAGGACAGGAAAATAGTTAAATAAAAACAAAAAAACAAAGTAAAATGTAGGTAGATTTATCTCCACTACACGTTTTTACCTGTATAAAGCAATAAGTTACACATGTAATATGTATACAATTCAGATCACCTTCAAAACTCAGTCACACACCCAGGGCTGTCTCAAGACCTTTTGGGGGCCAAGGCTAAATGTACACACCACCCCCCCCCACCCGCCGGCTGACCAATGAAGAGAGGGCCAAAGGTTACCCTGAGCGGGTTACGTGATGTCAAGCATTCAAGTATTGAGTATATTTACTGCATATTACAGTAAATATTCTGTATGTGACCATTTTATGGTGATCCTTGGGTCGTGATGATGGGGCCCTTTAATATTGTTGCCCAGGGTACAACAAAGTGTACTGCTTGTATTGCAAATCTGTGAAAAGTTTTTCATTAGCTGGTCAGAGACGGCCACCCGCACTTTAGTTTTTGGGCGGACTCCTGAACTGACTCTTACTGGTTACAACTCAAATGCCAAAATCTTTAAATGAAACCTACAGAGGATGAAAGTTGCATTATTTCAGCATGAAGTTACTTTTTGTCTGAAGAACAGCGTATCCTCAGTCTGATTTCTTTCCAAACTGAACAACCCATCTGATGAAAACCAATTTTAGCTTAGTCCCCTTTTCCTTTTCTAAACCAGCTGATTCAGACGCTACTAGGCTGGGAACAGCTATGCTTGTTGTACACCAAGTTATAAAATATTTAATCTAAAGTAAAATCTTTTCACTCAGTAAAGCACAAATGGCTTCTGATCTTAGACCTGATTCTGTCTCACAGGTAATGCGAGTTCAAAAGTTCTACCAGGAAAGTCTAACAGAACCGGGCCGCTCAGAATTAGCTGACTTACCGAGCAGCACGGTGAGCCGAAGCTGCCACATGATCCAGAAGATAAAAAGTACTGATGAAAGCAGCAGATCCAGACTCTAGAGACCCCCGGAGAGGTTTGGGAGCTCCGCCTCATCCTGAGACCCTGTGGTACAGACAACTCAACGCCCACATCCGGACTGACAAAGTAAAATCCAACCACCCAAGAGCCAGAACCAGAGGAGTGGAGAAACAAACTCCTAAACAAAAAAAAAAAAAGATAAAACATCAGCTCAAATGTTTCTAAATGAAACTAAATCTGTTAAGAAAACAAGATGTGTGTATTTACTCTAAACAAAAGTAAAAAGCAACAAACACAAACCCTGAAAGTTCTCAGATCTCACCACAAATCTGCCTCAATTATGTTTCATTTAAAAACATTAAGCCTGACCTCCAATAATTTTTTATTGTTCATTCTCATTGTAGTTTGAAAAACTTCACTGGGAAGGAGCTCAGCATTTTTCCGAACCCCCAAAGAGTCCCAACAAAGACATTCCTCAACCCCCCACCACACACACACACACACACACACACACACACACACACACACACACACACACACACACACACACACACACACACACACACACACACACACACACACACACACACACACACACACACACACACACACACACACACACACACACACACACATCCCCCCTTGTTAAAACTCACCTGCATCTACAAAGGAAGTGTGTGTGTTATCTTTGCAGGCTTACACATGTTTGATCATTATCCACAACGCACTATGGGAGCAAAGTGTCTTCAGAATTTGCGGGACTTTCATCTGAACATATTTGAGTTGAACTTCAAGAGATCAGAATTAAGGTTTTATTTCCAGGTGTTCACATCTGGATTTGTTTCATGACTTGTTACTATGACAGAGATTTTCCACTAAGTTGGCCAGCATATTCATCACAGTGAAGATGGCTTTTATTTATATATCACCTCTCAAGATAAAAATCACGAGAGGCTTCACAAGAACAACAAATTTAATAAAAGAAAATACTGAGTATTAAAAAATGGGAAAATTGACTAAAATTTACAAAATAAGAAAGAAAGAAAGAAAGAAAGAAAGAAAGAAAGAAAGAGAAAGAAAGAAAGAGAAAGAAAGAAAGAGAAAGAAAGAAAGAGAAAGAAAGAAAGAGAAAGAAAGAAAGAAAGAAAGAAAGAAAGAAAGAAAGAAAGAAAGAAAGAAAGAAAGAAAGAAAGAAAGAAAGAAAGAAAGAAAGAAAGAAAGAAAGAAAGAAAGAAAGAAAGAAAGAAAGAAAGACATCATTCTGTGGGGTCGCAGAAAGCTTGTGGATCTGTCTCTCCACTGCTGGACTGGTTAAGGAACGTCAAATGCGGGATAGCCTCTTAACTCTTTACACCTGAATGATTTAAACTGAAGTCATAATTCTCAACCCAGGCAGATTAGTTGGCTCTGGCTCTGGTTCTGACTCTGACATGGAACTTGGCCTTTTGGCACCTCTTGAAAAGAAATTAGTCAGCAACCCGGGGATAAAAATGGACGCAGGCCTTAAATTTGTTCTCTTCAGTCTCCTGCTTTGCTGGGTCTACTGTCTTATTATTACTTATCTACTACGACTGCATGAGCCTGGGCCCTCTTCGGGTATCGCACTCAGGCAGTGTCCAGGCCTGTTAATGACTACCATTGGTATTTAACACAGTGCAGTAATTAGACGGGTTTTTTTTTTTTTTTACCTTCAGCTAATATGTTTCGGCCAGAACTTCCGCCTGGGACTGTGTTATCAGCATGAAGGATGCAGACAGCAGAGAACGATATCGCCCTCTGCTGTCTGCACATAAACAGACGTGATGCCACGAACAGCTGGCGGCTCTGACAAAGGCGGAAGTTCTTGCCGAAACATGTCAGCCAAAGGTGAAAAAATATCAAATTACAGCACTGTGTAAAATAAGAAAAAAGATTATGTCAGTTTTCTGTCGGTGGTACAACCCATGTAGGGATTACGCCGGGGACACACTGGCCGCCGAAGTGCCGCAAAGCGCCGGGAGGCAAAGCGCTCATGAAATTCAGCCGCTGCTCCTCAGTTCAGACCAGACGCTTGTTTCTCCGGTCGAGGCGCGCCTCGTGGTTTTTCTTTTAACCACTTGGTGTCCTCCATTTGCTCTCTGCCTTTTCTCTGCTCTTTTCCTCTACACCCCCCTCCCCCTTGCTGTTTGTATGTGTTTGTACATGTGTGTGTGTGAACCTATGGTGTGAACCAGTTGTTAATAGCTGGCCTACAAGTTTGCTGTGGTTCAAAGACACCCAAAACCACACGCCCCTCACGTGGTCACACACACACACACACAAGTTCGGTGTATGTGTGTGTATATGTGTGGGTGTGTGTGTGTGGTTTTTATGCAGTGTCTGTTTATTAACACATTTGACTATCGCGGAATTTTATTTTGAAATGCTTTATTATGTTAAATTTACCGGCCTGCCTCTTATGTCTAGGTTTGACTTCCTGCCAGAATTGACGCGGTTCACCCGCGGCTCGCGAAAAAAATAGAGCAGACGCCGAAATGATTGCTGCACGGCGCGGGCTGGAGCGCCGGCGCGCGGGCCATGTGGTCTATAGAATAGGATAACAAGGGCGCCGAATGAAGGCGGTCCCCGTTTCGCGGTGCTTCGGCGGCCAGTGTGTCCCCAGCATTAGTCCTCCCATGATGGTGTTTCCAGCGTCTTCTCTTCTGTTTGCCATTGTCTGAGACATTCAGTGAGCACATCATCTGTTGGGACCGTATCCTTTATGTACTTATGGACACACTCAATAGTCCTCGACCAGTGAGGGCAATTTTAGGGGGATGAATATGGATTGGAAACCTCCATGCACGGTTACCAGCTTGCATGTTTAACATCTGTGGTCTGTATTTCTTTTTTTGGCCAGCGTATTATTACTGCAGGATATCTGATTAATGGCAGGGTATAGCTGTTTATTGCCAAGATCTCGTTCTTGCCATTGAGTTGACTTCTTAGGACTTGACTTACCCCTGCAGGTTGGCTGTGGCTCTTTTCCTTGCAGCTTCATCGGGGTTTACATTTGCTTGTGGGATGCCAAGATACTTGTAGCTGTCCTCAATGTCTGCTATCTTTCCTTCTCTGAGTGAGACCCCTTCTGTGTGGACCATCTTCCCTTTATTTGTTACCATCTGACCACACTTCTGAAGTCTGAATGACATTCCAATAACAGTGCTGTAGATCCTGGTGGTGGGGATAAGTGAGTCGATGTCTCGCTCATTCTTGGCATACAGCTTTATGTCATCCACGTAGAGGAGGTGGCTGACTATGGTTCCATTCTCGAGATGGTATCCATAGGCAGTTTTGGTGATTATTTGGCTTAGGGGGTTCAGACCTTTGCAGAACTGCAGTGGGAAGAGGATGTTTCTTGGTATATGCCAAATTTGATAAAGACTTATGCAACTGGATTCAGGGATGGTTTTCAACAGCCCCACCGAGTTTGCAATGAAAGGTCTCAGAGTCTTGTGGATGTTGTATAGGTTCAAGGTTCAAGGTTGTCTTTATTAAGCTCCAAGCATTCAATAATCCATGAGTGCAGCAATGAGTCATAGGCTTTCTTGTAATCAATCCAGTTCGTACACAGGTTGGTGTACTTGGGCGACTGTTCAGCCAATCAGCAGCTGGTGTTGTCTTTTTGTGCTGTGCTCATGAACTGATCCATGTGCCCACTTATCTTATATATATATATAAAACTTTGGGTTGGGCACTCATATATCTAGTGCTGAGGTCATTGGTGTGGTCAAAAAGCTCCTCTGTGGCAAGGCTCCAGGGGTGGATGAGATCCGCCCGGAGTTCCTTAAGGCTCTGGATGTTGTGGGGCTGTATTAGCTGACGCGGCTCTGCAATATCGCGTGGACATTGGGGGCGGTCCCACTGGACTGGCAGACTGGAGTGGTGGTCCCATTATTTAAAAAGGGGGACCACAGGGTGTGTTCCAACTACAGGGGGATCACACTCCTGAGCCTTCCTGCTAAGGTCTTTTCAGGGGTTCTGGAGAGGAGGGTCCGTCGGATTGCTGAACCTCAGATTCAGGAAGAGCAATGTGGTTTTCGTCCTGGCCTTGGAACACTGGACCAGCTCTATATCCTTAGGGGGATCCTGGAGGGTGCGTGGGAATTTGCCCAACCAGAGGAGCTTTTTAACCACCTCAGTGACCTCAGCACCAGAGATTTGAGAGGCCAACTCAAAGTCCCCAGACTCTGCTTCCTCACTGGAAGACGTGTCGGTGGGATTGAGGAGGTCTTCGAAGTATTCTGCCCACCGATCCACAACGTCCTGAGTAGAGGTCAGCAGCACACCCTCTCCATTATAGATAGTGTGATAGTGTTGGTAGCGCTTCCCCCCCCCCCCCCCCCTCCCACCACCAGATTTCTTGGTGTAATAGACAATAGCTGGAAAGCTCACATTAAACATATAAATAAAATCTCAAGAAGCATCTCAATATTAAAAAAAGTCTAACACATTCTGGACCAAAAGTCACTCCACATTCTACACTGTTCACTTATTTCCACATATTTAAATGACTGTACAGAGGTTTGGGGAAACCCCTATAAATGTGCTTTATCATTATCTGTGTTACAAAAAAAGAGCTCTAAGGATCATTCATAACCCTGGTTACAGAAATCATACATACTCATTTTTTAAATTACAAATCTTAAAATTTCCGGATATAATTCAGTTTCAAATAGCACAGCTAATGTACAAAGTAAACAATAAACTGCTTCCAGACAACATATTAACCCTCCCACTGTCTTTATGGGTGACCCCGCGAGGAAAGTTGACCACTGAGCAGGATTGATGGTTTATCCCTTGGGGTCCACGTGGCAGGGGTGAGGTGGTGTTCACTCCTCACCCCTGTCACATGGACCCAAGTGATAAACAATCAACCCTGCTCAATGGTCAACTTTCCTCACGGGGTCACACTCATTAGGGCAGTGGGAGGGTTAAAACTGTTTCATAAAAGGGAGGGGAGGTATCAGTTAAGAGGGGAGTTAAAATTCAAACATGCTCGTGCCATGGTTTGTGCTGAGCTAAACTGGTTTTGTTCTCCTCTGAGTGCTGTCTGCAGGTGAGCGTGTCCTGGAGAGCACAGCTGTTGCTGTTCAGCCCATCAGTGGTCAGGGGGTTTAAGGAGCGGCGTGACAACTCACCAGTGCCGGATGATACTGAGTCTTGTGTAGTTCTAGTCGCTATCAATCCTAGCTCTTGTCATCTCAGAATATATGTTTGTGCTTTTGTATCCTGGCTCCACGTTTATCTGATCTGTTCTCCTGACCCATCCAGATTTCCCTCACCTGCAAAGAACATCACACTTCAATAACTTTGGATTCACTCAAGCCTTCAGCCACGTCGTTCACCTCTGACCACCAGCTCTCCACCAGAGAAAACAAGACATTGGATTTGTGTTATGCAAATGTAAAGAATGCATACATGTCCAAAACAAGACCTCCTCTGGGACAATCAGATCACAATCTTGTTTTTCTCTGCTCGGAATACAAATCACTTGTTCAGAGGCAACCTGTGACAAGAAGAACTGTTAGAAAATGGTCACAGGACGCTGAAGAAGCCCTGCAGAGTTGTTTTGAGACCACAGATTGGATGACTCTCTGCCAAGGATATGAAGAGGACATCAATGCCATGACTGGATGTGTCACTGACTATATAATCTTCTGTGTGGATAATATAATACCCACCAGAACAGTGAGATGCTTCACCTGCAACCTGCTCACCTGGACACACCTGCAGCCAACTCCCTGTGCTCAGCTCCCAGCCTTGGTCTCTCGATCTCCCGCTCAGCCTGACCTGACCTGCCTCCCTCCTTGGATTCCCAACTTCCTGAAGACCGTAAGCCTCCTATAACCTTTTGATTATCCTCTGCATCATTATCCAAAGACTAGAATCCATTCTCTCTCCAGAACACCCGGAAACTCCTCAACCCTCTGGATCTCCGTTTTTTTCTCTCCTCCACAGACTTTAATAAAATACAAAGAAACTTTTACTTACCTCTGGTTCTGTGGTGATTCTTCATGTCGTGGGTCAAAAAACTACCCTCTAACATGACAGCTCAAGTCCGAACAACATTAAAAACTTTTAGTGTGTCTGTGTGTGGTGAGAAACTGTGGAGCAGAATGACTGATGAATTGAGGCAATGTCCGAACATGATGCTGTTTAAAAAAAGGCTTAAACTCATGATGTTTACCAAATACAAGGAAGAAGGTCCAAAATGTGTGCCTAAACACAAAATGTGTATTTATGGCATGATCGTGATAAACCATGTGAATACGTTGCAACGTAATTTGCCAAAAACTACCGGGCAGCATTAAATAACTATTAGTTATTTGATGTCGAAAGAGGTGGGATTAAATAAGCTGATGGTTCTTCCTACTCCCTTTTGAACATGTGTGTGTGTGAGAAGGAGAAGTTACTTATGTTGTGTGTACTACTATGTGTATGTACGCACGTTCAAAACAAAGACAAAGAAAAAGACAAACCCATAAAACAGATAATTGTCCAAATGAAACACTTTATTTTTGTAAAAACATTATCTGTAAGAAAAACAAACATGTATTTCAGTGTTAGACTTAGAAATCTTTTTTAAATTTTAATTTTGTTTTTGTTGTACCTCAACATGTATTTTTATATTTTTTATTTATCATAAGGTTCATTACAGAAACGTATATTAAGAATTAGAGTGGTTTGTTTTAATTTCAGACGTGAGAAGGGTGCTGCATTATTTACGAGGAACAGATGGTGTATTCTTCAGCGCGAGAGGCAATTTCCTGTTGCAGCAACTCCGCCATCTCCAGCAGTTCTGCCACTTCAACAGCTTTTTGTTTCTTCCTCTGCAGCAACTGCTGAATTTTCTGCTCCACATCTGATAGAAATACAGTGAGAGGAAAGTTCAAATCCCCATCAGACATTGTAGCATAACCACAACAGCGTGTACACACCGGTGTGATGTCATGACATGTTGACAGAAGCACCATCAGCTGCTGGAAAAATCTGGACTTCAGAGACTTTGCTCAAACATAAAATTGAAAACCCAAAGTGTGCAGGATGGGGAGGTGCAGGAAAGAGCAATGGTTAAAAAGTTAAAAAAGAAATGTAACGGGTGTGCAGGTTGTCGGTCATGGTAATGTTGACCATTAAAATGTAGATTCTAACTTCAGCAGTGTGATTATTGCATCAACAATGTATGTATGTATGATTGAATTATATATATATATATATATATATATATATATATATATGTATATATACATACTTTCTTTTCTGAAAGACAGCACAGAGGAATGCAAGACCCAAGGTGTAGGCTATGCAAAGAGGCCCCTGAGACAATCCACCACATAACTGCAGGGTGTGAGATGCTAGCAGGGATAGCATCCATGGAACGCCACAATCAAGTGGCTGGCATCGTGTACACGAACATCTGTGAAGAGCATGGACTAGAAGCCCTAAGGTCAAAGTGGGTAACACCTCCCAATGTAGTTGAGAACAATTGAGCCAAGCTCCTGCGGGACTTCCAGATCCAGACCGACAAAATGCTGATGGCGAACCAACTAGACATTGTTGTGTCAAGTGATGGCAACATCAGGAAAGAGGAACACAAGAAACTAGAGAAGTACCAGGGCCTCAAAGAACTTGAGAAAGCCTGGAGAGTGAAGGGGCATATCATAGACTCCTGGAAACAGTGAAACCTGATTTGCCTATCTCAGCTGTCTGCAGAGGATTCTGAAGACGTCTGGATATTCGTGGTGTTGGTGTCAGGTTTCCTGCCCTTTGGCCTAGGAGGCTTCCTGGCTTACCAGAAAATGAATGAGCTGTCGAGGAATATTGGCGCTCTCCCCAAGCTCAGGGATGGATTACACCGCGCTGTGAATTCACAGACTCATATAATTGTCGAGATGAGTCGTAAGCTTGGAACTTTAGCTGAGATTCATGCGCTGGCACAAAAGATGGATGCCATCAAGGAGCGAGTGGACGTATCAGCACGGATTGGGATAGATTAATTTATGCCAAAATTGGGATTTTGATAGTTTGAGGACCAACAGAACTTTAAGACAGAGAGGAAATTATCTCTGTCTGGCCCCAAAACAATTTCTAATCTGAATCTGGTGTCCTTGAGCCTGTGAGGCTGCAACGAATACTCCCCCCTCAGATGAAATGTGGAATGCTGCCGTCGCTATGGCAACTCTGTCTCCCTATCCCAGCCTGGGCGGGACTGCGGGCTGTGAAAGCCGCCGAATCGTTCCAGGAGTCACCATGCCCTCCAAACCTCAACGACCTCCCTCCCCTGTCCAGACTGAGGTGACGTGCGCTCCTTATCGCGGCTGCATTCACTGACGTGTGGAGAGTCCCAAACCCACCACCCCACCTAGTAGACACTTATGTTGTGTGATGTCTGTTGCATATCTCTGTCTGAGGTGTTTTTTGCAGAGCAAAGCTGCCCTCCCTTTGGAGGGTAACTCTGAAGTGCCTTTTTTTCCCTCCACCTGAACCAATCCTCATGTATCCCCTCTGATCTCTATTAAGGTAGCGCGCCTCGGGTTGCAAATGGCCACAGTCACCAATTCTTGTCATGTGTCTTGCCCATGTATGTCTGATCTCAGAATTGTGTGTACTGAAACTCTAATTTCCCTCTGGGATTAATAAAGTATCTTTCAATTAAATTGAACTGAAATGAATAATTTTTGCACTGTTATTGATATGTTTCCTAAATGGTCTGAGGAACAATTTAATGTTGGCACTGCTAAAAGTATACTATCTACCCATTTCAATGGCAAAAATGAATATACCTATCAAGGTTTCAAAATACTGTATGTCGTGTTTTGTGTGATCCACTGCTTTTTTGTAGTGATAGCCTACTAGGTACAATGATTAGATTTATAGCACTGAGCGGCATCAACCACAAAAATATGTGTTTGCATTTGTAGATGGTTAAAACAATAGAAATAGATTAAAACAGGCGGATAAAAAATGACACATAAAACAGACATTGTCCTTTCTAATTTAGTTTCATTCATTTCATCATTCACTTGCACTCACAGTACTACACTGCCATTTTATGTTCACACCACTAGGTGGCGCAGTGAACTTGTGGCAGGATAGGGCTACCATATAAGCAAGCCAGAAGACCAGCAACCTTGCTGGCTATCCAGTTAAGGAAGTAACACATTTTAATTAAAACAATCAGAATAAAAGCAGTTACTTTCCCTAGTAACTATTTACTTAGAAACTAACGAGTAACTTAAAGTAACTGAGTTACTCTTGAAAGAAGTAACTAGTAATGTAACTACGTTACTAATTTAAAGTAACTTTCCCAACACTGCTGCTCAGACACGTGAAAAGAGAGTTACAGTAGTCTAAGCGTGAGGAGATGAAGGTGTGGAGAACTGTCTCAAGTTCAGAGCGGGACAAAATGGGACTCAGCTTAGCAACGTTCCTGAGATGGAAGAAGGAAGAGCGAAGAGAACTGACATGAGAATCCAGGGTGAGAGCTGGGTCAAAGGTCACGCCAAGATTCCTGACAGAAGGTTTGGTGTGAGAAGCAAGCTGACCAAGAGAGTCTCTGACTTTGGGAACCAGCTTGTCTGGGGCACAGATGATGATCTGTCTTATCTTCATTCAGCTGAAGAAAGCTCCCACCATCCATCACGGGGCTTAAAGGAGATGTACAGTTGGAAATGGAACCTAATGGGGGGTTGAGCCTAGAGAGCTTAGGTCATGGCTTGTATTCCTTAGGTTAGGGTGAAGAAGAAGAAGAAAATATCATTTCTATAGCGCCTCAAGATAAAAATCACGAGGCGCTTCACTAAAACAAAAAATGTAAAAATATAACAAAGAACTTAGAAAATGGTTAAAAATATATTTAAAATGAGCAAAAAATAGACAATTGTGATTAAAAAATGTTAAGAAAGAGAGAGAGTGAACAGGAAAGAGGGAAATCAGTGGATCCTGAGGAAGGTGGAATAGGTGGGGAGAGCAGAATACAGAGAGAGTGGTGAAGAAGGTCATCCAAAAGCCAGCTTGAACAAGTGAGTCTTCAGCTGTTTTTTAAAGGTGGGTGCAAGTGGTGGTGCCTGGCCCTGGCCGGGGGATTTTGGTGAGGCTTGGTACCTCCTAAGCTGTCAGGAATACATCTACTTCCATCATTGGGGAAGGAGGGACCTCATGGAGAAGGTGGATCCAACTTTTTCTGGATGACTGATGGCTTACGTACTCTGGAGATCGATCAAATGTAGGGGTGGGGGTAGATATTCTGCTGGGGTGGGGGGCCTCGGGCTAAGTTGAGCACTGTGATGCTGCTGCTATGGGCCCTGGCTAGATGGGATCATTCAGAGGCATTAAAGTAGTTTACTAACCATGCACCTGTTGAAGTCCATCCTCCACTTGTTTCTGAACATCTTTGGCCTCATTTAAGATTTCCTTCAACTGTTCTGCTGCTCGGACTTTCAGTGTACGATTTAAGTGCTTCTGCTTTAAAAGCTCAAACTGCATCATGACATCCAGCAGATTCTGTTGAAAAGAAGAAAATCCAAGGTCAACCAACTCCACAAATATTACTGGTATGATCAGACTAGATCACCAAAACAGCTTGGAACCCGACTAATCCAATTACCGTTTGATTGGCACTGTTAAAAGCTGAGTCTGCAGTCTCCTTGGCCTCTCTGGCCAGCTCTCTACTGCTCTCAGTTTTATTTTTCATAGATTCAAGTCCTCTCCACAGATCTTCAGAGTGAATCATCAGCTTCTTCTCAATGTGCTCTAATTTGTTTTCAGTCTGAAATAAATTGACAGAACAGGTAACCACACTGATGACTGAGCTTGTCAAAAAAAAATCTGAGTTATTAAACTTACATCTTGGATTTGGTCTTTGGATTGGTCTCTGACTTGACTTGCTGCCTTCAGGTTGCCGTTGGCTTTGTTGTGAGCTCCGTCAGTGGCAGAAATGTCTCTGCTGATATCTTCGACATCTACATTTTCAGTCCATTTCCTGCCCAAGAACAAAAACTGTGAAATATATCATGAAGAATTTAAAGAAAAGACTAAATATTTTATGCTCAATCAGAATGTTCAAATTTCTTTGTTAATATTAAACTACTCACAGGTTAGTACACTGCATTTATAAAGGGTGTAAGAGGACGATCCCCGGGTTGCACTACGTAGTGTGAGAGTGTGAACGAGTTAGGGATGATGTCACAAGGACCACAAGCTCTGGATCTATTTTGCATTCATTCATAGTCTGGATATTCCTTGTATATATTCTGCAATGTAAGTGGTGCAACATTCTACTTTGTTTTCCTCTTGTCCAACTAGAGTGTTAGCTTTCGCAATAGCAGTCTAGCATTAGTAGTAATTTAGCAATTCAGTCAAACATTAGCGGTATTGCAGCCTAACCCCGGGTTTCCACCGGAGCCGTCAGCAGCACGTCTTGCTCGCGTAAACTGCTGCTTGGCCCTTCCCACGAGACGCGAAGCAGCAGGGGAGCAGCTGTCACCGACCGAGCATGAAGTCACACGAGTGACTTCGTCAGTAAACACAACAACAAGCAGGAGAAAATTACAACATGGTTTGTGTTTTATGTTCTGTCCGCTTTATAATCGTCAATACGGACCTGAAAAAAAAGGAGACCGCTAGCTAGGTGATAACTTCTCACGGGGCCGCACAGTTAGTAACTTTTTTTAAAAGTAAAGCAACCGGAAGACAGTACGTTCTTTATTCTGAAAATCTCGGGAGCTTCTCTCCATTTCCGCGTCCGATTTCCTGTCTTTCCTCCCCCAAAAATGTCGAACTTGACCCGTTTCAGAGGTGTCGCGCGTAGAAAATAGAACCGGCGCGTAAAGGCCGCGACATGCTGCTCCTGAGACGCGGCCGACTCGCGCTGCTGACGGCTCCAGTGGAAAAGGTTCTGCTGACCACAGCGGTTCCTATCAGCAGCTATGACGTGCTGCTGCAGTAACGTGCTGCTGACGGCTCCGGTGGAAAGCCGGGGTTACATTGATCAGTTTGCATTGATGCAACTAGCATTTATACTGTACATTGCAGAGATCAGTGAGTTGGGACATGTAGGTGTAAAACTGTGTTGTTTGCTTATTGCTAAATAAACCAGCTTTCTTCAGAACTAACCAATTTTCCCTCACCTTTTGAATATTACCTATTTGCACAGCATGGTATGCTATATTAGACACCCCTAGCTGCCTTTATTCAACGTCAATAAGATAAATGTGATTACAATGTGTAATGCCTCTCTTAAAGTTGCGTTGTAAGTGGACAAGCTGTTAGCGTGTGTTTTCATTTGCTTACTTGAGTTGATGGGCTTTCTTCAGCAGCTCCTGCACAGTCTCAGGTTTTGTCTGAAGCTCCTTCGCATGATCCTGGTATTTGGAAGCATTGCTGTTCAGATTCAGGATGTCAATGATTGCTGAGCGAACCTCAACTAATGACGGTGGCAACTGGATGGTCCAAACAGCTTTGGCCATTTTCACAATGTCCTCTGAGGGTACCATTTCATCTACCAAAGAGAAAACGAAGAAGCATCACAACAAGGAAGGTTCACGTAAAAAGTAGCATTGTCGTTAAACATTTGAAAATCAACTTTAGAGAAAAAAACTAAACTACTACATGAATTTTTGTTTCCTTCCTTTGACTAATGGATGATTGATTTCTCACTTACACAAAACTAGATTTAAGTTATCTCGAATAAAAGAAAACTGATCCATCCATCCATCCATTTCTAACCGCTTGTCCGTAGTCAGGTCGCGGGGTCGAGAGGCACCTGGCTGCAGACCTCCACTGTCAGGTTGCTTATGGTGCAGGCTCCACTGTCAGAACAACCTCCACGGTCAGGACTGTCAGGATGGAACTGCAGACTTTTTTCCCACCAGCCTTAATTTAACGGAGTCCAGCTAAAGTCCCGAGTAGCGGCGAGTTGCTGATTTTGTTAAGAACTTATCCACACAAATTAAATGTATGGCGTCGTGTTTTTTGTCAATATAGATGCCTTAAAAATGTCAAAGATAAAGAAGTTATTAATACTTGATGCAAATTACCGAATGTTAGACCGACAGGGTAGATGGTTTGAAGCCAAGTGTGAAAGTTAACTTTCACCAATGGCGGTTAGCATCAACACCTTAAGTTGGGGTGACCATACGGTTTGCCCAGACTTGTCCTCATTTTTGGCCATAAAATTAAGCCCGTGCGGATTTTTTTAAATATCAGAAAGTGTCCGGGTTAACCTCATATTGTTTCATTGACTGTCATTCAACACTTTAAATACAGCCACTGCCCTGTCTGGATAACACGAAAGATCAAAAATACAATTTTTTAAAAATGAAACAAAGCTAATGAGGAGCTGCGCAGCATGCGTTGCAATGTGCCACTAAAATACAGAACCTGAGTGTACTTTCACAGACAGATTTCTGAAAAATATACCCAAAGTTCAGTCGTGGCTGTCAGAGAAGCTAATTCCTGCTTTATTTGAGAAGAAAGGTGAGCAGCACACCTTAAGCAACAGTCTGAGCTGCTACAGCAGGTTATGAATTAATGTCGGGACAACACAGATTAATTATTATCAGAAGTTCATCACAGTTATCACGACCATCATTTGACTCGGAGACATCGCAGTAAAAACAGTCCAAATTTGGATCAATATTTCATCCCTTTCCTGGTGATGAATCAGGACATATCTACTATCAGTGGATTGCTCATAATCTCAGGATTATAAATACATTACTTTTGCTCTATCTGCTCTATAGTTTGATTCTTGTCTATCTATGCTCTATCTGCATAACTGAACGAAACAGAACTAAAAACCTGTAGTCTGAACATCAAGTGATCTTGGGTAAAAATAGATGATGAAAAAGTCAGTCTGATTATTATCCATCCATCCATCCATCTTCTGAACCCGCTTGTCCACGTAGGGTCGCGAGGGGGCTGGTGCCCATCTCCAGCGGTCAACGGGCAATTAGGTGGGGTACACCCTTGACAGAGAGCCAGTCCACCACAGGGCAACACAGAGACACACAGGACAAACAATCACACACACACACTCACACCTAAGGACAATTTAGACAGACCAATCAACCTAACAGTCATGTTTTTGGACTGTGGGAGGAAGCCGGAGTACCCGGAGAGAACCCACGCATGCACAGGGAGAACATGCAAACTCCATGCAGAAAGACCCCAGGCCGGGAAGCGAACCCCGGGCCTTCTTGCTGTAAGGCAACAGCTCTAACCACGTTGGTCAAAACCACAGGTGTGTACCATAAACACTAATATATAATAAACAATGTGTTTGTTTGCTTGTCTTAGCCAGAGACGTGCAGAACTACATCCAGAAGAGCTGAAGAGAGCCTGTCTGACCTCCCAGGATGCCCAGAGACTCTAACCTCAGCTGATGATGTGATTATTTAACCATCATGTCATAATGACACTACACACACACACACACACACACACACACACACACACACACACACACACACACACACACACACACACACACACACACACACACACACACACACACACAAAGACAGAGTAATGTGTCTATAGTTATATTGTGATTTCTTAGTAAATATTCTATTTGGTGAGAGATAAACTTCATTGTATTTATCCCAGTGAATCTATAATTAAACGGATAAACTAGAAGTAGGACATCCAACGTCAAGGAAAGCAAAAAGTTATTATCAGGAGAGAGAGAATAAAATACAAAGGAATATGAATCAGTTCATTGTTTATGCAGGAGTAAATACTGACCCATGAGGTAATCTCTGATTTGCTGGATTATTTCCTTGGTTTTGATCTTCTCTGTTTCCAAGGACATGCTGTTGTTAGTGATCTGGTACTGCAAGTCGCTGGTTTGGTCTTTGAAGCCCTCAGCCAACAGCTGAGCATTAGTGATCTAAAAACAAACAAACATGGTTTTGACAGCATATTTACACTTTTTTTACATCACAAATGAAATGATCATTGTTGATTCAGAACTGAGACCTGTCAGGAGTCAGGATGTTGATAGCCTCTACCTTGGTATTTTCTGCCTATTATAAAATGTATTGGTAGGTATCCACTGGAGCATGGACATAATTTTTTTTTGGGGGTGGGGGGGGACATGTCCCCCCCCACTTTTTCCAAAGTCAAGTTTTGACTCCTGAACTTTTTACCATCCCAAAACAATATTACGCTATATTAAATTGACACTGGTTGAGCTGTAGGACCAAGCGGAAAACAACCGTTTGTGTTGAGGCCTGTTTCCCATTAGAGCTTACTGTAAAGATAACCCCCCCCCCCCCCCCCACCACCACCACCACCACTTCTAAAGTGAAAATTACGTCCATGCACTGGAGGACACTATGGGAATGTTCTTCTCAGCTTCCTGATGAGGGGCTGGAGCAAGTGTGTCTTTTCACACACCTGCGGCTCATTCAATCAGCAGATGTGAGGACACAAGGAGTCAGGAGTCAAGGATTCACTGCCAGAGTGTTTATCTATGTAGTAGCATTAAGCCACCATTCTTGTATCCCTGAGTTTGATTCTTGTCTGTATTTTACCCAACTAGGAAATTGTCCGACTGATCTGTTCGAGCTGGGATCTTTTTTACTCTGCAGTTAAGCGATAACCTTGATCCAGTCCATCTTACATTCATCCATCCATTTCTGTCTGCTTATCTAGTGTCAGGCCGCGAGGGCAGCAGCCTAAGCAGGGAGGCCCCAGACGTGTGCCAGCTCCTCCGTTGGAGTCCTAAGGCATTCACTGGCCCGCTGAGAAACAGTCCTTCCAGTGTGTCCTGGGTCATCCTCTAGGTCTCCACCCAGTTGGACGTGCCAGGAAAACCTCACCAGGGAGGTATCTAGGAGGCATCATAATCAGATGCCAGAGCCACATCAACAGAGCCACCTCTCGGCGTGGAGGAGAAGTGGGTCTACTCCGAGCCCCTCCAAGATGACTGAGCTCCTCACCCTATCTCTAAGGGAGAGCCCAGACATCTTGTGAAGAAAACTCATTTCAGCCGCTTGTATCCGCGATGTCATTCTTTTGGTCACTACCCAAAGCTTGTGACCATAGGTGAGGTGTTGGATCATAGATTGACCAGTAAATCAAGAGCGTTGCCTTCTAAATCAGCTCTCTCTTCACAATGACAAACCGGTACAACACCCGCATCACTACAGACACAGCACCAATCACTTTTGTGTGACCTCCTGCTGATTGTTCATTCAATTATAATCAAGTTTATTTCTAAAGCGCCAAATCAGGACCACAGTAAACCATACAGGTCAGGTCATTAAGCCAATCAGTAAAAGGTTTCTTATATAAGGAACCCAGCATGTTGCATCGAGTCACTGACTAGTGTCAGTGACTTTACAGCAATCCTCATACTAAGCAAGCATGCAGCGACAGTGGAGAGGAAAACTTCCTTTTAACAGGAAGAAACCTCCAGAGGATCCTGGCTCAGTATAAGCAGCCATCCACCACGACTCATTGGGGATGGAGAAGACAGAGCAGACACACACACACACACACACACACACACACATCTGTGTGTGCGTGGGTGAATGACCGGTTGTGTTGTAAAGTGCCTTGGGGAGTTGTAAAATCCTAGAAGGTACAAATGCAGGGCATTTAGCATTTTTTGTCTATTTTCTGTAAAGGCATTGTTACAACCGAGATTATTCTGCATAAAAAATTCAGAGGCTATAATTAATCAGTTAATCAGCAACATGGAAAGTTTTGGTTTTTAATTTCTGAGCGTTCCTGATGGAAAAGATGTTTATCATCCGACCCCTCCACACTCCGGGGTTTGTGGAAAAAAACCTGTGATTTTTTCATAACAGAACCAGTTAGCTACTCCTGCATCTGCCTCAAAAGAGAATTAGGAAATCTTTCATGTACACATACCTTTTTCATGAATTTCTGCAGAAATGACGGTAGTTTGGCGAGTTGCTCCTTTATGTTGTCCGCCATCTTGGAAGTTTTTTGAGTATGGGGAACAACTCCAACACGCATATGACCTCCACCACATTTTGAACAGTCATCCAGATCTGGAGCTCCACAGATCTGCACAAGACCATAACAAGTTGTTTAGAGAACACAAAAGGTAACAAATAAGATTGTTTATGACCAATGACTGAAGTATTAAAACTCACTTTAGAACTAAAACAAAAGCAGCCATGAGATGCCGCAAAGTTTACTTTAATAACGTCAAACCAAAAATAGGACAAAATCTATCTTTAAATAAGCCCAGAGACAACTCTGGACCGACCTGGTCGTACTGCGGTCTTTTCTATGAACTTCGGTACCTTGGGGTCCCCCCCCCCCCCCCGACATCTTGGATCCGAAAGGGGGTCTCCTCAGAGGTATGTAGAACAACAAGAATGCATCTGATGCCGTTTTGATAGGAACCAACTTCGTAGTTTAATGCAAACCAAATTCTTTTCACACCCAGAACTCAGTTCTTCTCTAGATACGAAGGTTCTGATAACATTACATTCACACATAATCACACCTCACATTCCGTCTCTCACGTTGAGAGCCAGGGGAGTTGGACCCAACATGCAGATACCCAGAACGACACGAAACAGGAGCGGATGTGAAAGAAATCATTCCTTTATTAGGATGAAAAAAATAAATAACATCCAAGCAGGTCACGAAGCCAAATAACCTAGAGACCAAGAAGGAGTGGGGACAAAACAACGCTGACACGAACAATGGACCAACAAACCCAGAAAGACAGGACAGGGTTTTATACCTGGGGGGGGGGGGGGGGGGGGGGGGACCACAGGGAGGCACCTGAGGGGGGATGCAGACAAGGAGACACATGAAGAACACAAGGAGACACATAAGGGAGATGCAGAACACAGACCATGACACCATCCACTTAGATCCAGTCATCACATAAAGTGTTCCCCAGTTGTCTTGTTTTTAATTATTTAGAAAATAAATTTCTTGCCTTTTATGAACCTGACTCTGAATTGATACGAAGTGTGTTCATGATCCCTGAAAAAGCAAAGAATCCTAGAATCTTCTGATTAAACATCCAAAGACCAAGCAGGTTGATATTCTACATTTATACAGAATATCACATCTTATTGGTCATAAGTAAAGGTAATATATTAAGCTTAAAAGCAACAATATATTTAATCCTACTAGGGTTGTCATGGTAACCGGTGTAGCGGTAAACCCCGGTAAAAAAGCTGACAATAATAATAACCGTCTTGTTTTTAAAAAAAAAATATTATCTCGGTGGATTACCGTGGCTGCGGTGTAGGCGCGGTGACCCTTACCAGCCACCGTATCATCTGCTGAAGTTGCCGGCGGCACATGCGCACTTTGTTGTTTACAACCAAAACTTTCTTGAAGCTAAAGCTGAAATAATGGCCAAAGGAGGAGACGGCAGCGCTCAGGACATTCATTATCCCTCAAAGAAGACAAAGTGGGAAGTATGGGCATGTTTTGGATATTTGAAGAATGCCGAGGGACAGCTGATAGAAGACGGCTATCCTGTTTGCAGCACGTGCAGAAAAAGTGTCTGTGAAAGGCAGCAACGCTTCAAATCTCATGACACATCTGCGTGACCATCACTCACAACTCTACAGTCAACGCAAGGCAAGCTAACGTTAGCACTTTAGCTAAAATGTGTGATCCGAGGATTTGGGTTGAGGGAGAATGCAACGAGTCGTTGTATAAAGCAGCCGCAGCGCCGCTACCTGCATATAAACCATGTCGCGGACACCCCCATGTTGAAATGACGCTATGCATTACGGGACTCCCAGGGGCAGATAAGAGTTGGTCTCTCTCCGAGAATAATTATGAATTTAACAATGATTACTGTCTGATGACATTTTCCCACATCTGCAAAGCTCACTGGAAGGACACAAACCGAGGACAATATTTTCCTGATATAGGGTTTATTACTCAAGTAAGGGTAAAAAAGTATCTGATTAGAAGGCTACTTGAGTACTGAGTATCATCTGATCTAACATTTTTTAAGTGATGACATCAGACATAAAATAAGAGGTTATGGGCAAATATTGTATTTTAAAGACTAAAGGGGAAAAATGTAAACAAATAAACAACATAATTACAAAATAACACATTTTAGGCAACATTTAGAGACAAACTGAGGACAATATTTTCCTGACATACAGGGTTTATTTAGTTGTCTGAAAATGTAACACGTTTAAAAAAATACCACGATAATACCGAGAACCGTGATACTTTTGGTCACAATAACCGTGAGGTTAAATTTTCACACCGTGACAACCCTAAATCCTACATATAGGTCTCATAACTCAGAATTCGCCCGTTTCTGAACTCCTAAGGAAGTCATTAACAAGACGTCCAGAAGACTTTAATAAAATTCCATCATCTGGCATCACAGTCTACACACTGAACAGACCAAAATTGCATGTGCAGAAATGACCTTGAAAAGACGTTGCTATGACGAGCCGTTGCACAGCCCACATTGCAAAGTTTAACATCTTCTGCCTTTCTGTGTTTGACCTTTCACCTGCCTCTTGTTTATGTGGATTTTGGATCAACCCTTGTTTCAACAACGTGGCAACATCCAATTTTCTACGAGAGTGTTGTGGTGTTTCTTATCATTTTGATGCAATTTTTTTTAATCAAACTTCGATGGACCAAATTATTATTCACAAAAAGGGAGGGACAACAGTAGACAGACGAACTGGAATCTGGATAATTTCAGGTGGACAAAATGGCAAATGTCAGGTTTTAAACCTAAGAGTTGCTCCATAGCTTCCATTTTTAAAACTGAATAAAACCTGAATATAAAAAAGAATAAAACTTAAATACTGATGAGGGGAATGCTTTCTCACCTTTTGGTTTAGTTTGATCTCACTGAGCTCTTTGACCTTCTGCTCCAATGCTGCGAGGTTTCCCCTGTTTCTGCACATGCTCAGTTTGAGTTTGATTTCCTGTCTGGTGTCTATGGAATCCATCGTGACTTTGTTGGAGTTTCTAATCCTCTTTTCATCAGCTATAAAAACTTGATGAAGCTGCCGAATCTCATCCATAGCCTCTGCATCAGATTCTATTACGAAAAAAAAGTTGATAATTAAATATAAAGTTGATCAAGGATCAGAAAGTTTCTTTTTGTATTTGTTTGCTTTTACATATAATTTTAAAGCACATGATATAAATGCGTAAACGTTAGAGCAGTATTAAAATCAGATCTAAACCCGCTACCTTTCAATCGCTGCTTTTCCTTTTTGTTTGGCTCTTGGAGGAGCTTATCCTTCAGCTTTGTTAGAAGCTTGTTAAACTCCAAGTGCAAAAAACCAATCTCAGCATGTAGGAGTGGAGACGGGTCAATCAGAATCGGTGTCAAGTCAACAGCATCTTTCAGCTTCCTGTAGCAAAAAGTGTGTTTAAAATCTGACAAACTGAGAAAAAATAACAGAAGAGGAAGACAGAAAACCTCCCGATTTTCAGAAACACACAACTTACCTGATCTGCAAGTAAAGTTTCTCCATATTTTCCACCTTCGACAGCGAGAGACATGTCAGGTTGGCGAGAGCGTCCAACTTGGGGTACATTGCAAGCATTTGTTGCCAGTAATGACTGCCTGGGGGATGTTGGTTGTTGCCATGGTGAGAAATAAATGTCTTCACTCTCTGGGCAGCTTTTTGGGCATTGGTGACATTTTGGATCCACAGAGATGTGCATGGATGACACTTTTTGCAGGATGGAAACTCGGACTCGTAACCTGGAGCACACTCGTCACAGGAGATTCCGGCAACACCTGCTCGACAAAGACACTCACCAGTTTCAGGGTTGCATGGTGGATGCTCGCTTCCTTCCAGGTTACAGTCACAGGCTAAGAAAAGTAAAATGAAATTTTGACAAGGAAGATCTGTGTGTCAGAAAATCTTTAGAGAAAATGTTAACATTTTCCACTCACACAAACACTGCAGGTCTGGATTCCCAAAGTAACTATCTCCACATTTATCACACTGTCTTCCTCCAAACCCTGGATGACAGGGACACTGTCCTGTCACCTGAAAGTGGGGCCAGTTCATAAAAAAGGATGTAAATGATTAGTGACTATATAGATAAAAATACAGTGTCTTGCTAAATGATTCATAACCCCTTGAACTTTTTTACACAATATGACACCATACAACCACAAACTTTTGTATTTATTTAAATAATTTAATTGTTTTACTGAGATTCACTTTGATAGACCAACACAAAGACGTAGATCTGTCAGGATTTTCTAATCCTAGAGTTTCGCCGTCTGTTTTCTATCAGTATCGAATGCAGGAGATAGGTGTAGGAGACTATTTTCATGTTCAGCCTGAATGAAACACTCAAGAGTGACTGAACATTTAAAAAAATAATGATTAAAAAGGTTTTCTCAGCAAAGGACCTCTTTTATAAATATAACCAAAAGTGAAAGAAAGTTAATCATATATGCAGCCATCTACAAATTAATTTGTATTAGAAGTCACAAGGTTATCCAGATGTTGCTGATGGGTGTGATGCATCCTCTGTGTCACTAATTGAGCTGCACCATGTCCAACCGTTGGCGTAGCCTCTGTCTTTAGCATGTTCACATTGATGTTTGTAAAGAATTTTATGATCTGTCTAGTTCCTGGTTGCAAGGTAGCATAACGGTTTGGATGTTGTGTTCTGGAGTGAACTTGGAGCTCTTACCTTATCGCAGATGTTGGAGATAGAGTTTGCAGGATCACATCTACAGGCCTGACATTCCAACGCTCCACTTAGATCCCAGGATCCATCCTCACATTCATCACAGAGAACTCCCACTACCCTGGTCCTGCAGGGACATTGTCCCGTTGTTGGATCACAGAAACAGGGGCGCCCCTGATGACAATGACCCACCTCAGTCCCCCGCCTGTCACAGGAGCATTCTAGGAAATACACAATATAAAGACATGCACAATAGTCTCTTTCATAAAACAATGCCACCAATTGCTGGTGAAAGTTTTCAGTCATCCAGGTCACGGTAATCCTATGCCGCTTTCACACCTGGGCCGGCCCAGTCCAGGCTGGGTGGCATCGGTCCGGGTCCTGCACCCACACACACACACACACACTTCTTAGGAATGCAGAAATCTTGGCTGGCTTGGGGGTGGGAGGCTGCGGGCGGGCCTGTGGGCTTCCCGCTGTTATCTCCCGGGACTCTGCCGGCTGCTAGTTGTGACCCCCCGGGGCAATCCTCTGTGCCTCTCGAGGGGGGTCTGGAGCTTTTCTGGTTACAGTCTCCCTGGGGTCCCTGCGCTCTGGGGCAGCTCCTGGATCTCTGGGACTTGGAGCTCCCTCCATCTCCTACACATCTCTGGGGGCAGATCTGAGCCACTTACACTCTCTGTTGGACGCTCCTATAGAGAAAAATTACATATACACGCGCAAGTACACACACACAGGTGCTCACATGGTGCTCTCATACGTATGGACTTGGGCATTTTCAGCACGTCTTAAGGCTGTGGTTGGCACTAAATGCACTGTGAGTTATAATCATGTGATTGTTCAGTAAAACAATGTTGATTTTATATTTCTTCATCAGGTTGACGCAGTGATAGTTTGCTCTGGTTGTATTGTTGTGTGTTGTATTTCTCTTTCTGCAGGTCTAGAAGCAGACTCTTGTTCATCATTGATTGTTTATTTTTGTCGAAGGATCACAAAGTGCTTCACAGAGACCAACAAAACAAAACATAGTCATAAAGTCAAAATGCTTTTCAAAAACAAAACAGCAAATATCAACGAATCACTTAAAATCAGAAAAAAGTCATGAAATTAAAAAATGATCACAAATATAAGACAAATGAAAGATGATTATAAATTTGAGTAAAAAAGAAGAAAACTAAAGATTTAGATAAACACAGCTTTAAATAAATAGGTCTTCAGCTGACGCGTGCAGAAATCTGTGGTGTCTCCCTGAAGTTAAGGCGACCTTGAGCTGTGTTGCTTTTGGAGACTCTGATATCGCTTCCAGACTGCTGCATCTGTCCTCGTGCTGGGAAGTTCATGCCTCGGCATTGCTGTCAGTGAGTGTGTGTGTGTGTGTGCTCCTCACAGCACGTCTCAGTGAGAGAGACAGACGGCTTCAGTCAGAGATGTTTACTCAGTATCCAGACTGATAATGAACTGCACATGTGGGAAGTCCTTCTGGCTTCTACCCACCAATTGGAGGCTTCCCCTAATGGTGGGTGGAAATTTGAGCCAGCATCTGGTAAATGGCCTGTATTTGATATAGCGCCTTCTAGAGTCCTAGAACCCCCCAAGGCGCTTTACAACACAATCAGTCATTCACCCATTCACACACACATTCACACACTGGTGGGGATGAGCTACAATGTAGCCACAGCTGCCCTGGGGCGCACTGACAGAGGCGAGGCTGCCGAGCACTGGCGCCACCAGTCCCTCCGACCACCACCAGCAGGCAACGTGGGTTAAGTGTCTTGCCCAAGGACACAACAACAGCGACAGACTGAGCGGGACTCGAACCAGCAAACTTCCGATTACGGGGCGAGCACTTAACTCCTGTGCCACCGTCGCCAATCTGTCAATCTGGGGTTGTGTTGGGTCAGTTCAGCCTGAGCAGACTTCCTTGGGAAGAGGGCAAAAAAAAAAAACTGGTTGAGCATGGGCTACCCAGATGTGAACACTTGCCATACATGGGCGGGACCAGGCTGGCCCTGACGTGAAAGCGACTTCAAAGAGTTCATTTGAAGGCAACTGGACTTCTTTGGTTTCTTGAAAGTCATTTCCCTTCTCGTCCGAGTAGCTTGTCGATTCTGACTGGAACATGGGAGGGTCAAGCTTTGAAACTGTAGCCGTTTCCTGTTGCTTAACGAGCAGAAATTGCTTATGAACACCCCTTCCAAACTACCTCCTGAGGAGTTGTTGTAATTGAGGCATATTGTGTGGGAATGGTTGCTTCAATTAGATACAGGAGGGGGTCATTTAGACTGAAACCATTTTGATATTAGGTTCAGAGTGCAACATCCACAAAGGGTCAGTTTTGACCTATATGTTGACCTACATAGTGACCAGTCACCTACAGACATAACTCCACTATCTAGGTGGATTTGTTACTCTGTCTTCTAACACCCAGAAGATTCTGCAGTGCTTGTTGACAGTCCATGAAGACAAGATTGTCAAACTTATCTCAGACTGCAGGATTCCACACTGAATGAAAAGTGAACTTTTACAACTCATAAGTTAAATAATCATAAATCATCATCATGGTTGAATGAACCAGGTGTTATATGAAATGTTGGAATAATTTGTGCCTAATTCAGTGAAGTTGAAATGAATATTGTCTTACAATGATCCATTTATAAACTGTGATCAGTACTATTTGATTTAACAAGGTAATTATATCTACACTCATACACAATGTTCATTAGATGCAAATTCAGGTTAAGGCCATCTCACAAAGTTTAAAGATTCTTTATCCACAGAGCTAGAACATCTTGTATCTGGAAGGTGTGGTTTTCTGAGGGATGTTTGGTAAAAGCCTACAACATGTCAAATTCTGATTTGCAGAAATGATAAACCTAGATTATTAAAACTAGAGTGACTGCCCGAGTTACTCAGTTTCCAGCTGACACTCCGAAGTGGCCAATTCGGAACCAGCATCTTTTGAAACATCTCTTTGACATCCAGTCAAAACCTGTTAGCATACAACTCCTACAGAGTTCATCCGTCTTGGACGCAACAAACCTTCCTGCCTGTTGTGACCTGGAGACAACTAGAGACCGGTCTGGTCGTACTGTGGTTATTCTACGGACTTTGGTGCCGTGAGGTCCACACGACTTCCTGACATTCCGGTTCTGAACGGGGGTCTCCATCAGGGTTCGTAGACACAACAGATTGCGTCTGATGTTGTTTTATTAATAATCAACTCTCTAGATTATGGATGGATGGATAAATAACAGATTTACATGTAAGACGTTTAAATAGAGTGCTGTGCTGTTTGAATGTATAAACTGAACGCCAGGAGAAATCACTAGTCTGATTTTTTTCTGTGAATAAAATAAATATGTCAGCCAGGAGCGTCTCAGGATCTGTCTGAGATCTGTCTCGGTGAGACAGATAATAGCAATCCAAAGTGCTTTTTATGTGTGATCTGACAATTGATCAACCATTGCTTAAAAATTAAATACAGCTTAGCCGGTTAATTGCTGTGATCATAAAACACGTAAACGGCAGCACGCAGAACTCATGAGGCAACGTTTTACGTGACGTTTACTTGTTGTTATGAATAATAAGACAGAAAAAGCCACGCCAAAATAAGTTTAGGAAGCCCACTAAGAATCGTAATAAAAGCATTTAAAATTAAAACCATTTGCAGTTGAGGAAACGTTGGTTTAAGTACCTGATATGAAGCGGTCGCTGCATAATGAAAACCTTTACTCTTGGGATCCCACAGTTTCATTTTAGCCCGGTCACTAGCACGTTTTATTGTGATGATCCATCATTTGCGGGGTTCCGGATCTTGGGAATCCTGTATCTTGTCCGCATCTGTTCTGCATCCTGGGGCACAACAGGAATCTACCATATTTCCCATTTTATTGAGTTTTCTGACAATAACAATTAGCCCAGCTGCGGGCTTCTGCCTGCCACGATGGCGCCGTTTCGATTTGAACTGTTGCATGCCGGGAGAAGTGACGTCAGCTCCCGGAGCTCTATACTAAATCATCACCTGATGGGATTGCTTCTGTCTCAATATCATCCTTTTTCCTCATATATTCTTTTAATTTACCATCTAACCATGGTGATACAACATTCCTCACTGTCATTTTTCTTAATGGTGCATGTCTATCTACAATTGGCATCAAGTTTGTAAAACTCTCCAATGCTTTATCCATATCTTTGATCTTTAGTACCTGTGCCCAATCAAAATTTCTGATATCCTCACAAAAACTAAATTCATTAGAATCCCTAAAAATACATTTAGTAATTATTTTCTGTCCAGATTTAGGGCCTTAGTTCTTCTGTTAATCATAATTAAATTATGATGTGTAGCCTCCAGAAATGGTCAGTTTTTCATCTACAGTGTGACCTCTTTAGTATCTGGTCATTTGGAGACATAAGTCCTAACTGGTGCCTTTAATCTTCAAGAAAGATACTGTTGTTTGCCCAGGGTCCCTCGCAAGCTCCCTCTTATCTAAGACTGCTTTGCTTCACAGGCCAAGAAGAATGAACTTTCATAATTAAATCATATAATGAAATGAACAATATGGTTAAAAGAAATGTTTTGATTAATCTGTGCTTAAATTACTGAAGTTGAAATGAATATTATTATTACATTGAAAGATTAATAAGTATGAAATTAAATATATGACCCATATATTTAATCAGCTACGTGACTGGACAAGACACACTCACCACATCTCCATGACGCAAGTTAAAGTTAACGTCACTGCACATAGATGTTTTCTTATCCACAAAATCAGCAGTTCCGTATCTGAGGGAGGTGTGTATCTGAGGTTGTTGGCAAAACCCCTTTTCATGGCAAGTTTTGATTTGTCAGTAAACCAAAATATGGCCATTATTTAAACAGCATCACTTCCTGAGTGAAGCCTCTGCTCCCATCGCATCTTTTGAAAAGCTGTCAAAACCTGTTGCATGCAACAGCTGACTGCAAACGGTTCCTTCAGAATAAAGCTGAACCAGCTCCGACTCCTTAAGAGTCCTTCCATAGACGCAAAACAAGTCCACCTGTTTGTCGTGACCAGGAGACGACTCTGGACTGACATGGTCGTACTGCGGTTTCTCTACTGACTTCGGTACAGTGGGGTTCACGGACTCCCCGACATCACGGATCCAAAAGAGATTCTCCGATAAGGGTAAAAAAGAACGAAAGCATGGATTTACAAAGACACAGCAAGAACACACCTAAGGGTATGTAGACGCGACAGATTGCGTCTGATGTGGTTTAATAAACCATCAACTACAGTTTATAGCAGACCAAATTCACTCCCACTCAGAACTCAGTTTCATCAGATACGAGGGTTCTGATAACATCACATTCACACATCATCACACCTCACATTCCATCCACTTAGATTCATCACATAAAGTGTTTCCTAGTTGTCATATTTTTAATTGTTTAGAAAATAAATTTGTTACTTTTTATAAACTTGACTGTCTGAATTAATACGAAGTGTCTTACGATCCCTGAATAAACAAAGAACTCTAATTCTTCTGGTTAAACTTTCAAAAATCAATCGGACTGGACTTCCATATTCATATAGAAATTCACATCTTATTAGTCAAATGTGGTGTAGTATATTGAGCTTAAAAAAACACCCAAAATAAATACGTATGCTAACTCTACAGATGACTACAGCCCACACACACTGGCATAGCCTTAGAGCACTGTGATTTTGCATTAGTGAAAAGTAAGTCTGTACATGAAACACTTTTAATCCCAACCACACTTACAATTCTTGTTGGTTTTGTTATCACTTGTACCAAATTACATGTGTCATTATTAGAACAAAACTTATTTTTTAAAGAACTTTTTTTTTCAAACGCCAATCAATGTTGAGGTCACCCAATACATAAATCTCATTATTTGAGTCACATACTTTTTCCAGCATACTACAGATCCTTTCTAAGCATACTATTGGGGCATTTGGCGGCCTATAGCAAGCACCTAACAACATTGATTTAATGTGTGGCAATTGCACCTCCAACCACAAGGCTTCCACCCCTATGCAGCCAAATTCAAATCTAATTTTAACAGGTATTTAACATAAAAGGCCACCCCTCCCCCATATATATTCCTTGAGGGCGTGATTTGACTAAAAAGCAGCTGAGAACCTTTTTGTTAGTCTCTGATTTATAAAGCGGAGATTGCATGCAGCTGTGCGTTTTTTTAGGCCACAAACCCACTTGGCATATGTACATTTCTTTTGCTGAGCTGTACAGTTTTAGTAAGGATTCTACGCAATGTTTATAAATGAGACTCCTGGACTGTCCTCACTACACTGGACTGCATAAACGACACCACTGAGCTTCTGTTTGGGTGTTTTGTCTTTAGGATGGACCAGTTTGTGTCTGAGGGTGTTGTTGGGTTAAAGTTTACTGGGATGTTGTGTTTGGAGAAGATTCTTCTAAGTTTGTCTGAGACTCTTGCCACGTATGGGATGACGGTGCCTTTGTGCCTGTTGTCCTTTTCTTTGCTGGTTGCTGCTTTGGACGATTTTCCAGACTTCTTCGTAGATTTCACAAAGGCCCAGTTAGGGTATCTGCAGTTCTGGAGAGCTTTCTTCATGTGTTTCTAACCCTAACCCTTTCTTCAGTCTTTGTGGGAATGTTCTCGGCCCGATGGTGTAAAGTCCGGATGACTGACATGTTGTGTTCCAGTGAGTGATGTGAGTGGAAATGCAGATACTGGTCTGTGTGAGTTGGTTTCCTGTAGACTTCAATGCTGAGACTTCCATCTTGTTCAGTTTGCACAGCACAGTCCAAGAAGGGCAGTTGGTGGTTGTGGACATCTTCCCTGGTGAACTTGATGTTCTTGTCCACGGCATTAATGTGCTTGGTAAAGTCTTCTACTTCCTTTGTGGGAATTTTGACCCATGTGTGGCCCACATATCTGAACCAGTGGCTCGGTGTTGTTCCATTGTAGGAGTCCAATGCTCTGGTTCCCACTTCCTCCATGTAAATGTTGGTGACTAAAAGTAATACTAGGGAACCTGTGGTGCATCCATGTTTTTGTCGGTAAATCTGGTTGTGTTTGAAAGGCAGAGGTCCAGGAGGGTACAAATCTGGGCCCTCATTCATCAAAATATTCCTGGATTTGTTCCTATGAACAAAATCTGGAATGTTTGTAAGAACAGTAAAAGTCCTGATCTATGAAACTTGCGGTGGCCTCTCGTACTCACGTTCCTTCGCACTCGTCTGATGATAAATCCCACTTGTGCTACCCAGGTGCTCGTGTCCGTTCTCAGTCATTTACACACAGAAACGCCCTCAATTGCCCATATTTGGTCACGTTACATCCTCACCTCGTGAAGGGATTCCTACGTTCTACCCAGAGAAAAGAAAGAACGTTGTGAGATGGAGACCCTTTCCGCTGAAGTGCAAAAGAACCAAACACGTTAGGTTATGAGGTCGGGAACAAGGAGAGGTTCCCTCAGGGATAAATAAACACTTTAGGCTGATAAACCGTAGAGTAACGGGTTCTCATTTACATTTAAGGAGTCGTTCTGGATGGACTTAGTTTTATTAGGAAGTGTCTGAGTGCAGCCTCTCAGCTGTCATTCAGTCTGGTTACCATGGCAACGCCTGTGTGATGGGGAGCGGAGGAGGTTCTCGTATAAGCTAGAACATGGACTGGAATCGGATCTGTGCGGTTTATCTGTCGCTCCACAAAGGATCCCAAATCCCAGCATCGCTCCAGACAGATCTGCTGTCCGCTCTCACGGAGACGCGTTTCCTCTGACAGATCCTTCATAATAATATAGAAACGTTCTTTTATCGAAGGCGTCTGAAGCAGCATCACCAGGAGTTTCACAAAAACACAAATATAATAAAATTAAATAAAACTTAATTAATACTAATTATTAAAACAAATAAAACATCATAAAAGCAGGAAGAGTAACAAAAACACCACATCCGTTCTACAACGTCAGATCCCCGTTGGGCATTTCTGCACCAGTCATGTGACTCAGCACCAGTCATGTGACTCAGCTGTTTTTCACTGAAATATAAAATGATGAGTGGATGAGGAACACGTGTGGATGGCTGAGACCTTCGGTGGTGAGGTTCCCCGTTCTACCGGTCGAGTCAGTTTTGTCCTCTCGTTTAAGGAATCATTTTGTTCCAGCCTTTCCTAACTGCTTCCACTGCTTAAACTGTGGGTATACAGGTGAAGAGTAAAGTGACATCGAAAGAGACAATGGTGTCACCTGCAGCCTGTTTGAGATCTTCAACTTTCTTTGCAAAATCTCCTGAATTCTGTATGTGATGTTGGGTCTTTCCAACCAACAGGTCCGAGCGGTTTTCCTTCCGTGTGTTGGTCTTCCAAAAATACACAAGGAAGGAACACCACCCAGACCTATCATCAGCAGCATCAACTCAGTCAGACACAACATTGTAAAACATCTCTCCACCATCCTGGCCCTGCTTAGTAATTCAGGTTTCAAACTGCTTTTTGGTGCATCTATGGTAGTGTGTGGCCTACTTTACCTTTACAGTCTGACTGCAAGGCGTTGCCATAGTAACCAAGTATGCAGTGTTGGCACTGCGGCCCCCTTGTGTTGTGAAGGCAGTGCAGACATTTTCCAGTCAAACTGTCACAGGCGTCTCGATCATCTGGGTCAATGTTGTTGTTGCATGGGCATGGCTGACAGTGGGCACCGGGTAACGTCAGATTGCCATAGAAACCAGGGCTGCACTGGTCACAGTGTGCACCTGTAAGGGGTTAAACAGTTAAATTCTTTTACACTTCACACACCATAAAGAAAATAACTGCTGTGAAATTTCTGTCTGCTTATAAGTTGGAAAAAAGATTTCTTACTGGAACCTAAACCTCAAATTGAGCTTGAGCTCTGTGCCCTAGTGGTAGAGTGTCCGCCCTGAGCCTGGGAGATCGGGGTTCGATTCCTGGTTGGGTCATACCAAAGACTTTGAAAAAATGGGACCCAATAGACCCTTTTACTGTTTGTAAACAATATGAAGTCAGCGAGAATGCGCACGCAGCTTGGCAACAGAGAATGGCGTTGTTTCAGGCTTTATCAAGCTACGCTGCGGGGTTATCACCGGCAAATCTTGAATGTTATATTATTAAACTCACTTTAACGAATGGCAACAGACTCCCGGATCCCTGTGGCATTACGGAATGAGTGGAAGATGTAGGTGCGTTGCCAGATGTCCAGTGGCCCGATATATATATATATAAGTTTTTAGTGGAGAGGCCCAGTAAGTACACACGTGAGAAGCTACGGGCATACAAATCGTTAGATGCATACAACTATGTTGTCTGTGGCCACGTACCGAAAGTAAAATATCACGACATAGACTCCGAGTTTTGCGTCTTGAAGGCAGAAGTCCTTCCTAGCCAAAGTCAAGGACACAAGACTGCTATGTACGAGGCTTGGGTCATAGTAAACAAACCAGAGAACTACGTCTTCACAGCCAACTGTGCCTGCATGGCAGGGTGAGTATAGCATAGGTTTCTTTTTTTAGCGTGCTCAGAGTACAATCGTGTTAATTTTAGAGGAATACAGTTTATACTAATATGCAGTGGGAAAATACAGATGAATTAGAATGAAATGTTAATTTGAAGCATGAAATAAAGCGTATAAATTTATATGTAATCTTAGTACATAATTACCTTACCTGATATAAAATGGGCGCTACAAACTCGAGCATTTCGGATCGTGTTTTCAGTCCAGTTTTCATCAACCCTTTTGATGGCCTGCAGCCACAGACGCCTCCGATTTTGTTGAAATGGATGTGCTCCCTTCGGAATTCTGTAAAGTTTCAGTCCACTGCTTGAAGAGAAGCGATTCTGGCATCCATACACGCAACAACCCGACATTTTTATGTGCTCAGAACTTCAAAACAAAGGGTTTAAAACGCTGTTTTAGTATCGAGTGTGAATGAGAAAGCCTTCACTCTCGTTGCCAGGCTGCGCGCGCAACTTTTGATGACGTAGGTAGTAAAAGGGTCTATGCCTCCCTGCTTGACACTCAGCATTAAGGGGTTGGATTGGGGGGTTAAGCCACCAAATGATTCCCGAGTGCGGCCGTGTCTGCAGCTCACCGCTCCCCCAGGGGATGGGTCAAATGCGGAGAACAAATTTCACACACACACATCAGTGTGTGTGACAACTAATAGGACTTTCTTTTTAACTGTACATATCAGGTGATTCAGACGCCCCCTACCTGTGTGGCCCTCCCAGCAGAAACACATCACACTGGAAGACTTTAGATCCTGTTGACACGAAGTAGCAAAGAATCGTCCACTGCTAAGAGAGTCTGGACACATACAGGGCTGACAGGATTGTCCGGAGACTGGATTCCCATAGTAACCCACCTCACACCTACAGGAGCAACACAGGTGGATCTTCAAAACCTGGAGCCTGAATTATAAATCTGCTTACGCACACTTAAATTTGAGTAAGGCATTTCCTACTCAAACTATGTGAAAAAGACTTTACCAGAAAATGTGGCAACTTTAAGCAAACTCTGACCCTAGTATAACACCCCGCAGGGTTACGGTCAGAAACAGTTTTTTTTTCCTAACCTGTTGCAGCTCGGTCCAGCAGCGTGCTCTCTGCAGTTCACACACTCTCCTGTCAGTTCTTCACACACCTCTGACAGTCCGTTACAGTCACACAGTCGACACAGTGGAAATCCCCAGAGTCCACTTTGACACTGATCACAGCGTCTGCCTTTTATCTGTGAGCGACATGCACACTGACCTCTGACCTGATCACACATCTCTGACACTGAGCCTCGAGGATCGCACTCACATCCTGCAACAAGAAGAAAACCTCTTTTTCATTATTACAACTTTTTGTTTTTGTATTTTAGATGGACACATCATTCTTACGTGTACAGCCTTCAGGTCCAAATCCAAAAGTCAGCGGTGCACAGGTGTCACAGCAACGGCCAATCACGTTGGGTTTGCATTCACAGAACCCCCCCAGCTTACTGCAAGCTGGTCTGAGAGAGCCAATGACATTACACCTGCAAGCTGACAGCCAGACAAACAGGTAACATAACAAACAGATGTACTTGTGTGGGTCACATTTCATCTCCTGCCCAAGTCCCAGCCCTTAAATTGCTCTTCAGGGTCTGTCACTTCCTCCAGGTGCAGCCCCTCAGCACCAAGGAATGAATGGGCCATTTGTCATACCCGGCATAGGCGAGCACCCTGGGGGGGACAGAGGGGACATGTCCACCTCTGACATAAATATGCCCCCCCCCCCAAAAAGTCCATAAAACACAAAAGGTTTTTTGTTTTAACAATATATTCACTTTTGTTGAACACACAATACAAGTTGTGCTACTTAAAACACACCGTCTTTGGTGTGTTCTTGCTGTGTTGAGTTTCAAATTCCATCTTTCTGTTCTTTTTAAAACACAGAAAAGGTTTATTTACCTGCAACGTTTCGTTTGCGGCTGTATATAGTATAGTATAGTGTATATATATATATATATATATATATATATATATATATATATATATATATATATATACATAAACAGACAAAAACAGGACACAAAAGCAAAGAGTGTTGGTAAAAAAATAAGCTAAAATAAGTAAAATACAACTGGATAAAATGTTGCTAAATTGTTTAAAAATATAGATAACTCATGTGCTGAGGGGACACCACTGTATAAAATTGGGTCTTCATCCGAGTCTTAAAACCTGGCAGTGAGGGTTGTCTGACCATGAGTGACAGGTCATTCCACAGCTTGTGGGCCAAAACTGAGAAAGCCCTATCTCCTCTAGCTGAATGCTTCTCTGAAAAACAATCACCATTTCAAATGTCTTACTGGTGTTCAAGCGAAGGTGGTTACACTTAGCCTGGCAAGACTAAATAAATGTATTATTTAGTCTGGCCACGCTCCATTGACGGCTCTCGGTTGTGGGGTGGGTTCTACCGTTGTCTTTCAAATGATCTCCGCATGCTACTGGACAATGAATGTCCAATCCAATCCAATCCAATTTTATTTATAAAGCGCATTCACAAGGCATTACAACCAAACAAGGCGCTGTACACTAGAAATGTTGGTGAAATCAGAGTAAATATCATGCACCCCCCTTCACTTGATTTGGTGAATCTGAGCTCTGATTACAGTAATCTTATTTAAGAAAAACTGCAGGATTTGGCTACGCAAGTCATTGGACACAGAGTAAAATAGTTTTTGAACTGGGGAAAGCACTGCATTTATGGTTTTATATAACACACCTTGATTATTTGAATTAGCCGTGACAATGCTAGCAAAGAATCGATTTCTCGCGCCTCTGACTGCTCTTTGGTACTGAGACCAAGCCTCTCACATGGCCTCAAAGGATACGGTAAGCCTGTCTTTTATCCATTTACGTTCCAGTCTCCTGCAATTTTGCCTCAAGGAACGAGTTTGTTCGTTCAGCCATGGGTCGGGCTTGGATTTCTTTTGACGTGATTTTAATGGAGCGACAATATCCATAGCAGCCAGGCAGGATGAATCAAGCACACGAAGTGATCCCTCAACTACAGAAGATGAATCAGTAGAATCATATGGAGCTGAATCCAGAGTAAGAACAGCGGCAAAATCTGCAGCAGTATTGGGTCTGATTATGCGAGAGAAGCTGGGACGGAAATATTCAATACGAGGGGCATTTTCTAATTTCAAATTAAACAAAACTGGTGAGTGATCTGAAAAAGTCGCAGGTAAAATGCCAAGATCACAAATTTCCAGCTCATGACAGAAAACCAGGTCAAGTGTGTGTTCATGTCCATGTGTGGGCGCATTAACACGTTGGGACAAGCTGAAAGAGTCAATAATATCTAGGAAAACCCTTACCAAAGGTTTGTCAAGGCAGCAGATGTGAATATTAAAATCACCAAGCAAGAGTATTTTTCCGTATCTACAGGAGATTTCAGCCAGAAAAGTTGCAAATTCGTTTAGAAAATCCTTATTGTATTGCGGTGGACGGTAAATGAGAGCACATAACAATGTAGGGGGGCGACCCAATTCAAATACGCTCAATTCAAAGGACAATGGAGTTGATTGAGGGGTAATCGGTGTGCAGATAAGATCTGATTTAAATATAGTCAAAAGACCTCCGCCCCTGCGGTGTGCTCTTGGAATGTTAATGAAGGAGCATCCATGAGGTAGCAGTTCAGCTATTGAGGCTGAATCCCCAGGGGTGATCCATGATTCAATGTGACATACTCTTGTTTCACTCTGTTGCATCATCCCACCCACCAGGCATATAGAGTGCCCTGATTGGCCCACAAAGCGGATAAAGCTCTGTGATTTGTTCACCAAGCACATAGAGAACTATGATTGGCCGACCATTATGGACCAATCACAGCTCTTTATGTGTTTGAAACCCCTCTAGAGAGCTGTGATTGGCTAGCCAGAGTCCTGGTAGGAGCTGCAGAGGTTCCAGTGGAGCGTGCCTAGACCACACTTTGCAAAGCAAGAATTTGGTCTAGTTCACTAGGCTAGGTTACACTCACACCAGCCCACAAAGTCCATGATGACTCAGTCGGGTCTATGTCAGGGTTGATCACCCTTGGATCTCGGGTCGCTGAGTTCTGCCATGGGTTGGGCAGCTGCGTTCGAACCTGGGATCTTGCATTTATTATCTCCAGGGCCTCTGGCATGGCAGCTGGTTGACTCCTCCGGGTGGTCCTCTGTGCCTCTCAACATGGGGGTTGGGGCTGCTCCAGTGACAGTCTCCCTGGTGTGTCCAAGCTCTGGGGGAAACCTCTGGATAGCTGGAGCTTGGAGCTCCTCCGTCTTTGGGAACAGGCCGGTGACTCCTTACACTCACTATTAGACACTCCGATAGAGAATCCTTACTTCCCAAAGCGTGTGTCTGCACACAGGTGCTCACATGGTGCTCTCACAGTTATGGACTCTGGCGTTTTTTGACACATAACCTAATGTTGTGGTTGGCACTAACTGCAGTATGAATTGTTACCGTGTGTTTTTCAGCAAAAATTGTTACTGTTATATATCCTTAATGTTGTTGCCGCACTGATATTTTGGTTCTGTTGTATATTTTTGAGTGCCATCTTTTTTTCTCTCTGCCTTTTTCTTTCTGCAGGTCTAGAAGCGGATTCTTGTACATCCTTTGTTTATGTTGTATACTTTACTTCCCCCACATCTTCCTTTCCTCTGTCCCATTTCTCATTCATTTCCATCTCCGTGTCTGTTGGGATTTAAAACAACCGAACACACATCTAATAAAGTTTTGATATCAGGCAGGACGTTACAGCTCAATCTATAATGCTCCACTTGTGAGAGTAAAACTGTAAGACTTGTCTTCCGCACTCAGACATCAATACTGATTGCTTTACAGCCTGACAGGACACAGAAAAAAAAAATTATGTTCTAGATTTGTTTTTTTCTGCAATCTTCCTTTTATTGGCTGTAATGTAGGCAGAGTCACTTAAAAACAAGTGACTTTTTGAAAATAAATAAATGTATTTCTGTACTTTTTCAGGCTTCCTTGTTAGTTTTTGTTTTATCTATTAGAAATGTTTGTTTCATTTTTATTATCTTATCAAGTCATTGTTAAAATTTTATTATGCTTGTGGAACACCTCGTGATTTTTATCTTGAAAGACATTATATAAAATAATTATTCCTTCTTGTTCTTCTCAGTTAGAACTTGAGCCAGACTACTTACCAATGGCTCCATGGTGGATCCGTGCTGAGAGGCTCTTGATTAGCTGCTCACAGACTTTAGGGAGGGCATCCTGAGAACCAGGTCTGGCAGCAAGTCCAATGCAGTCAAAACGATGGTAAGAGTCAAGGACTCTTTGAGAGCAGAAATCTTGAACTGAATCAATCCTTGGGATGAGCCCCATCTGAAAAATGAAACAGGAATGAACTTGTCTGCCGAAGCATCTCAAACGCGTATCCAGTGAAGGGAATAATGGCATGGAGTTAGTATTTTCAGTAAACTGTAATGAAATTCATTACTGTCTTTTATCTTTGTAATTCATATTCAGTTTATACATATATGCACACGTAGATATATTTATATATATGTTTTGTAACATTTTGTAAGTGGTCACAATGAATAAATTGTCAATAAGACATAAAAGGTATTTAACAATATATAACATTCCATAAAAATATGAACCATCAATATTATTGAACCTTTAATATCCGATTGACTCGGGGAAATAGAGGTCATTTTGGTCTGCCAGGGAACCATATTTTCTATACCATAGAAAAGCACTACGCCCTCTGTTGTCTTGGCGGGGAATTGCTTTGCTACGCTCCTACAGTGACAGAGAAGTCTGAGAGCAAAACGTCTCTGTCAATGCATGTACGTCTCTCCCTTGTGGAGCTGACAGTGGAGTATGAATCAGGCTTAAGGGGTGGCATTCCCTAGATAGGGAGCAGCAGCACAGAAAGCTCTGTCCTCCATGGTGCTCAATCTGGTTCTGGGTCTAGGGACCAAATGTGAGTGAGTGGAGCCGAGGGAGTGTTTTAGAGGTTAGTGGGGTGAGAAGTTCTTTGAGATAAGGATGATAATTTCCTTGCAAGCATTGATGAGTTAGGAGAAACTTGCTGTAACACTAGCTGTAACTCAAGTTGTCTTATTCAGTGGCGGCTCGTCCATAGGGGGCGCTAGGGTGCCGCCTCACCAGTCTCACAGGAAGAAGAAGAAAACAGGAATAACAAAATATAAAAAACAACAACATGAAAATTAAACTAAATGATCTCTACATCATACAGACAGAGGCGGAGCTGGCCTAAATGGCGCCCTGTGCGAGATCCCCCGTGACGCCCCCCCCCCCCCCCACACACACACACACACAAACACACACACACAAGAAAAAAAATTACACCTACAACTTTGTTTCAAATGGCGTGGAGTGTATTATAAATAACAACGTTTGCTAACTGAATACAACATCCAGCTCCTGGCCACCTTCTCACCACTTGTCAAAGTTCTACTGAAAAAGTGATGATGACAACATCTGCCATCGCCTTCATTCCTGGGAAATATGAAAGTAGTTGGCACCTTAGTAGGTCCTCTTCGAACTAGCTCTGTGCGTATGCTGTCTGTAATTGGTGATGGCCACTTGGCTGGGTCTGAAGAAAGAGGCTCATCATCACCTTCAATGGGACTCACTGGTTGATCGTTCAGGCTTCTCTATTGACAGAAAACAGAAGCGTAACTCAACACATTGCTATGTGGACCATTTCACATATTCTATTAAAATACAATATGTGACATTCAAATTTCTCTAATGTTTGCAGGACACACACACACACACACACACACACACACACACACACTTGTGCAAAACTTACCTGACATATCTTGTTGGGGAGATGTGGCAGCGGGCTGTCCCTCATCAAGTTCACATATACTGGTAGGTCTCTCTATTGACAGAAAATGGAAGCATAACTCACCACATTGCTATATGGAACAATTCCCATATTCTGTGAAAATACTATTTAAATGTCTATAGCTAAATGTTTGCTGGACACACACACGTGTGCAAAACCCACCTAAAGTATCTTCCTGGGGAGATGTGGTGCCAGCAGACTGTCCCTCCTCGAGTTCAAATACTGGCCTACTGGTATGAGCAGTGGAGGTAGATGGCTGTTCCTCAGTGTCAGCTGATGTCATCCCAAAATATCTGTGTAGGGCTCCTGATGTTGCATAAAACAAACAATACAATCTTCATGTCACGTCTGTTGCTTAAGCATTTTAATTAAGATGTTACAATGAGCATTTACAGTTTTCAGCAGTGGTGGAAAGAATTCTGAAAATCTGTACTCAAGTACAAGTACTGTTACATTGCTAAAATATTACTCATTTACAAGTAAAAGTACTGGTGTTAGAGAACTACTCAAGTAAAAGTACAAATTATTCATAAAAACCTCAGAGTATTATTTATTTTTAACGGCTGATGTCACCATCACTTCTCCAGACTGGGGCTGCCTGGAAATTGTGTGTTTTCCTTTACCAAAAGTTAAAACACCAACAATCTATTAATCATTAATAATTGATAAAATACAAAACAAGTGTTTTTCCCTCATTTTTTTTTTTGTCATTTTAAGTTTTTATTTCCTTATTCAGCAAATGTCTCCGGCACACAAAGAACTAAATGACCAGAGGAGCCACAACTATTGATTAAATATCCATGAATCCATTTTAACTGGTTAAATTCTTCAACTCTCCCACGCTGCTTCAAGGTCACTGTGAGTTAACATAGCCGCGGTGTGCAGCACACAACGCAACACGATGACATCATCGACTTGTACAGTGCTGAAAGGCGAGACAGTCTGAACTTTCAGCTAAAAAAAGACCGCTCTAGCTATTATAGTTTTTATTTTATGTCAGATTACAGTATAAACGGGATCTTACTAGCAGGGCACCTCCAGCGGCCCGCTGCCGCTCCGTTTTTCGTGGGGTAAATAATACGTAGCTCATTTCCCGAGTCCAAATAGAAAGGCGAATGGCGCCGGCGCGAGACCTGCCGCCCGCCGTCAATGTATTTCAGCAAAATTCTCAAAGACTCGTTTTAATTTGATAGCGTTTTGTTATCAGCCTTTCGGTTTTCCCACTCTTAGCTTTTCATAAAAGCTCATTTGACAAAGAAAAAGCTAGCGGTTGGAAGTAGTTCTAAATACATGCAACGTAAGAAGCTAGCAAAAGACACTTGAGTAGTTCTCTAACACCAGTACTTTTACTTGTAAATGAGTAATATTTTAGCAATGTAACAGTACTTGTACTTGAGTACAGATTTTCAGAATTCTTTCCACCACTGCTGAAAACTGTTAATGCTCATTGTAACATCTTAATTAAAATGCTTAAGCAACAGACGTGACATGAAGATTGTATTGTTTGTTTTATGCAACATCAGGAGCCCTACACAGATATTTTGGGATGACATCAGCTGCCACTGAGGAACAGCCATCTACCTCCACTGCTCATACCAGTAGGCCAGTATTTGAACTCGAGGAGGGACAGTCTGCTGGCACCACATCTCCCCAGGAAGATACTTTAGGTGGGTTTTGCACACGTGTGTGTGTCCAGCAAACATTTAGCTATAGACATTTAAATAGTATTTTCACAGAATATGGGAATTGTTCCATATAGCAATGTGGTGAGTTATGCTTCCATTTTCTGTCAATAGAGAGACCTACCAGTATATGTGAACTTGATGAGGGACAGCCCGCTGCCACATCTCCCCAACAAGATATGTCAGGTAAGTTTTGCACAAGTGTGTGTGTGTGTGTGTGTGTGTGTGTGTGTGTGTGTGTGTGTGTGTGTGTGTGTGTGTCCTGCAAACATTAGAGAAATTTGAATGTCACATATTGTATTTTAATAGAATATGTGAAATGGTCCACATAGCAATGTGTTGAGTTACGCTTCTGTTTTCTGTCAATAGAGAAGCCTGAACGATCAACCAGTGAGTCCCATTGAAGGTGATGATGAGCCTCTTTCTTCAGACCCAGCCAAGTGGCCATCACCAATTACAGACAGCATACGCACAGAGCTAGTTCGAAGAGGACCTCCCAAGGTGCCAACTACTTTCATATTTCCCAGGAATGAAGGCGATGGCAGATGTTGTCATCATCACTTTTTCAGTAGAACTTTGACAAGTGGTGAGAAGGTGGCCAGGAGCTGGATGTTGTATTCAGTTAGCAAACGTTGTTATTTATAATACACTCCACGCCATTTGAAACAAAGTTGTAGGTGTAATTTTTTTTCTTGTGTGTGTGTGTGTTTGTGTGTGTGTGTGTGTGGGGGGGGGGGGTCACGGGGGATCTCGCACAGGGCGCCATTTAGGCCAGCTCCGCCTCTGATAATGAGTGATGTGGCTATTTTTAATACATTCATAACGTGAACACCTTTCTAGTCCTCCTTTTGTTTTTGACTAGAAATATGATGAAATATTTACGTTTTTGTCAAGTATTAATTAAACCCATTAGAGACTCTTGGCTCTCAGAGGGTGCAGACGCTTTTTTCCCTCCTCTCCTCCATATCTTATCCTCAAGGCCCTTTGTCTGTTTCTGTGTGCTGGGTGCACGGCTGCTTCTGCATTTTTGGGGGGGGGGAACTGGAAACTGAAATCACTAAAATGGACCGTCAGCTGGTCACTCAACGCGATTGATAAAATTTTTTCAACGATGAGAACGGGAGAAGGGACTCTGCCGGAGGTGGGAGTTGAAGACCGTCTTAACAGGCTCTGCCAGGCGTTCCCAGCAGACCATCACTATGCATTTGGGTCTGCCAGGTCTACGCGGCTTCTTCCCCTGCCATCTGATCCAACTCACCACCAGGTGGTGATCAGTTGACAGCTCCGCTCCTCTCTTCACTCGGGTGTCCAAAACATACGGCCGCAGATCAGATGATACAACTACAAAGTCTATCATCGACCTGCGACCTACGCTGCCCTGGTACCAAGTGTACCGATGGGCATCCTTATGTTCGAACATGGTGTTCGTTATGGCCAAACTGCGGCTTGCACAGTGTTTCGTTATTGGACGTTTTGTTCTGTGCTACAAAACCTAAGACCTTTGTAGTAGGGCTGCTCAATTAATCGAATTTTAATCACGATTACGATCTGAGTTTTGAACGATTATAAAAAACAAAACAAGCCGATTATTTGCTCCTCCCGCTTGCGCTGCCCTGAGTTGCAAATGAAGCGCTCCTCCCACGGTGTTGCCAGCTTAGCGACTTTGACGCTATTTCCAACAGCTTTTCAGACCCCCTTCTTGACTTTTTAAATCTTAAAAGTACCTAGCGAACACCTCAGAAACATCTCTGGTAACCCTTAGCTACTTTCTGGATAACTGTCGTCGACATTTCCTGCAGGTTAGCTAAACACTCCGCCTGTGCTCCGGACCGTTCTTCACAACATTAGGAAAGGGAATGATGTAGTGATGTGTCATTCGCTAAAGAAACAGCTCTCGGAGCCGGCTTCTTGTTGGATTAACCAGAGTGAGTGACACACACACCGCACCTGCGGACTCCTGAGCAGCTAAAAACGGCTAAATGTGCGGCGTGCTAAACACGCTTGCAGCTTGCCCCGATTGGGGTGCAGCTGTGGTTGGGACAATTATTACATTAACTGATGGACCTGTAAATAAATAGTTTATAAATAAGGAAGAAACAGATAGAAATAAGTTCCTCACACTGATAAATAATGACTAATCTCTCTGAGGACACGGTGCTAGTGCACTCTCCTACAGCACATTGACACTAAATGTTATGCAACATTTTGTGAACATCAATTTATTTGCATTTATTTGTTATAAATGCCACTGTATAATTCTTGCTGTCAGTATTTGCAAGATATTGGTATTTAGGTCTGTACTGGTTAGACTTAAATGAGTTAAACCAAGGTCTATTGCCCTTGGGTCATAAGTATATAGGTCTTTTTATACTGGGAATCAGGAGTTATTTTAGTGATCATCTTGTTTCTTATTTATTTTTGTCCTGATTGCACCCTTAGCAATTTTATGACAGAATAAAAACAAATAAAATCAACATAAATTGAAAAATCGTCCTAAATAATCGTGATCTCAATTTCAGTCACCATAATCGTGATTATTATTTTTGCCATAATCGAGCAGCCCTACTTTCTAGCACCAGTGCAATAGCTAAAATGTTTTAAGGACAGCCCTGTAACGTATCACAGTCCAACTGATCGCTTGGACACCTGAATGTTTGGTAATAGTCACTAAAATCACTCTTGACTTTAAAAAAAACAACTTTCCTTGTGTTTTTGTTTGCTTCCAGGTGCTTTACATAAAGAAACCAAACATTGCCTGCAAACACTTCATGACAAGATTCATTTTGACTCTTGTGACAGTCAATATTCATGATGCCCTCAATGAAAGAGAGTAGAAATGAAGTTTTGGATAACCAGACAAAAGATTCCTCACCGAGTCCACCAGGATGTGTAAACTGCCAACTGTTGTCTTTTTTTGAAAGAGAATTTCCACAATATACCGACCTCCTGTATTCAGACAAATCCCTGAGTCCAGAATACTTAATCTGGAAAAGAACAAACAGAAACACAAAGACAAAGAGTCAGCTGAGAAAAAATTAGCATAAGTCACTTATGAGTCGTTTTCACTAGAGGGTCGGTGTGAGAGTGAAAATAGTGGAGGGGTTACACATTTCTTATTGGACATCCCAATAATAAACTACACTAGGGGAATACCACAAAACGAGCTAACCCCAAAATCCAGGCTCTCTTTGAAAATCCTGGTTAAAATCCCCAAATTTAGCACCACAGAAGTAGGTAGTCTTAAGCCCCTCCCATTCACCAAGGTAACACATGCTGGAGAACAAGCCTGCTTCATGGCTGGTTTGCAGCTAGACTTGCTGAAGCTTGGTGAATATGATTGTACGAGGTACGTTACATCCTAATTTTCTTGTCAGCTTTTCTAGTCTTGGCAGCTACGAGGTGGTGACTTAGCGCCACCGCTGGCCCACAGCAGTAGCAGCAGCTACAGCTATGTTCTCGATGGCTAAATTATTAATAAATGTGGAGTTTAAACTTTTACACATGAGCTCTAATTGGATTTACATCTTAACATTTTTGTATTTAACCTTTGTTTGCCGCCACGAGCTTTTCAATCCACTGATGTTGCCCCTGATGTCAGCATTATTAACAATAATAATCAGGAATTTTTCCAGCTGAGGTGGTGGTTGTCGGGGGGATGACCACAGCCAAAAATGGTGAAAGGCTCTTACCAGCCCAGCCAAGGTCTTTGTATGTGCATTCATAGTCATCAATTCCTTAGAACATTCTCTCTAAATATATGCACTATTGCATCATAGAAGACTGAGCCATCTATTCTGCTTCACGGGTAATGAGAGCTACGAGGGACTGTTCCTTGGTCTTCAATTAAACTAAAGACCTGTTCTTGCTTAGGCTTATGCAATAAGCTGTTTTACAGCATCAGTCAATAGGCAAGTTTCCATTAGCAGAACTCCGGGGTAGATTCTGGGATGGGGAACTTGACCAGGAGATAGGATGCCGCAGTCCTCTCAGCTATTGTGTCTCAAATCCAACCCTTTCAGAACGTGCAGACGTCAGCGTATCTCGACTGCTTTCGCATTGAGTGACGTCACTGATCAGCACCAACAAGCATTTATTTTATAGAAGTAGATCATAATTTTATCCATTCAGAGGAAAAGAGCAGCTCTGTGTTTTGTGAGACAAGCCTCCTTAATTTCGTCTGTCAGGGAATTTCCCTATTTTTTAACAGCTGTGGGGGAATTCCACTGAGTTTTCTGGCGTCGGTAGGCCATACCAGGTACTTAGAATGTTCCTTAAAACGGCCCAAAGAACGACCGTTCAGGCCCGGTCAGGTGAAGATGTGCATGTCGGGAGGCTCCTGTAAATCTAACTTGAAGTTCTTGTAGTGGAAACACGCCTGATATTATAACCGGCCCAGTCAGCACCACTGTAGTTGATTAGACCAGCTCCGTCGCCTAGTGGTATGAGTGTCCGCCCTCAGACTGGGGATACCGTGGGTTCAAATCCATGGTTGGGTCATACCAAAGACCTTTAGAAGCAAAAAAAAGGGACATAATACCTCCCTGACTGACACTCTGCTTTAAGGGGTTGGATTGGGGGTTAAACCACCAAATAGTTCCCAAGCTGCAGCTCACCGTTCCCATAGGGGATGGGTCAAACGTGGAGAACAACTTTCACACACCAGTTTGACAACTAGTGGGGCTTTAACTTTAATTAAACCTAATATTTCATAGGTGTTTTTCCCATAACATACCCTTTGGGACATCTTAACCCTCTGGGGTCCATGGACGCGTATCCGCGTCTTTTGAACAGGTCTGATTTGGGACGCTGTAGCAGCAAGACTCCACCTCCCTGAGTTTTGGTTTCAATTCAGCTTTAAAAAGGAGATTATAAACTACACCCCAGTTTTTAAATTTTGTTAATAGGCAACGTAAAAGCGGAGTTATACTAAACTAAAAAACGATCTATTTATAGACAATCTGTAACTTGTTAAAACAGCAGTTTAGTAATCTGTGAGAGGGAATGTGCTTGTGAACATAAAAAACCCACAAAAACATGAGATCCTTTTGCTGTTGGTGGAAGTCTCACATATTCAATTGATAAAAAGTATCATTATGTAGCTGAAAGAGAGAGGAAGGCCGCACGAGTAACGAGATGTGCGCAAAAAGGAGCCACTTGGCGGGGAAAGGAGTGGCGCGAACGGAGTAACAACAAACAATTAGACAGATATTGACGGTAAACTTTATATTTTGGAGCGATCCGGACAGATATATTGTCTCTGTAGTTTAGTAGGCTTTTATTAGGCTTATATAAAGGATGATGAGAAAGAAGGATAAAAGTCCACCAGGCAGTTCAGATAGTACGGCTGTTTTTTGAACTGGAAGCAGAGAATGTGGACGGAGACTCGCAGCCGGAATCTGAGGCAAATAGCGAGGATGTTGATGACAAAGTGGCAGATCCATCCTTCCTCATAGAAGAGTTGGGTCATGATGAGGTAGAGGATGGAGGCAGAGATCCAGCTCTTCGGAGAACCAACAACAGGAGTGGGCGGCGCCGCACACCTGTCAGGTCTCGATCTCCGCGGCGTGAGACAGAGTCACTCCAAAATGCATGTTCATTATTGATAAATTAATAAGTATACATTCACATAGTCCAGGTTGTCCTGGAAAAAAAAGATACCAGATAAGGCAATATTTATTGTTTTTATTAGAAAATACAAAAGAAAAACCAAAATGAGTCAAAAACGGTGATTTACACCCTAGACCCCAGAGGGCTATTTTTTAATAAGTTATTTGCTATATTTAGTCATATTTTTTATAAATGTACAGTCTAGATTACCGTTCTAAATTATAAAAAAAAAACATTCGTCATAAATGTTTGTTGGTTTCACAGTAAAATAAACAACTTTTTTCCAATTCGGATTTTATGTTTTTGAGTGATTTGAGGTCTAAATAAGCAAAAATAGACAATTGTGATTAAAAGATGTAAAGAAAGAGAGAGAGAGTGAATAGGAAAGAGGGAAATCAGTAGATCCTGAAGAAGGAGGAATAGGTAGGCACAGCAGAACAAGGAAAGGGTGGTGAAGAAGGTCATACAAAAGCCTGCTTGAACAGGTGAGTTTTCAGCTGCTTTCTGCTCAAAAGGATTCTGGGGCAATCCTCCAAATAAACTGCTGCCTGGCTTCCTCCTTTTTCACCTCATGAGTTACTTTTAACTAAGCAGATCAAAAGAGATCTACCGACCACAAAAAAAGCAGAGTGCGCACAAGGGCTGCAACGATTCGTCGATGTTGACAAATATCGACAATAGAAATAGTTGACAATGAATTTCCTTGTCAACGTTGTCGCCAGACATGTTTTTCTGACCGAGTGAGGCATCTCACTTCATTACAATCTCTGCTGAGAGTCGCACATGCGCAATAGCTTCTCTGCTCAGCGTTAACTAACAAAAATGGCGGCGTCCAACACAGCAGCTACGCATACCAAAACATCTAAAGTTTGGGAGCGTTCTAGCCTGGATTTGGCGAATGAAAAGATGACCTACATTATTTGCAAAGCAGTCCTTGCGTATCACGGTAGCACCTCGAAGATGCATGAACACTTAACGAGAAAGCACGTTGGACAGTTGAATGAAACAGAGTCTGACTCACCTCGGTAAGATTTAAATAACAGGAAAGCCAATACGTTTTGTTTTGGATGTACGTTTTTTTAAATATATTTTCGCTTTTAAAAAAGAGAGATTTAATGTTATGCCCGACTGTGCCTGACAAAAGTATTTTAATTTTATTTATGCATTTATGTCTATACTGACTGAGAACTGTGCGTAATTGGTGTTAGACGGCATTTTTATTTACTTTTAGTATGAATTGGCCTATCAGCAGCAAAGTTCAATAAAACATGCATTTTCCATTGAAGTACCCATCTTTCTTGTGTTTATTATCATTTTTCACATAATTAAAGCAATCTCATGCTAAATTTAAGAACAATTCAATAATTATCCGATTAGTCGACTAATCGTTTCAATAGTCAGTGACTAGTCGACAATTAAAATAGTCATTAGTTGCAGCCCTAGTGCACACTGCGCGGCTGCACCAGTGAGAAGTTACCGGAGCACAGGTGATGAGCTCTGTAGCAGTGGAGCGCGTCAGGCACAAATAAAAGACAAAGTACCAGAGAATATGAGCAGGCATGAAAAATTGTGTTAACAAAATTTATTTTGATAGTGCCGCTTTGAGAATGTTACTGTGGCCGTGTGCAGAATGCAGCTGCCTGGAGTGCGCACAAATAATCAGCAATCTGATGCTCTCGGTCCTCTCTGCTCAAAGGAATCCATGGTATGCTGAGATGCCACATAGATCAGGGGTGTCAAACATGCGGCCCGCGGGCCGGATCCGGCCCGCAAGCGGGTTAAATCCGGCCCGCGAGATGGTTGTGTAAACTTTATTTTCATACTTTACAATGTAGAGTGAAAATAAACTTATCTTTGTGAGCAAGTTTCCTCTGTAACGAGTATAAATAAAACAACGCTGCGCTCAAGGCTCACACAAGAACTTGAATCACATCCTGAAGTTGGCTGCCACTCAGGATGTGACTTCTGATGTTGATGTGCAGGTGAAAGCTAAAAGATGTTAAGTAATATGAGTCAAATATACTTTAAGCGCTGCATGAAACTGATCTAGCCATGTGATCTGTAAGCTCTTTGAATCACAAAGGAATGGTTTTTTTTTGTGGTTGATTTTTTTATGTTTCTCTAATTTTCAAGTACACTTCAGGTGTTGTACTTGTACTACACTGTCCTCAGCCTCCAGCCTTGTTTCATATTGATTGTATTAAAACAAAGAAAACAATCTGAAGTTTTCTATTTAATTTACCGGTCCGGCCCACTTGGGACTAGATTTCCCTCAATGTGGCCACCGAGCTGAAATGAGTTTGACACCCCTGACATAGATAATGTAATATAGGAAGAAAAAGGATGTTTTTGGGCTCCCCCGGTGTGTAAGTAAACAGCTTCTAGGGGAGCTGGGCTCCCTTTAGCTCTACTGTAATTCAAACCCTGATCACCAGCTTTGGGTCATGACCAAAAAATTGAGATTGCAGATACAATCAGTCAATTTCAGTACTTGGACCAAGTCTCTGGAATGAACTGCCAGCTGATGTAAAGCAGGCCAAATCATTGGAAACCTTTAAAAGCAGACTAAAAATACATCTGTTCTCGCTGGCGTTGGGGCATTGAAGTTGGGGGAAGTAGGCCGGATATGGATTGCAAACTTGCACTCAGGATTTCGTATTGTATTTTAAATGGTTTTCTTATTGTATTTTAAATGGATTTCTTATTGTATTTTACATGGATTTCTTATTGTATTTCTAATGGATTGCTCATGGTATTTTAAATGGTTACATGTCTGTCCTATTGTGGTGCTTTTTATTGGTGTACAGCGCTTTGTTTGTCCATTTTGGCCATGTGAAAGCGCTTTATAAATAAAGTTGATTTGATTTGATACAAGGGGTTAAAATTTGTTTTCTCTACAGGGTGTCTGTGCTCCCACATAGAGATAGGAGCTGCTGTTAGTAGACCCACTCTGTTGGCAAATCAGCGTAATATGTAATACAGTATAAACGTTTTCTAATTGCCACGTCCAGCAATGGTCAGTTTAGGTACTGTTTGACCATTCAACATCTGGTCAAAAAGGAGACACGAGACTGCACGTAGTCCCTTTAAACCAGCTGGAGGTCAGAGCCTGCAGTTCTGACAGAGATAATGGAATCATAATAATAACGTTCTCTCCTACCAAGGTCCCTTACAGAGCACCTCTTTTATATAAACTCCTTGCTTGAAAGAAGAACAGAAGAAAAAGAAGATTTTAAAATTAAAGATAATCATTAAATAAACGTTTGTTTATTGCTACTTATAACAATTATAAAACAATGAAATGTTTCATTAATCTGTGCTTAATGATTGTTTAGCATGTTTACTTGGCGAGGTCATAACATTTGCACTCACACAAGCAAAGTAAGGTAAAGTTTAAGTCCGTGACACATAGTTAATCTTTTGCCCAGATCAGAGCCTCCGGATCAAAGTAGGCGTGTGTATTCTGAGATTCTTGGTAACATCCAAACTTGTCAACTTTTGGTTGGCTGCCCATTCATAACATCATGACATTAAAACTAGATCACTCTGGTTTTTCTTCAGTTCGAGAGTTCTAGAGGAAAGCTTCAGACCGGCCATCTGTAGCAAAACCTCTTTAACCAGCAGAGATTTTGACACGTCGTCAAAACCTTTAAAACCTTTTTCGCACCTGCGAAGCTGATACAACAAGATAGTTCCTGCAGAAACAAAGCTGATATTGTTTAGAATCCTTAAGAGTCCCCAGACGCTCGGTTTCATCCAACTGTCGTGTCTGGAGATGACCCTGGACTGACCTGGTCATACTGGAAGTTAGTCTACGGACTTCGGTACCGGGGTCTCCCCCCCTACATTATATTCACACATAGATTCCAGACACCGCCTTTAGTTCCATCCACTCACAGTAAATAATAGTTTAACCAATTTGTCAAATTTTAATTGTTTGTAAAATAAATTCTTACTTTTATAAACCTGACTGTTTCTTGAATCAAAACAAAGTGTGTACAATCCCCTAATAAATAAAGATTCCTATAATCTTCAGATTAAACATCCTAAGACCAAGCAGGTTGATATTCTATATTTAAATAGAGCATCACAGCTTATTGGTCACAAGTTGAGTTAATAAATATATTAAGCTCTTAAAACGCTCAATTTACCTCACCCAACATATTATTTACTAACGCAACACCACCACGGGGCTTAGACACAGTGGCAGCATGGCGATGCAGGAATTTTGCAACATTTGTGCTGCCACACTTGGTTATAATATAGCCGCAACGCCGGACTAGTGAATGAAAATTATGCCTTGGCGCAACAGAGGGTGGTATGATCAAGTGTGAAATTACTGCTGAGTCCCAGCCAGCAACTATTTTGAAAATGAAATGAAACACATGCACAAGTTTAACTTTTTAAACATCATCAACTGAGATGCTAAACTGGAGCAATGCAGAGAACTGGGATCTGAATCTCAAATCACCAGACACTTTACAGGGACTGTGAAGGACAAACACCTTTAGGAGCTGCTTGTCAATAAGTGCAAGGAGCATGGCTTCAGTCACAATAAACAGTTATAATCAAGCTTAAGGGTAGGCTGTGGCAGCACAGAGACCGCCCCCATAGTCCCTTCCAATCGCCACTGCGCATTATTTTGTTAAAATGATACAGTCGTGCCACATTACAACCACGGTCTGACCATAGGCTCCCTGATGACGGCCCAGCTTTGCAGCTAATTGGTGGCATTGTTTTATAAAAGGGACTAGGGTAAGAAGCTTTGCAGTCTGCAAGGGGCTCAGAGTAGATCCGTAGATCCTCCACATAAAAAGATGTCAGTTGAGGTTGTTCAGGCATCTGGTTAGAATGCCATCCAATTTCCTATCTGGTGAGGTTTCCAGGACACGTGCGACTGGGATGAAACACAAAGAAAGTCCCAGGACATGCTGGATGATACTATTAGCCAGCGAGCCATTCTGCCGTGATCTGGAAGGCCTGACTTAAACAAATAATGAGGGGCAGCTTTTAAATTTTATGGCAAGCCGTCCCCATTTTCTGTACTATCTCATCTAGATTTTGCCTTTTGTGGAAGTAAAATATCTGATAATTTCACAGATTGTTTAGCAAACATGTTCAAGTCTGTAATACTGGAAAAGTGTAGATTTATTGCAGGGGTTACCCCAGCACGGATCCCCGTTTCTACACAGCGGCTGCAGCTGGTGCAGGTGGATGAAGACATGCTTGTAAAAAAGATGGCACAACGTCCGTTACACAGACCTGGTTTGGGTTTAAGGAGCCTCATGTTGAGCAGAAAATCATCCTCACTAAAGTATTCTGAGCGCAGGTGTTACGACCAGTGGAAAAAGGAAGGACAGCGTAACATAGGCATGTGGTAGATGTTTTTAAAAGTAAATGTTCTTTTATTTGCAAATAAAAAAATTAACCCCAAATCAAGTTATTTTAACTATAACTAAAGGAGACCTCAAAGAGGAAACATAAGATAAAGGTCTAACAGTAAACTAAAAGTGTGGAGCTCCACTTCACCAATGATCAGGTAATTGAACTAAATGACTTCCACCCAACTGAGTCCCAGTCACAACAAAATGGGTTTCTTATTCTAATTGTAAACAAAAGGAGGTACAAGTACTACGAAAACTAGACTCTCAGCCAAATAAAGAACTTAACAAGGTATCACAAACAAAATCAGCAGTGCCTCAACTCTACTCTGAATACCACCACAGGATAAACACACAAACTTCTCCTCTGAGCACACAACTTCCAAAACCAAGAAAAGGCAGGATGGAGGAGGGGCGGAGCTGGAGCAGGAGCTTCTAGATGTCTCACCTGGAGTTTCCAGGAAGACTTAATGCTTTAGTTCCTGCTGGGTTGTCACTGCAGCCTCTGTCACCTGGCAACAGCGTGATAATGTGCACAGTAGCCAGCCAATCAGAAGGAGACTGCAGAGAGAAACAGAGAAAGAAAAATTAAACAATTAAAGTAAATAACCCAGTTCTGCTCTTGAGCATCAACAGTGGTGCTCATAAACATTTAAATGGGCTTAAACTGTTATGCTGTTGGCTTACACAGCAATAATGAGGCCCGTTATTAGGAACCAGGGAGCAGAGAAACTAATCCTGCCACACTGACTTTAAAACATTGGTTTTAAACGTCTTCAGATAAAACCTGTTAAAAACCATCATTTCTTTCATTTATCTACCCAAAATCGTGACTTTTTCATGGAGCACACGGATATTATGGATATATTTAAAAGTAGCCTTGTAGCTCAGAGTTCTAATAATTTACTTCCTCAAGAATCAGCAAAGAGCGGCTGAGCACTGTGCGTTCCCACGGCAGGGATGCAATGAGCAGAAGGTGAACTGCTGCTGCATCTGGGACACTGGATCTCTGCATCTCTGTAGCCGTGTGCATCTCTGTTAGAGCTGTGGCGACGCATCGATGGCGTCGACGGCTCGATTCTAAAAATTCGTCGACGTCAGATCCGGTAGTCGACGCACCACGCCCACTTGTTGAATCCCCAGGAGTTTGTAAATGGAGGAGGAATCTGCCTGTTTTTCCTCTAGTTCACCCTCTTCTCCGCCTTCACTAACATCTCCGCCAAATACCGAAGACCCGGAACAATGACCGTCCGCTATGAGATTCCTTTCCTGTTTTGCACGCCTTCGTCTCCCGGCAATGGACAACAACTTCCGGGGTCAGATGCGCTGCTTCGTCTCTATTGCAGATGTAGAAAATCACCGGGAGCGTTTCTACCTTCATAAAGGAGCTTCTTTCAGACATTAGGAGAGCTGTTTTTGTGGTAGCAGTCTCCTCCGTGCTGGTCTGTTTGCTGGTGGGTGTTTTTGGTTTATTTAAACGTGGTAACTTGAACTTAACGTTGGTAAAGTTACTGTTAGCATTTTTACTAACAGCTTCTTGCGTTTGGGTAAGCTGTTATGTTTTGGTTTAGAGTTAATCTTTTTTGTGGTGCAGATCTCCCTTTTATTACATTTAGAGTGTTGTGGGTTTTCGGTTTAGTGTAAAATATCCCCTTGAGTTTGGTTTTACCACACAGTTTAGAGTTTGGACCTTTGGAGATCCTTATTTTGGTCCAGAACCCAGTAATATTTGCCCAGTGGGACATCCCAGGTTATTTGTACTTTTGTTTTAATTTCCCACAGGCAGAATTAGTTTTATTATTCCCAACCTGTGGATGGAAAGATTTAGGTTTTTTTTTTTTTGTAAATAAACCTGATCACCATTTTAACTTTTAAATCCCGTTATTGTCCCTTCCTTTTTGCACACTAGCCAAACTCCCCAGGAATGGTCGTAACACCACTCGCCTCACACACATAAGTGACCAAATCAAAGCAGCATGGAGACACTCCATCTTCTACCACCTCTCAGGCAGCAGCCTGCATTCCCAAGTTCTATATGTCACCAGAACATAACCAACCACAATGCAATAAAAGCAGTGTTATACACAATGGAAGGCCTGTAGTGTTTATTCTCTTACAGTAACAATTTATCAATTTTTTGGAGGAATTTATTTGAGATTTTTTGGTTTTTATTAATTGTGCAATAGAAAAATAATCGCTAGATTAATCACCTAAATAGTCACTAGAATAGTCAACTATTCGATAAAATAATCGTCAGAATAATTGTTTTAAAAATAATCGTTTACCCCCAGCCCTAATCTCTGTGCTTATAAAATAATGAATAAATATTTACTTAAAATGTATTTTACTTTAATGCATTCGGTTTTTTATCTGTATGCCAATTCTAAATGTAAAGATTGTCCGCGTAAACCTGAACAGGTCACCTGCTTGTGCGTAATCAAAAGGTCTTTATAAGTGCTTTCTGAGCTGAAGAGGATGTGAGATTCTGGACTTTTGCCTCAGACAGGTCCAGTCAAGTTTTTGTCATTTGAGGTTAATAAGCAAAGTCAAGTCATACTTCCCATTTGAAAGCCTTGAATTAGTAATTCATGCTTTAATAACCTCAAGACTGAACTATTGTAATTCTTTCTACATTGGGTTAGAGGCCTCTCTCGCGTCTTGCGCAGAATGCTATTGCAGAATGCTATATGCAAGCGACGTGACCACATCTACCCTGTCCTGTCCTCCCTGCACTGGCTGCCTGTGCGTTTTAGGTTTGATTTTAAGATTTCAATCTTGGTTTTAATATGTCTTAATGGCCAGGCACCCTCATAGCTATCAGTACACCTACAAAGGAATGCCCCCAGGAGAGGTTTGAGGTCCTAAGGCCAGCTGCTTTTAGAAGTTCCCTGGACTTGCATGGTGACCCAGGGAGACAGAGCCTTTTCAGCTGTTGCTCCCAAGCAGCGGAACAATCTCCCTTTGATTGTTAGGATGACAGAAACAATGGACGATTTTAAGTCTCTTAAAGATTTATCTTCTTAGCTTGGCTTTCGATACTAAATGAGCAGAAATCCTCAGACTGTTTTATTGTAATTTCTCTTCATTGTTGCCGTTGTGTCTTTTTATGTTTTTTTTTACTATGTACAGCACTTTGGTCACTCCATGTGTGTAAAGTGCGTCGGTCGGTCGGTCGGTCGGTCGGTCGGTTGGTTGGATGGATGGTTGATTGGGACTCATGAATGCATCGCCACATTGGAGATGGGAACAAGCGCTATTCAGCCAAAGTGTCATCATCAGGGAACATTTTCTGCACTGCTGTGGCTCCCAGTGTCTTCTTTTCTGTGGGAAACGGGTAATAATGGCTCTTTGATGGGAAAAGGTTGCCGACCCCTGCCTTAGATGCTTCTGCCAGAACCGGAAAGTCGTGATGCCGGAGAAAATAGAAGGGTGCGAAACACCATTTACCGTTTTCTAGGTCCAAATGTCTTTTGTTGTCCATGACTTCAGATGTTGTTTATCTTTTTGGGACTCTGGTAGTTTGTTCTAAAGCTGAAGTGGTAGCAGCCAACTGTTTCTCCTTCTCTGATATTATTGAGTGGAGAACTTCTCACACCAGTGGTGTTCTGTTTCTAAATATGTGAGTTTGTAATGAATGGAGGACCCAGAGAAGTGCGGAGCTTCAGCAAGACCGCCAACCCGATGGTCCAATGGTTGCTTCTGGTCTGAAACGTGTTATTGGTGGAAGTTTCTGGACAAATGCAAGAGAACCACCTTATACATTTTTTTTTCGATTTCATTTTAATCTCCACAGTTTATTAATAGCTATACTATGTTAGAACATTGTTAAGAGGAATGGAAAAATGTTTTAGGCTAATTTGTTTATGTAGATTTTGTAGACTTGCCCTTTGCTATTTATAGATCAAACCTCTGAACAAATAGCACTGACCAGCCCCTGTTGTCTGTGCATCAGCTAAGAAGAAGAAATAATTTTTGATACATCTCTCTGGGGCCTCCATGTCTGGATCTCTGGGACTTGGATCTCCTTCATCTTTCGTGGGTCTTTGGGGGAAGGCCTGGGGCCCCTCACAATCACTACTGGACACTCCTATAGAGAAGCTTTACATGCACAAGCACGTGTACGCACACAGGTGCTCACATGGTGCTCTCACAAGTATGGATTCATGTGTTTTTGACACATAACCAAAAGCTGTGGTTGCCACTAAATGCACTATGAACTCTACCTTCTTTTTAATTTCTGTCTCCATGTTCATTGTGTAACGGAATTAAATGACTGTTTTCCACCTAAAAATTGTTTTCCCCCTCTCCTCAGCAAGAACTAATCTGCATGAGATATTGCTCGAGGTCTTGCATTTGCTTCTAAAACTGCTTTCCTTTCCAGCTCAAGAGAAGAATGAAGACAGAGGACTCTTTCTTTTTAATAAATCAAAGAATTCTATTTTTAATAAAGCAAATCACACAAAGTTTTAGTCAATAATAAGATGTTGACCAATCTGTGATATGACAATGTTATGATTAGTAAGTTTTAATAAGTAATATGACTTTAATCTAGCTGCACTAGACATCCGGACACACGTAATGTAAACGCATGACACATTACTTTTACTCATCCAATCGGAACCTTCCTCTCTGAAGCGTGGCATAGTCTCTGTGGTGTTTATAAATCTGTCAAACTTTGATTCGACCGTAAATCAAAACATCCAGATTAATAAAATGAGTCCTCACGCCATCTTAAGTTCAGTTCACCGCATTCTAAGAGAAATATCGGACCGGCCACCCGGAGTTCCTTTTTAAGCAAAGAACCCACAAGCTGGATCAAATCTGTTGCACTTTACCAACTAAGCAACGGTTCCTTTCAGAATAACAGCTGAACTCACTGACCCTCCGGGTCCATCTGACGCTGTCAACCAACTGTCGCTTTTACCTGGAGACAATCCAAAGACTAGTCTGTCGTACTGCTGACGCTATTTCATCGGTTACGGTACGGAAAGGGGGGTCCGAGGACCTGGCATTCTGGATCTGTACCGAGGTCTCATTCTAAGGGTATGTGTGGAGCAACAAAATGGCGTCTCGTGTTTATGAAACTCCGATCATAGCTTAAGAGCAAAACATCACAACATCATTCAGACTTGCTTCTCCGAATACGAGAGTTCTGATGACAACATCACTCACACACACACACACACCGTTCATCTCACGTCTCATTCACACCAAGATCCATCCATTCACTTAGAGTTTAGAGTTAGTCTTGTTTAAAATTGTTTAGAAATTAATCTTAAAGGTGACTCTCTCTTCTCTTGTCTCTCAGTTAATACGAAGTGTTACATAATCCCTACAATAAAAAGTTCCAATTTTCTGGTTAAAAGTACCCAAAGGTCCATAAGATTGATTTCATATTTACTATGGAATCTCATGCCTTATGGTTAATTAAATAAATGTAAATTAAACCCTTTACAATTGGAATTTAAAACAATCAAATGCATTTCTAACAAGTTTTGATGTCAGGCAGGGGCATTATAGCTGAGTCTATAACCCTCCACCTGTGAGATTAAAACTTTAAGGTTTGTCTTCAGAACTGAGACATTAATTTCGATAGCTTTACAGCCGGATGGGACACGGGGGGGGGTGGGGGGGGGGGTGGGTCACAAACATTTCTAATTAACAAAAGTAACTCGACAAGACACGGATCCAACTCCTTACATATAAACTGTAAATTATACATGTATAAATGTGGCTGGTGTATGTATCATTATCATGATTTTGGCTGTTGGAGCAAACATTCTAAATTTCATCCTTAGGAAGGAATATAGGACAGTTTCTGCAAAAGTTTAACAAATGAAGGCCCAGTTTTGGAACTTCTATAAGAATCTGGTCAGAGGACCTCAGGTTGGAGCATAACAGTTCAGTAATATAAAGAGGAGCTTGACCATGTAGAGCCCTGAAAGTAATAATGGTAACCAGTGCCGAAACATCAAAATAGGAGTGATGTGAGCTTGTCTGCAAGCTCCAGTTAGGATACAGGGGTCAATTGACTGAAAAAAGCCTTCATCCAGAATGCCAACAAAACATCGGAACAGCATGAAGAGGCTTTTAGAGAACCTACAAGTTTGGTTAGTTGAGGTGGAGAGACAGGTAAGGCCTGGTTCACATGGTAGAGCCATACATAGACACCATCCTACCCATAATTCTCAGTCTGAAGCCTTAAGCCAGGGCCAAACCGAGAACCTAAAGAGTCATCTCACCTCTGGCTCATAATGGATCACCAGCTGGTACTCCATCGATGCTGGCAGGTTTTCCACAGTGAATACAAGCCCTGCCCCATCCACCACTCTTACAAATCCAAGGCCAGTCCACTTTTCAGGCTTATTAGCCAACCTCTGACGAGGAATAATCTGCAGAGCATTGCCTGGCTCAAGAGGAATCATGTTGTGCTGCAGGACAAACAAAATCAAATCCTCAAATAAAACAATAGATCAGCAGGATAAATCAATCAGTCCTTGTTGGTCAGACCCAAGGATGAAATAAATTTCAGTTGACCTGTCGCCTCAGACGATTGACATGAGTTCTTCGAACCAGCGTCACTTTTCCATTAGAGATCTTAAAGTTAAAACCTTGATCTTTAAAATACTGCTCACATGGAGGTAAAGCTGGATTCTCCTAGGCACATACAAAAAAATCAATATTAGAACAGCTGATCTTGCAAAGAAAAAAAAGAACATGATTACAATTTCTTTCTCAAACGATACCAATTTTTTGTAGTGAGGAGTGATGACTTAAAAACAGATTAATTTTCTTCATTAAACCACCAGAAGCAGCATATGGTTTTATAACTCTGGTTAGGGTTGATAAATGACCCGGGGTCTCATTTATAAAACAACAGAATTCTTACTAAAATCGTACTTAAGCTCAGCAAAAAAAAATGTACTTACACCAAGGATGTTTATGACCTATAAAACATGGAGTACGCACAGCTGCACACAATCTCCGCCTTATAAATCAGAAACATTCTAGGAATGTGCTCAGGTGTTTTTGATCACATCCCGCCCTCAACACGCCCACTTCCTGCCAACAGCCATTGTAATATACAACAACTCTTTGTCTTTGATGACTTGATTATTATTATTATTCTGAGCTACTACAGCAATCAATTTCCCTCTGGGATTAATAAAGTATTTTAGAATTGACTTGAATTGAATTATCTACCATCACTACTGCAGAAACCCACCTCCTCAAGATCACTGCGCTTTTTATGATATATCATTTACTATTTTAAAGTTTGTTGTTTTTACACTGCTGCGTTCAGCGCTTTGGGCTGCCTTGATTGGCGCTCTATAAACAAAAAAATGAAAAATCAAATGAGTGTGTCTATGATTAGATAAAAGTTATTTTCTAATCCCATTTGATATGTGCCATGAATTAAACACATGATGTTTGTGAATTTGAATAAAGACACATTTATTTTCAACAGGCGGCCAAAGTCACTTTCATGTTAAATGGTTGTCTCACACATTTCACATCATCAAACTAGACACAGAGAAGAGGAAAAGAAAAATGGCTGTGAGCTTAACAAGCTTACTATAAATCTGGCCGTGTGGTAAATTGCAGCTACGTTAGGAAGAAGAGATTCTGCTGTCACGTCATGTATCCCACATCTAATTTGTAGTCATTTTATTTACCAATTTTTACAAGCAAATAGATTTCAAAGTGCGTAACAGACAGTTGATAGACGCATTATTTTTCATTTAAATTGAAGTACATGTGTGGAATTCAGGGCAAATGGTAAAGTGGATTAGAAAATAGCTTTAATAGCCCCGTTCACTTACATTCATATTATTTTTTTTGTTCTGGGGACCCAAGAGCCAACCAAAACGTACTTTGCAGGAATTAGCCACTATTATAGTTCAGGGGTTTCCTTCCACCGGCAGCAAAAAGTTACGTTTTGAATGCTATCATTATTTTTCAGCTCTATTTATATGCTCTATGCATCCAAGGGCTGCATGGTGGCGCAGTGGTTAGCACTGTTGCCTCGCAGCACGAAGGTTGCAGGTTCGAAACTCGGCTGCAGCCTTTCTGCGTGGAGTTGCGTGTTCTCGCCCTTTTCACGTCTAGTGGCAAGCCTAGGTGAGGCTCTCTCTTGCTGTAAACAAAACTATATTTGCACATGCATTGATACTCACCAAAGGAGAGACGGAGGATGAAGCTCGAGGAGGAATGGAGTTTCCTCCTGTCATTGGAGTTGCATGCTCTGCCTCATACAGGAAGTAATTCAGGGATGGTAGGAAGTATCCATGAGCAGGGTCAGAGCAGTGCTGACCAACAATATTGGGTAAACAATGGCATTGCCCATCCTCTGGAAAACAACTGAGGAACCACAATGAACATATATTCTTAGCTACAACCATGCTTTTTAAATCCATCATTTTTAAGAGTTTGTTTCCTGTCCAATCCACAACAACAACAAGTCTTTAACATGAGCTGAAAAAAGAGAAGGCTCTCTATCCTGGCTTAGGGAAAGGACACAGAAAACTGTCTTAGAGATCTCAGCTGTCTGGTTCCACAGTTAGGAACATATTGAGGAAGTGGAAGACCACAGGCACAGTTCAAGTTAAGGCTCCAAATGGCAGATCATGAAACATCTGGGATAAACAGAAAAGAAAAACGATGACAACAGTCAGAGCCCACCCACACACCAGCACCAAAGACCTACAGCATCATCTGGCTGCAGATGGAGTCACGGTGCATCATTCAACTACTCTGCAATATCGCATGGACAATGGGGACAGTCCCACTGGACTTGCAGACTGGGGTGGTGGTTCCCTTATTTAAAAATGGTGACCGCAGGGTGTGTTCCAACTACAGGGGGATCACACTCCTGAGCCTTCCTGGTAAGGTCTATTCAGGGGTTCTGGAGAGGAGGATCAGTCGGATTGCTGGACCTCAGATGCAGGAGGAGCAATGTGGTTTTCGTCTGGCCGTGGACACTGGACCAGCTCTATACCCTTAGGGGGATCCTGGAGGGTGCGTGGGAATTTGCCCAACCAGTCTACATGTGTTTTGTGGATTTGGAGAAGGCGTTTGACCGCGTCCCTTGGGGGGCCCTGTGGGGGGTACTCCGGGAGTATGGGGTACCAGGCCCTCTGATACGGGCTGTTAGGTCCCTGTATGACCGGTGTCAGAGTTTGGTCCGCATTGCCGGCAGTAAGTCGGGCTCGTTTCCTGTGAGAGTTGGATTTTGCCAAGGCTGCCCTTTGTCACCGATTCTGTTCATAACCTTTATAGAAAGGATTTCTCGGAGCAGCCAAGGTGTGGAGGGCATCCGTTTTGGTGGCCTGAGGATCAGGTCTCTGCTTTTTGCAGATGATGTGGTCCTGTTGGCTTCATCAGAACGTGATATTCGGCTTTCGCTGGAGCGGTTTGCAGCCAAGTGTGAAGCAGCTGGGATGAGAATCAGCTCCTCTAAATCCGAGACCATGGTCTTGATTCGAAAAAGGGTCGAATGCCTTCTCCGGGTCAGGGACGAGGTCCTGCCCCAATTGGAGGGGTTTAAGTATCTCGGGGTCTTGTTCATAAGTGAGGGAAAACTGGAGCGTGAGATCGACAGGTGGATTGGTGCTGCATCTGCAGTGATGCGGGCGTTGTACCGGTCTGTCATGGGGAAGAGAGAGCTGAGTCAGAAGTGACTGCATTTAGAGCTCTTCTTCCAGTGACTCTCTTGTTGTGCTGGGGGACCTTAATGCTCACATGAGCAATGACAGAGAGATGTGGAGAGGTATGGCTGGGAAGAATGAACAGAAAACAGCTTTTCTTTTCTTTTGTAATCAACAATTATCCCAGTCCTAACGCCAACTGTTCACCTGATGACCTGGTCTCCTACTACAACAGCTTGGAATATCCATGCTCCACTGAAAACCAGATCTGTTTCCTTCACCCTCACCACTCAGCAGAACACCATTGCAGCTTCTGCCCAGAAGAAGCTACAATGGTGTTCTGCTGAGCTGTGGTAGCCTTATGGAGGGGGCCATCGGCTAGCACACTGCTGCCAACCACTTGTACTGATCTGTCGGATTGAAGAGATCTGATCAGATGCTAAAAAATCTGAGGCAACCATAGACTGATAACAGAAGGAAATGACATCCAAACTGACCTAGCTGATTTGAGTCACGCTATATGAAAACACCAATATTTCCATAGGTGATATGCAAATGAATAACAAACAACTTCAAAGTGAACAGGGCAATGTAGAAGCTTGCAGCTATACAGCAGAACATGTCAAGTAACTCTATAATAGGGGTGGGCGGTATAAACGGTATACAGTAGAAATTATGTTAATTTGGCCAACGGTAGAGATTTTGACTATATCGGCCTATCGCGGTAGCGCATGTTGATGACGTCATCAAGCGGCGTCTGTTGAGGCTGAAAGCATGGAGCCTGTGGTGGAGGAGGAGGAGGTTCTCGTAAAGAAGACCGGTGCAACATCGGTCATTTGGACTTGGTTTGGCTTTAAGGAGTCGGTTGTGGAGCAGAACGATATAATCTGCAAAGTATGCAGGAAGAAAGTATTAGCGAATAGAGGGAATACATCTAATTTGTTTTACCACCTCAAAACGAAGCACGTTGTGGAATACGAAGAAGGCCAAAAACTGCGTCCTCAACAAACGCCCAGTCAGTCAAGCGGTAAGAAAAAAGGTGGTCTTACACACCAGCAGACGGATATTTTACAAGCATTTGCTAAAGGCACTCAGTATGAGAGAAATGATCAACG